ATCAACATCTCCCATCTATCCCTTTTCCACCTCCCACCCACCACAACAACAGAACATCCAATGCCCCCTCAACTATGGCAGACTTCCAAATCCAAAACCTCGCCGTCCCCTCCGTTTACCTACTAATCCTCTTCCTGGGCTACCCCTCGCAATACTTGCTTATGCACTTGGAACCACGGCCGCTGAATAAAAATGAGATTTGGATTGCGAATGTGTTGTTGGTGTTGATTTTTATTACGTATACAAGGAGTGTGTTTGTGGATGCGGGGAGGATACCTGGGGATTGGGCGGAGAGGATTGGTGGTGGGGATGGGAAGGAAGAGGGGGAGGGAAAGGAGGGAGGAAAGGGAAAGAGTAGGAAATGGTGCCGGAAATGTGATGCTGCGAAGCCGCCTAGAGCACATCATTGTAAGGAGTGTAAGAGGTATGTTTTGTTCCTGGTTGCTCGTTAAGGTCACGTGATATTTTTCTTATCACAGGGGAGTTGAGTGGTGTTTGCTTTTTCCATGGTTAAATCAACGTCACCACATCCCCATCCACTCCTAAGTTTTCAATTCCACCGCCCGCTAACACACCCACCAAGATGTATCCCAAAAATGGACCACCACTGCCCCTGGACAAACAACTGCGTATCCACCACAACCTTCCCCCACTTCCTTCGCTTCCTCCTCTACACCACCGCGGGTCTCTCTCTCTTACAATACTTCCTCCTCCCCCGCCTCCTGCACCTCTGGCAAAACCTAGATCTTCCCTCCTACCTCGGCCCCACCCCCTTCCAACTCGCCCACCTCTTCACCGTCCTGATCGTCAACACCTTCACCCTCTTCGTCCTCGGCGTGCTGCTTTTGCGCAACATCTGGTGCCTGGCCGTCAACACCACAACCATCGAAGGCTGGGAAATCGAACGTCACCGCACTCTGGTACGCCGCGCTAGGCAGTTTGGTGGCTACCTCGCCGCCCCCGATGGCGTCAAAGTACGTATACGCAAGCAAGAGTTTCCCTACGATATTGGCATCTGGTCAAATATCGTGGAAAGCATGGGGTCGCGGAATCCGTTGAATTGGTTCAATCCGTTGGCGAAGACGGTGCCGTTGGAGAGGGGGTTGCGCTTTGAAACTAATGGGTTTGAGAGTAAGGATAAGGTGTGGCCGCCGCCTGACCCTGAGAGGAATTACAGGAGGAGTGCGGTGCCGGTGGATAAGGACGCTTTTCGCTTTGTAGATTCGAAGCTTAGTCGCGAAGACGAGGTTAAAGCGTTTAAAGAGAGACAGGCGGAGGATGCGGTGAGGAGACGGAGGGGATACGAAGTGCAGGTTGATGATGAGGTGGAGGAGGGGGACGAGGATGGGGAGAGGATAGGGGACGAGGACGAGTATGCATATGGGAGTGATGAAGTGGAGGAAGAAGAGCCTAGGAAGAACAAACATGGTGATGACGAGCAGGAAAGTGTGGCGGCGTGGCGGAACTCTGAAGGAGAGCGGTTGAAGGATTTTGGCGTGGATGAAGATGTCGAGTTTTACGATGAACAAGATGATGACGACATGCCGTTGAGCGAGTTGCTTGCTAGGAAGCGAGCCGCTTCGATGTCAACTCATTGAAAGCTTTCATAGTCCCAAACAGAGTATGAATTTAAACAACAAAGGTTGTGTTTTTGTAACAATATATTCCGGTAATGAATGTTGCAGAGCTCGTGTGAGCCAAGTGAGGGAAAAGTTCTAATACAGAAATCCAGTAATAAAGGAATCCAAAGGTATCGATGTGCACATGTATACTGAGTCTCCCCCTCATATGCTCCAACCCGTAACCCGTCCCAGACCAAGATGTTGGAATGAGACCCTGCAAAGTACATATGCACTCTGGCACCCCGCCATATAACCCTGCATACGGCTCTCCGCATATGATTCACAGACTTCCCTTTCATACATTCTGAGTCTGGCCAAGAGAAGTCCGTTTCCGTCTCTTCGATTCCTCCTATCCGGTAGTCCCTATGCCGTACTAAACTCCTTCGCCAATACGCATATCCTTCTCTTTCTTCATTCTGACTATCGGAGCTCGAATCGACTAGTAGTCGGGATTGCCGTTTCCGTTGTGGGTATGGATCGTCTGGTACCCAAAGGCAGCTTGGTTGTCTTCGCCCATTTCCGAGTCCGTGTTCAGTACATGCCCCTGGCTCTCTGGGCCGCCTGAGTTGGGCCCGCCGGGCCCGCCTGCATACTGCCCAGTGGGTGGCTTGTTCTGATTTGCGAGGAGGGTCTCGTACCACCAATCAATACCAATAGTTCAGATAAACGTTTTCGCCAAACAATAGGCAACAAAAGAAGTATACAGGGGGGAAAGAAAAAGTTGGCAGCTTACTTCGCGGTACCGAGAGAGGTAGATCTTGAGAGCTTCCGAGTAGTTCTCGAAGCCGAGTGAAGTCATGGCGAACAGTATGTCCTCGCCGTTGACCGTCTTGCGCTTCTCTTGCTGGCATTTTTCGGAGGCTGCATACGAGATCAGTGGCTGTTTTCCAAGAAAGCATTTTGGTACATACCCTCGCTGGTAATGAAGGAGATGAACTCGCTGACGCATTCCTGCATGCATTCCTTTGCTTCCTTTGCTATCTTTGCGTTTTCTGGCAAGGCCATCTTCATGATTCGGGCGACTGGAGCAAAGTTACGTATGTTAGCATCCGAAGCTGTAGCGGCATTTTGGTTTGTGCTCTTTGGCGTGGATTGTGGCGGGGAAGTAGACGTGTGTGGAGAAGAGGACGACATATCGCAGGCTGCACGTCGGCGGTTTTTCAGGCACACAAAGAAGCCGACTGGCTGGGCTTGGATACGAAATCGCGTGATTCGACGCAGAGACGCGCGAGTGGAGAGTGTGTAGGCATCCAGAGACGCCCGTTGGAGCAATCCGTCGACGTGCAGACAGGAGGGTTGCGGTGCGCAAATCAAAACAGCGGGAAACAGCAAGGGAAATAGACGTACCATTGGCGATTGGAAGCCATCGATCTTGCTCCTTGACCTCGAATTCGTAACCTACTTGACCTGTGTTCTCTTCTGTGTTCCGGTCCATGGGCTGTTCTTCGTCAGGCGACTGGACTGGTTCCACACCCTCCTGCTTTGGGGGAGAGGTCGACATATTATCGGTTGGTTGCGCTCGGAAGCGTATGCGCTGGCGACTATTTCGTTGGCGACCACGTCACTGGGAGTAAACGACGGGACAGCTTGGCGACCGAATATGCAACCTGCGGTCACTGGTGTAACTCAAAGCCTGGAGGGGGAATAGGTTAGTGGCATGCAGGAGGCAGCTTGGGATGCAGCTAAGGAAGGTGGGCTCAACGACGGCGGCGAGCACGGCGGGCACGGCGGGCACGGCGCAAGGGAGGGCTTACTACTGAGCCTGATGACTGCCTCTGACTACCTATGACTGCCTAGGCCGGGCGCGCGAACTGTTCTGGGAACGGTGGGGCAGCGAGTCGCGATACTGCCGGTTGCACGCACGAGGCACAGTGGCAGGAGCGATGCGCGGATGTAGCAGACGCGACCACGATCGGGAGGGCAGGTGCGATACACGGGCGAGGAAGGCGTATCACCGACTGTCACTGACCTGCTCACGGCACGATACCGTGTGCGACGGGGCGGAGGGGGGGGGGCTGGCGACTGTCTGGGGATTGGCTGACTATTCGACGGATATGCAGGTGGTAGCTGGGCTGGCGGACGGTCCGGCAAGAATCAAGGGCGTTATTCGGGCGCAGAAGGGGCGTGGGTGTTGTCGATTCGATTGCAGCACGCTGTGCCGTGGTTGTCGCGACTGAGCGAGGTGATGACGCGCCTGCCAATAGGAGTGCGAGGAGAAAGATGGGGAAGGCAGGTGCGAGAGCTTGGAGCTTGGACGTGTGCGACGATAGCGCCGAGTGGTTGCCCAGCGGTGGTGGAGAGGTTAAATTTACCGGCACCGGCGAATCGAAGAGGCGGACAAGCAAGGAAATTCGGCCAGTCAGAAATCCGTGTCCTGTTACCGTGGTAGTCCGCACAAACTCCGGCCCGCCCCGAACGGAGGATGGGTTCCCCGGGGACGGTCACTACACTATTCACCCCTCCATTCACCTCACTCATCACCTCACTCATACAGCCCGGCAGCTCAACAAAACGCACACATCTGCCATCGATGCACCATTACTTACATGCTTACCACAAGTCCCGGATCCGGCTCTGCTCGGCTACAAGCACCGGTATGCCGTCTGAACAGTCCTGCAGATGATGCCCCGGCCTAGCTGGCGATCCTACATGTGTATGCGAGTCGTGTCAGCAGCCCTCATTCGGCAGCCCTACAGACCTCACAGACTTCCACGCCTCCGCCCTGCTATTTTATCCTATTGGAGCACTTGTCGAAATTCGCTGCACCCGACACGCACACACCAATGCCCATGTCCATCGACTCCCACGCGGCAGGACGGCAGACCAGTTGAACGTCAGCTCGTCACTGCAGCCCGCATCGCTTCTGGCAGGAACATGTGTTGTCCAGACCAGTCCCAGCGTCATCCCCGTCCGTCTTGCCAACGTCAATATTGCTGTTATCGTTGGGCTCAACTGCATACGGAATGCCTGAGACAGCCTTGCTCAGGCTTCACTAATCCCTCAGACAATGACGTTGTCAGCATCCACCTGCGACTCCACTCGAGGCCGTTCACCGTCCTTTTGCTCTGGAAGAAATTGCCGGTACCCTATGAGCTACGTGTCCATGACCATGGGAACATGGTGCAGATCAGTGCGTCAGTAACAGTTGGGCCGACTGGCCAGCTCATCATGCAGATATCACTCCGGGTATTTGGAACACGTGCCGGGCCAACTGTCAGTTCCGGTACAAAGGTACGGCGCTCAAGCTTTTGCACTTGGTAAGCACATACGTAGGTGGGGCATTTATGATGCAATGATGTGCCTGGACCTGCTGTAGCTGGCTCATACAAGGTTCCTTTGGGGTTGTGTGAGGTATAATTGTTGGAGTTATATTATACACTGTCCGTTACCAGTCAGGCCACAATTGCCGTGGCAAGGCTGTGCCGCCTTGCTGTGACATGCTGTGCAAGACCAAATCATGGGGGTCTTAGTATACTCCGATCTGGGGCAAGCACCACACTTGATGAGATGCCGTATCCATCGACCCCTTTCTCAATAGACACGATTCTGGCTCCTGTCGTCTACCTACGCTGCCCCATGTGGCTCCATACATATGTCGTGCGCCTACCCTGTCAAAGGGGTGTTGTATGACTCGACACCCAACTATTGCCCTGGTTGTTGGACAACCTGGACATTGTTCTTCTTCTGTGTCAAGTTAGTTTTGCACTTCCAGTCTCGAAATGGCAGACGCACCTTCCACTTCTCCATCTCATCCTGTTTGAGCTTGTACTGCTTGACTAGCTCTTCTAGCGCCTTCTTTAGCCCATCCGAGTTGGTCTGCAAGATAGGCACCACTTCCTTGACCGTCCGCTCAGTCAGGACACCGTTGATCATGCGGAAGCATTTCCGGTCTCCAGACAATGGCTGCAGCGTCTCCAACACAAGCCTAGAGTACGTCAGTAGAAGAAAAATCTACAGAGCGGTGTGTTTCCGGGTAAAAGGGCGCAAGTCATGGAGGGGTGCGTATTTGCGGCAAGGCCACAAGTCTCTTTCGAGGGAAACAAGGCCGAGTAGCGGGACGGATAGCGGTGTGACGAGGAAATCTCAAAAGAGGGAGAAAGTGCGTAGATTAGTGACTTACTTGTGCTCTTCGGCTTCCTGCTCAATGTCCCCAATCTTTGACGCAATCGTCTGTAATGTGTTCTTGTAGTTTTGATATGTAGTTTGCAATTCTACAACACACCGCATTAGTTGACTTTCCCGTTGGAATTGGACTCGTATTCAAATGAAGTATACATACCCTGCTGCTTCCTCAACTGCGCCTGAGACGCCATAATTCCGCGTTTTGAGTGGCGAATATCAGATTCTGGTGATTTCAGTTGAAAAAGGCTGGTTTGTCGTTGGCGTGTGCTGCGGCTGCTGCGTTGTTGCGGGGAACTCGGAGGAGAGAGAAGAAGAAGAGACCCCAGAAGAAAAAGAATGTGAGAACACCACTAATATTCTGCGCACGCCGCTCAGTTAAGGGTCCCTGTAAGTGGCAGATGAACACGAGAAAGGAGAAAGAGAGGGTATGATTGCAGAGTGCAAGATGAGGTTTGATACCACAGTCGACGTCTTCTCAGGCTAGTCGTCGATGGTTGTCCCGCGCGCTCGGACGTCTGACTTTACATGGTTGCAACGATTCGTCAGGAAGATCGATGACCATTCATCTCCAACTTCAACATTGCTCACGACAACTCCACCGCGACCACAAAGCCACAAAAATAACGCTATATCGAGTACTTCCCCAAGCGCTGCGTCAACGATGCACCCCCACCTCCACACCGAAGAAGTCCAAAAGAGTGCGCCTCCCCCGTCCCTCCTTCTCCACCCCTCCACCAACTAACACACCCCACCCACAGACTGCGCCGAAGTCGTCGCTGCCCTCGAACAATGCCATGAACGCGGTTTTCTCTGGAAGTTGACAGGCAACTGCACCGATGCCAAACACCAGGTTAACATGTGTCTGCGCGGACTGCGACTGGAGCGCACGCGGCAGAATCGCGAGGAGGCAAAGATCAAGCGCGAGAAGATAAAGAGAGTATGGCAGGAGTTGGATGAGAACAAATGAGCAGGGGAGGGGGATAAATGTGAATATGGATATTGTACAGGCAGTGGAGGGTAGTGGAGTGTAAGATGAGGGAAAGGAGTTTATCACAGTGCTACTTGTACTGTTCAGAGGTTCAACCTCTCTTCTTCTTGTATCATATCATTCCAACAACTCCTGGCGTTCACGGAGAAACAGCATTGGGAAAATAGGGTAAGAACTATCCTATATCGACTCTTACTAAATGGCTAAGCTAGCTTTCACAAGCCATAAAATATGAACTACAACACTACTCATCATCTGAATCCTCACTCGACTCGCCAACAGGTGTAGTCCCAGCCAGAGGTGTGGTACCCAAGCTATCCAACCCCCTCTCTGTGATCAACCGGCCTCCCTCTATACCGTTCGCAGGCAAAGCGGGAAGACCTTGTTCCTGGCGTAACTTTTCGTACTTCTCGCCTGTTTCCTGTAGTTGTTCCTGGAGGTACTTTTTCCGTTCCTCGATGCGGACTTTGTCATCTTTGAGATCTTTGAGTTTTTGTAGTATCATGTTTTTTCTCTGCTGCTTCGTTTGGATGTCAATGGTGAGTCCCTCTAACACCTCGTCTAGGTCTGGCAAAGGTGTGATTCGTGGTGGAGTCTTTGAGCCGTCGTCTTCGTCTTCGATCTTTTGGCCGTATCTTCCTGCGCGCGCTTGAGCTGCGGCAAATGCAATGTTTCGCTCTTCATCGGAATCGCCTGAACCATCGTCTCCTGATGAGCCTTCGGCATCGTTGATGAGCTCTGCCATTTCCGCGCGCCGTCTTCGTTGCGCCTCCCGTTCTGACTTGCGACCGAGTGATATCTTGCCGTCTTCTACGAAATCGTCGAAGCCCTCTGCTATGTCCTCGTCATCATGGATCAAGCGCGTCTCTCCATACTTGTCTTTTGGTCGGAGAGATATCTCGTTCCTGTGCTGTCTGAACTCGTCTTCTCCTTGATCATCTGATGCCCATGCCCGGTCGTCATCATCGCGCGCATTTTCCTCCTGTGCTAAGCGTCTCCGTCGTGCTTTCTTCTCTCGGATCTCGGCATCGGTAGGTATTGCTGATGAAGAGTCGAGTGATGCGACAGGCCCGAATTTCAAGGCGATATCGAGAGCACGCTCCGTCTCTTCAAAAGGGTCCGCGGAGGCCTTCAGATCACTAGGTGTCGATGGTGTCGATGGTGTCGATTTGCGCAACTCCTCTATATAATCTTTGCTGTACTCGGTCGGCTTGCGTGCTTCTGCCACAAGTGGTGACCGCGCCCGCAACTTCGCACTCTTCTCCAACGCAATACGGTTGAGATTCGCCTTCTTCGGAGTTACAAGCGCGGCATCGCTCGAATCATCGCCCTCGTTCCCTTCCTCACCAGGGCCAAAGGATACCCGTAGGGAGGACCGCTTCTTTGATTTGCCAAGCACAGGCCGCTTGACAACTACAAGCCAGTTAGTGGGCAGATTCGCTAGCTTTAAAGCCTGGAGAAATGCGCTGCGAGTTTCCCCAATGTCAGAAAAGCTGGCAATGGCGACAAATATGGGACTCACCTGTGGGCTTCTGCACTTCGCTCTGCGAGCTCGTGCTCTCGTTGGACTCGTCGTCATCGTAGGAGCCAATTTTGCGCGCCACGCGCGTCGAGCCGGATCGTTTCATGCCGTATATTTCAGTATTGCAAAGACAGTCGGTAATCCCTCTATTACATGAAGCTTGTGGTTGTAATGGAGAAGTATAGACAGTCGCGCTCACATGTTCCTACAGCCCGGTGCACGGGCCCTCCGCAAAAAGCCCTAGAGCTACCTATCCCACCATTACTCTTGCTTACCCGTGAACAACCACGCGCGACCCAAGCTCCCACGCGACCAAGATAAGCAAAGCCAGTCCGAGCAGTCACCGGAAGACTTCGCAATAAACCTCCAAAGCTCCCGAACAGCTTTCTACCGCCAACATGCCTCAAGCACAGCCGGAACTCAAGAAGGTGAGTCCCCAAAGTCGACCCAAGCTACCACTTCCTAACCTCCACAAGTACCTCGAGAAGCGCGTTCTCGTCCAGCTCAATGGCAGTCGCAAGGTCATGGGTATCCTCCGAGGATACGATGTATGTAACCCCCTTCTCTCACCGCATACGGATCAAGCTAACCCGGCGCAGGTCTACCTGAACATTGTCCTCGACGATGCGCTTGAGGAGGTAGCCGGCGGTGAAAAGGTGCGCATCGGCATGGTAGTTATCCGTGGAAACGCCGTGGTCATGCTCGAAGTACGATCCCTCCCACTCCCTATTATACCAAGCACATTGCTGACTAGCTTTTCCAGGCGCTTGACCGTATCAACCAAGATGTACCCAAGATCGGACGATAAAGAAGCCGTATGCGATCCCGACGATTACCAAAATACCAGCGGTATTATCGAATAGGCGCATAAGACGAGGCAGACTGGCTGATTATGGATATTACAAGGCGCATTGGCGTTTGAGGCGCGATCATTCACGGGTATGCCTCACTAGGCCCTTTTTCCGCATCCGCGTGTTCCGAGCACCAGAAAAATATGGGGGATCATTTACGGGAGATCTATGTTGACATATCGCTATCTACAGGACCACATTGTACCCAAATACCAGCTTGGACGCACTTCGTGGGACATTGGCGGGCTTGTATTGCAGAATAAGTCTCCCGAAAAAACGCAAAAGCTTGGGCTACTGCTGCCACCAACATCAGAGAATCTACAGTCCACCGTTACGGCTCCCAAAACTATTCATGGACTGGTCGCAGTACACTTGAAGTTTGATTGCTGACGATTCTCATATCAATGATAACATAGCTACGACTATAACTTTGCCTTTTCGTGATTGCTCATATACTCCTGCACCAGACTCCACGCGATTTCCGCAAACGGTGCCATCTGCTGTGCATACTCGTGGGCCTGGGCACTGCTCGCCTGCCTGAGAGCATAGCGAGCCGCGATTCCCTGCATGATGACCGCACCCCTATACGTACTAAATGCATCACCCCAGGTCAAATCTGGTCGCGGGTCCCAGCCCGCTACCTCTGAATACCACGCTACCAGCTGTTCGCGTGACGGTAGCCCAGGTGTCGCACCAGGCTGGAAACCCTTGTGTGCGCGTCCGATAGTCATGGCAGTCTCACTAGACGCCGTCACGTAGGGCTGCAAGACATTGTTCAGGTCAGAAAGTGGGTGGCCGATGGTGCTCATTTCCCAATCTAGGATTCCGATTACACGGGGTTCAGTCTTGTGGAATACGACGTTGTCGATCTTGTAATCGCCGTGGACGAATGTCGCGCGGTCTTTTGGCTGGGTCTTGGGGTCGCTGAAGAAAGCTACCATGTCGTCTTGATGTGGGATCTTGCCGACTGGCATTCCTGTCTCCTTGTCCTTTGCTGCAGCCTGCGACTGGGAGATTGTGTTGAAGGTAGCGATTTGGCGGTTGTAGAAGCCAGAGTTCTTCCCGTAGGAGGCGAGGTTTACGGAAGCCGGGGAGACTCGATGGAATTTCGCCAGGGTCGTTATGGCAGAGTGCCACCTGGGATTCAATCAGTATTTGAAGTTTACAGGTTATAGTCTGGGCATTTACATCTTTGTTCGCTCTTCAGGCGTCACATCTGGGATGGCTGGGTCCTCGAAGATGCGGCCATCGAGAAATTCCATGATGTAGAAGTCTGTTCCAATCACGGTCTCGTCTTGACAAAGACATAGCGCTCGTGGAATAGGCACATCCGTCTTCTCTAGTGCATGAATGATGCGATACTCGCGATCGACTCTATGCGCAGTCTACCCATCTGTTAGCCTTGCCGCAGTTGCCTAACATTCAAGTCATCGTACCTTTGATAGCAACTGACCCGGCGGCTTCTTCCTCATCACATATTTCTTTCCATCGTTATCTGTCAACTGGTACGTCGGATTCGACTGTCCGTATCCGAACTGTGATTCCGTCAGCCAAGCTTCCGAGCCATTCGGAACGGCAAACGCACCTGCTTTACATCGAGCGGAACTTTAATTTCAGGGATATTGGCGCTGATGTAGCGCTCTAATGAGGCGATATCGATGGGTTGCCGTACAGTGCCGGCCATGTTGGGGTACGCTGGCGAGGGTGCATGGTGGGCGCGCGCAAGTCATGTAGGTGGTGCGGTTGAGCTTCACCGAAGGTGCCTCGGCAAATCGTACAACATGGGGAAAACGGGCTCGGCGAGTCGGGAAGAGCTGCACCTCCGCCGCGAGGTGAGTCGGGGTAGACATGGGGGGTTTGGGTCTGCTGAACTTGTAATAACTTTATCGATGTTGTTTCTGTATAGTTACGAAAGTTCTATAATTAGGATTGAGATGACGAGACAGTGCTTCACGCCTTCTCGCGTTTTCGGATGCTCGTTGCGTAGCTGTCGAGCTTCCCGAAGCTTGTCTCTACAAAGTTTCTGCATATCATCCCATCAAGCATTGGCTTACTGAGATGCCTCGTTCCCGTACATTCGACCTTGCCTGAACTGAGAGCTTAATTGTCCGAACCCGGGACCCGCTCCCGTGCACGTGGCCACGCGTTACCTGGGTACGCACATGTGCAGGGCCCAGCTTACGTCAACAAACAATGAGCATGTACCAAATCCTGCTTGTTGGCATGCGATATGTGTTCTTATTCTTTGGATAGACCAGTTTAGAGATGAGGAGATGATGTCAAGGCCAAGGTACACGCGACATTCACACGTCAGAGAGGCCTCAATGTATGGTCCTTGAAGCGACCGTTACGCAAAGCGCACTCCCGCAGTATGTGCTGACTACATTTCTTTTGCTGGTATCCGCTCGACATTGCTGGCGGTACCACACTTTGCACGACGAGTCATGGGGGCTGCGGCAGTACACAAACAGTGCTTGGAGGATAATGAAGGAGATTTATGAGTGAATAGAAGGTCTGGGTATAAAAAGGAGTAGGGGGTTTCCCCTTAGAAAGCTGATCGCAATCGATTGGGCGGCGGTCGGTTAAATAATCATGCTCTGCCATCTCGCTGTTACAAAGTCCACTGGACCCCTGCTCCACCATCTCATCAAAACAAACACCGTCCTACTTTCCTTGTGACACACTACACAGGTTGGCCCTGTCAACAGCCGTCTGGCATGGCTTACCCGCACACTCCAAGGCGTCTTGGGGCGCGACCCGCTCTTCACCCCACTGCCTCATCGCCAAACCTCTCACTCAACGCCAGTAAGAGCATGGCCCGACAAGCCTCGCTCTCAGCACTAGTAGGGGGTAACTCTTCGCCCACATCCACCAGAATGGGAGCAGATGGGCGCGACATCGACGTCGGCGACACGGTCGACGTCCCCGGCGGAATGATGGGTGTTGTCAAGTTTGTAGGCAGCATTCGGGGCAAGCAGGGAGTGTTTGCGGGCGTGGAACTGAGCAGAGAGTATGCAGCGCGGGGCAAGAACGATGGCGCAGTCGACGGGTACGCATGCAAACAACGCAACAGACGGGCGCATATACTGATTCCTACGCAGCACACAGTACTTCAACACATCCATTCCTGGCTCCGGCATCTTTCTCCCTGTTCATCGCGCGCAGAAAAGGGTCTCTACAGACTCGTCCGACTTCCCTCTTACGCCCACCACGCCCTCGTACCATAACTTTAGCCTGTCTACCATGGAGAAGCCCAGCTTCAGCCCCGACGATGCGCCTCCCCTGCCTTTGCCAAAGTTCTCACAATCCGTCGGGCCTGGTGTTCGCGCGACTAGTCCTCGCTCCAAATCTACCAGCGTACGGCGCCCTGAATCGCCCTATCGCCAGAAGCCAGGCCTAGGCGTGACTCCGGGAAGGAATGGCGGGCTTACGCCCTCTGGCTTCTCCAAGAGCGCAATCGGCGCACCACCACGATTCGCAAGTCCGGCACCCCCTCGTTACGCCAGCCCTGGGCCGAGAGTGGTTCCTCCACAGAAGCCACGAACGCCTGGCCCACAGCGATCATATTCGCGAAATAGCTCCCGTATTGGCCACCATGACACGATTGACGAGGACAACGAGACAACGCCGGTCGGCGCACAGCGTGGCAGCAATGACTCAATGTCAAGCTACAAGAACAGGCGGCCGGGCTCCCGACTTGGTTCCTCTCCGAACGAAGAGGTGCAGAGACTCCAAGCGCTTCTAGAAGAGCGCGAAAAGCAACTCAAGGAGCAGGCCTCCTCGTTGAGCGAGATGGAAGCAAGTTTGTCGGAGATTCAGAGCCTGATACCTGAGGATGGAATGGATATGGCCTCATTGCATAGCAACGAGCCCAATGATGTAGCGCAACTACGAGCACTTCTCCGAGAGAAGAACGATAAGATCGCCATGCTCACGTCCGAGTTCGATGCGCATCGATCCGACTTCCGAAGTACCATTGATACCCTTGAGCTAGCGAGCACCGAAACCGAGCGCGTATACGAGAAGAAGGTAGAAGATCTGCAGGAAGAGCTACGTGAGTACCAGTCACGCAGCGAAGATGTTGAGACTGTAGCTATGCAGTTGAAGCAACTAGAGGAACTCGTACAAGAGCTAGAGGAAGGCTTGGAAGATGCACGCAGGGGGGAGGCAGAAGCGCGAGGGGAAGTTGAGTTCTTAAGAGGGGAAGTCGAACGTGGCCGATCGGAACTCCGTCGCGAGCGCGAAAAGGCTGCGGCGGCTCTCAAGGGCGCGGGTGCCATGGTCGATACGCCTACAGCACCAGGGCAAAGGGACCTTGAGCAACGCGATGACGAGATCCGAGGCCTCAAGGCTATTATCCACTCTTTGAGCTCTGGTGGAGACGACCGTATCCGATCACCTCTACCGACCAACCCTGTCGACTACGAAGAACTTCAAAACGCCAAAGCTACTGCAGAACGTCTGGAGCGCGAGAAGGAGGAACTACGTGGTCTGGTAGAACGCAAGGCATACCGAGAAGAAGAACTAGAACGCGAGCTTGAGAGACTTAAAAGCCGACTCGGTCTCGCCGAGCAGCGCGCCAGCATCATCAGCAACGGCATGTCTGAGCACACAGCCACGCAAGAAAAGCCTGCTGAGCGCGACTCCAAAGACACGATCCTCAACTGGCGCGAAACACCCCAACACACGCGCCGCAACACCCCACCCACGCTTACCACCGTCCCCGACTCGGACGGCGGCCACTCGTCGGCAAACAGCAGCACCCTCTGGTGCGAAATCTGCGAAACAGGCGGCCACGACATCCTCAACTGCTCCGCCATGGGCGGCGACGCAGCATCCTCTTACTCGCAAGACGACCCCCTCCTCCGCAACGGCGGCAAAGACGTCCTCATAGAAGGTCTCCGCGGCCTATCCGTCTCCTCAGATCGCTCCCGCCCCTCGATCCTAAACCCTTCTAAACCCCCGGGCTCCGCCCCCAGCGCTCCCCTTCCAAACCCTTCTTTCAACTCCTCCTCTCCTAGCGCTAATCTCGTTCCTCCAAAGGGTGCCGCTATTGCTGACCCGGATAAGTGGTGTGCGTTGTGTGAGAGCGAGGGGCATGATGTTACGGCCTGTCCTAATGAAGATGCCTTTTAAAGTAGAGGTTATGGGGTCTTTGATGCTGTCGTTTTGGCGCGAATATTTCTTTTCTTTGGAGAGGATGAATGTTTGTCAAGTTAAGTTTAGAGAGATATTTTTTTTCCTGTCGCAGCAGCAGTAGTGAGGGGATGTTGTGGGATGTTCGTCTTCATTCGTGTATGATATCCCTCGCCCGCCAGTCCCTCCTCGTCTTCCTCCTCCCTCTGCCGACCTCCCCTCTTCTCCCCCCTTTTTCTTTCCATTGGATCCAAAGAGCTTCGTTGATGATGAACGCTGTCTGTCTGCCATAGTAGTACTGAGAAGAGAGGACGAGATGAAAGACGAAGATACTACCATCTATATAATATTTTTCTACATTTAGATTTTCCCTCTTACCCTTTTTCGTCCTTGCAATCTTACGCAACTTGTACGTTGGTACGATATCTACACTAGGGTGACTATGCATAGCGATAATGGATAGGCGTTGAAGAGAGGATACAGTAGTTTCTAGGCATCATCGTAGTAATGTAGGTAAAAACGTCAATGTATCCGTCGAACAACATGATCAGCATCACCCTTATAACAGACACATGTATACGAGAATATCTTCAATAGCTTCATACACACCACTACCCGAGTGCTTTTCTCCTTACAAGACAAATACACGGTAGAAAAGTCAACGCCATAAAACACCGCGATAGATGACCATGGAGAATACAATGGACGCAACGATACTAGCCTACTCAAGCCCTTTTGCCCGACTTATGCTTCTTTGACTTCTTTTCCTTGAACTTTTCCGCTTCTTTGTAGGCCTCTTCTACGGCCTCGCCTACTTTGCGCTTCTTTTCGCCCGTCTTGACGGCTACGGTCATGTTGGCTGCATTTGAGCCTTTGCTTGCTGCTTTGCTGACAGCGCGCTCGGCGTCTTGCCAGTCTGTTTCGGTGGCGCCGATTTCGTACCTAGGAGGTTGTGGGTTAGTTATGTTGCATGTGTTAGAGACAGGGAGTGGGAATATACTTGTGTAAAGGCAGCGCGTCAATCATACTCCTCTGCCTCTCCTTTTCCTCTTCTAGGAATTCGTCTCCGCCCTCTCTCAGCTCTTCTTGGAGATCTTTCTCTAGTGGCTGGAAGCTACGTGTGGGCACATTTCCATCTTGTGCGCCCGCCTCTGCCGCATTATCGTCGGTAACACCTTCCATGGCCTCGGGCAAAGTTTCCTCGACTGCGCGCTCGACAATGCCGCGGAAGGCTGTGGCAAATTTTCTTACAACCTTGACGAACATGGCCATGAGTTGGCTAGAGTTGAGGTTCAACTCCTTCTCCACATCTGAGAACTCCTTACGCTGCAGGCCGATAGCGAGTAGCAGCGCATTCTGTATGCCGCTGAGCTTGACGATGCCTTTGAAACGGCTAGTGAAATATAGAGTGGCGATGGATGGTAGCATGTCGAGGATGACATGGTAGTCTAGCATGTTGTTTGCATAGGACTCTAGACGCTTGAGGTCGAAGGGAGTGAAAAGGGCGTCTAATTCGGCTTTTGTTATTGGTGTTGCGGCGAGATCAGCGTCGAGTTTGGAGCCGGCAGAGGCGGATTCTTCGATTGAGAGTGAGGTTATTGAGGGGAATGTGCGGAAGTGGTAAGATAGTAACGACAGGAAGCGCTTCTGGAAATCCTTGGCAAATGCCGCGACCCAACTGCCGTCGGACGATGTTGTCTCGAGAGACCTCAGCATAATGCATGTGTGTTCGCCTGTCAAGTCGTTTGGCGTCTGGCGGAGGTATACTGGCACAAATGATGCACGTTTCCAGAATCTATGGAGCTGTGGTGTGAGACCGTAGGATACACCGACGTAGTCCAGTTTCGGTGCTTTAAGCTCTGGTAGTCGGGCAAAGAGCGGTGGCATCTCGTTTGCCTCTCGAATCTTGACATTGTCCTTGAGGAGTGATACCTCCTCCAAATCTTCTTCCGTGATCCTTCGCATCTGCTCTACTTCCTGGGGCTCGTTTTCCGATAAGCTTGCGAGCTTGCCGTCGTAGAAATCGACCAAAAGTTGCAGTGCTTTTGATCCGTATCCCATGTTGGCGTACTCTGGGTTTGTCGCTATCCGCACTACACGTGCACCTGAGAGACTGGCAAAGTTTTCGTCTTGGAACTGCTGAGACACGATCCACGGAATCAAGTCACCTCCTGCACGTTGTCCTCGTCTCAAACTGTTAAGCACACTTTCCTTGCTGATCTGACCTTCAAGTGCTACCTGGATAACACAGAGGGGCTCGGGAAGCTTGCTCTCCTCTGTGGGTCCAGTGAGGACAAACAGTTGATGTGCAGGCGCATCAGACATGAGCTGGAGATCATTGGGCGTATTCTTGTAGTGACTTGCAACATACAGCGCCATCATCTTCTGTAGGAACTTTTCGGCGGCCGGATTGTAGGAAAAGAGGGTATCGCGGTTCACATGAAGCAGCTGACATTTGTCGGGGAATGGGAATCCTTGGGTGCTGGATTTCCGTGGCAGGGTTGCATCGAGACATAGGAGATCGTTCATCCATCGTTCAACCGAGTCACCTTGAGCGTAACGGATAGGTTCCGACAGCGTAATTTCCCGGAGCGATCTACTTGATATCGATGTCTCGGTTCCGCTCCTGGACTGCTCGCGAAGTTGCTGAATAAGCTTCAAGGAGAGCGATCGGCCAGTTCCTTCGTAACCATTGATAGTCGAAGCCATAAAGACGAGGTAAGGTCCCATGAGATTTCGTACGAGCGGTAGAGGAATAGCAGCAGCCTCATCAATGACCAGAAGCTCTGCCTGTCCGAGAACATGCGAGTCTTCAGGTTTGATGTATTGGATAACCTGTCGGTGCTGGCGGTGTAATTCGATACGTACGATGGCTTTGTTCTGCTCGGGTTGAGTGGACTGCATAATGGTGTAATCTTGGTGATCTACATAGTTGAGCGAATCGAATCCCTTGAGAATGAACTCGAATAGTGTCTTCAAATTCTCCGGACTTGGCGATGTGATGTAGATGTTGCTGTAGCCATGCGCGACTGCTGCTGCTACAGCAACACCCAGAGCTGCAGACTTTCCTCGTCCACGGGCCGCAGTCAGAGTAACCGTACTGCGCAGTGTCTTCTCCACGATAGCCTCTACAAAGGTCAACAGAGCCTTTGCCTGATCCACAGTCTTTGCAAGCTTGACGAGGTCTCCAGTAGGAGGAGTGTCTGCCAATGACTCCTTGATCTCAGCCAGCTCTTTCGCCTTTAGTGTCTTGCCTTCGAGCTCTGTGTCTGGTGGCGGTAGTTGCTTGACGTGCTTTCCGCCGGAAATGGGTAGCACGTTGAGCTCGTCGTCAACCACCAGGCAGCTGTCGCATTTGCCCAGCGATAGTATGAAGCGCTCATTGAAGCGCGCAACAACGTCGGTATGCGCCTCGGTCCGGTATCTCGAGTGGATATCCATAGATAATGTGTACAATTGCTTCAAGCTGCTCATGCCCTTCAGCAATAATATGACCAACCCGCCACCCTCTACTGTTTCTATCGTACGCGCGAGCAGATTCGGCGTAAGGGCTTCGAAATCCTGCAGAATGCACATGCCATAATTGTTTCCGAGAATCTTGTCGGTTTCCTTGTAGTAGCAGTACCGAATGTTCTGCGTGGAGACGAATAGTTCGAATGGGTCATCGGTATCGACATCGCGGACTCCTCGCTTGATTTCGTTCTTTATCTTCTTTTCGCGCTTCTTCCGGTGACTCGAGAAGCCCAGAAGCTTGTTCTTGTATGCCCATAGTACTGACTTGTTCAACTTGACGTCCACGCTGAGCAGAATGTGGTAAAGGTTGACAATCACGTCCTTTTGACGATCTCCGACAACTACAAAGAAGCTTCGCTTCTTTTCTTGGGCACCATTGCGGATCAGCGCCGGTATGCGGGAGTCAATGGCCTTCTTAGGCATCTTGAGAGCGAGCTCCGCGGGCGTCTCCGCCTCTTCTTTGACAGCGAGCTTGTATCGGGTAGCGCAATCAGTGTTTCACTGGTAGTAGAATCGCGGAAGCTTTTCGGCTTGTTTTCGGTAGATCGGGTCTTACTGCCCGTGTTGTGGCGGGATGTAGAGTGGTCGCAAAAAGTTCTGGCAGTCGCGAGAGCTTCCAGGGTTCCGAGAAAATAATTCTTATCGATAATGCTTTCGCGCTAAGAGCGCGCGCACGTCCTCATGTCTGCAAAATGTGAGCCGCTTTGGTATGTAAAAAATGGTCCAAAGTGGTCTTTAGAGATTTGAACTGGCTAATTAAACAGCTATACTAGGACATTAGGCGACTGAATATAGTCACATAATGGGATAGTGGCGTGAACATATGCTCCATCTAGTACATCTGATCCCGTCTTCAACTTACTAGTCTTTAGTACAAATTAAACAAGTCTTGGTTGTTCGCAAGCAAGGTGTACCTCCTGGTGATGGAAGAAATGGAAACTCAGTATTCTCAGCGTTAATTTGGTCACACTTACTATTTTTCATTGTAAGGTTATACAGTAGCGCGAGAAACCAGCGCAGTAAATTCACGAACAGCAAGAGCAATCTTTTGATATCGTGTACTTAAGAGACATAGTTTTATCAGCAGTTCAAATGGCAAAAACGCCAATCATGTCCATCCAGTCTCATCAATCATATACCGTCATGCCACCAGCAACCTCACCCACTACTCATCGCCTTCCACTCTCAGTGTACTTCTCCAACCCAACATGCTCGTTAATCCAATCCAACACAACCTGATGCCACATCAACCCATTCTCCGGCTTGAGGACCCAATGGTTCTCATCCGGGAAAGTCAGAAACTGGCTCTCCACCCCCTTACACTGCAGCACATTGAAGGCGGCTAGTCCCTCACTGATAGTCAGCCTGTAGTCGAGTTCGGAATGAATAATAAGATGAGGCGTTGCCCAGTTCTCTGTGAACTTGGAAGGATCCCACTTGTCCCAGCTCTCAGGGTTCTTCCAAAGTGTGCCGCCGATGTCGTGGAATGGGAAGTAGAGTTCTTCGGACGCCATTTGGCCAGTCATGCTGAAGACACCGTCGTGAGTTACCAAGGCTTTGAATTCGCGGCCAAGAGGGTGGCCTTGAATCCAGTTCATCATGTAGCCACCGTATGAGGCGCCGAGTGCCACAGCGCGAGTAGTGTCGACGTAATTAACATGTGATTTGATGTAGTCGAATCCTAGCACAAGGTCCTCGTAGGGAAGACCACCCCATTGATGTTGGATGGCGTCGGTGAAGGCTTGGCCGTAAGAGGTACTTCCGGTAGGGTTTGGACATATAACGACATAGCCTTGCTCTGCAAATACCGCTGGGTTCCATCGTGTGCTCCAACCATCTGTCCAGGCACCTTGTGGTCCTCCATGTACAAGATACGCGAGTGGGTACGTCTTATCTTCTGAGAAATCGCTAGGCTTCACAACCCATGCATGAACCTTCGTATCAGGGGCCGCACCGTCCCAATGAATCTCGTCAACCTGGTTACGCGACAGGCCAAAAGTAGAGCCTGAGCGCGTGTTCGAAGAAATGTACTTAGTTGTCAGATTGTCAGCGTCTGAGTCGTATGGTCGGTCATCAATGGGAAAGGTGTACAAAACCCCACCATCGGGATGAGCGCTTAGAGGTAGAAGCGAGTACAAGGAGTTCTCGATCAAACTGTTTGAAGAGAGAAATAGGTCGCCATTCTTGAGGACTTGCACTGAGCCGATAGTCCCACCTTTCACGAGCAGCGAAGGCAAAGGTTGTTCCTCGGGTCCAGGCTTGGGGGGTCCAGCGCTGTACAAGTTTCCTCTACCATGTTCCTCCGCAGTGAAGTACAGTTTCCAGTCATCAGGGCTCCAGGATATCGACTGTGGGCTCCGATCCCACCTTCCTTTGCCATCTTGAGAAGCATATAGCGGAGTGAGTTGCGATGGTTTCGTGTAGTCGTGCATGATGAAGGCTTGATTCTTGTCCGACTCGTAGCCGTCAGTCTTCATTGACAGGAAGGCGACCATACTGCCTGAGTTTGACCACACTGGAGATGTGCTAGCGCCTTCGAAGCCTTCAATCGTTGCCTTTTGAATCTCCGGGATATCTTTCGAATGCAGATCATCCCAGAAGCTCTCAGAAGCGGAAACGTAAATGTTAGTCTTGGTATGTGTAGCAGGGTTAACGTCTGGATCCTTGGACGTGAAGACAAGACCATGCCTTGAGATATCGAAATGATCCTTGCCACCAAAAGGCTCAATTGGGCTCTCGAGAGGCGTTCCTTTCAGTGCATTCTTTGGTTCATGTTGCAACACGAACACGTTGCAGTCGGAAGTCTTCTTCTGGCGTAGCTTGCCGAGCCATATCGCGTTGCGGTTCTCCGTAACGTAGTGATCCCAATGTCGGACGAAACCGGATTTGTACAGCTTCCCAGACGTATGCGGTTTTTCAGCCTTCTCGGGATTAAGGAGCGTGCCATCAGGCTTTGCTTTGCCAACGACCGCGAACGCAAAGTGGCCACTGCCGAGGTCGTAGATCTTCAAATCGTTGACGGGTCCTTGAATGGTACCTGCCGTATGTTTACTAGCGACGAGTCAATGTATAGGTCTCTAATTCTCGTCAGAGGAAATGTATACCTCTGTTCGAACTTCCGAGGAGAGCCGACGACAAGATCTGTGGTACCATCATCGTTCGACTTCAGCAACAACACCGTCTCATCATCAAGCCAAGTAGGCTCGCTGTACGACTTATCATCCGTCACAAGACCACTCTGCTGGCTCGCAACATCCAAAACACGAATCTCTTTCTTTGTTATATGTTCTGAGAAGCTGTATGTCGACACCGCATACAATATCTTGGACGCATCGGAGTTTGGGGCGCCCTCGGACCGGCGAGGCGCAGAAAGAAGCACTTCTGGAGTGAACTTGGCAGCTCTAATCGTCATGGCAGCGGTGGCAGGAATGAAATCTTCGGAAATGTTGCTGACCTCGTGGAGTGTCATGCAAAAGGGTTGTACTGTAAGGAAGGAGCAACGTGGTACACGTTTGTCACTAGGCGGATGTCGTTGCCCTGGTTCCCGAGGCCGCAGGAAGCTACCCCACCGACTAGCGGCACTCGTCGTGTCATCATTCGCCAAAGTCTGGTGACCCCTCCCCGATTCGATGACTCTGATCGTCACACCGACCGCGACACTCCCGTTGGTTCCCTAGCTGCAGCTTTACCAGTACTTTTGCGGTGTACATATTAAGTCTAATTTTAAAAACTCTAAAAATCCAGTCCAAGGACGTTCAGTCCTGTGGCGCAGTGGTAGCGCGCCGTTCTTATAAGATTCGTCAGACTCTTATGACCTCATCCAGGTTATGCGGATGCCGTGGGTTCGAAGTAAGATTCTCCCACATCGATGCTTTGTTCGATCTCCTTTACTAACATTCTTTCCAGCCCCACCAGGACTAGACCTTGTTCTCTTTTTTTGCTCTTTTTTATTTATAAACTTCTTATAGAAGTTTAGCATTTTTATCTTCTTAGGTTAATTAAGGAGCTAAGTATCTGTTAGCAACAGGATGCATGGTAGCTACGGCTATCGCAGGGTTTCTTTTTACAGTTTCTGCACTACTGGCACTACCGGCACACATGCATGTAAACTGCATCTACTCTTTGGTTATCGTTACTTTACAGAAAGAAGACACGCATAGAACTAACGCATGTATGGCAAGATATAATAAGCACTAATATATTGCAATTAGACATATGTAAGACCAAAGTCCTCTACCAAGAAGCGAGTAGTAACGTTACTCGGCTGTGAAGAATTCTGCTTAATCGAAAAGATAAAAAACAATAAACGCTCCATGGTATACGCTCGTGCTGTCCTCAAAACATAACCAGATAAGAAAAACTAGGTTCCAGTCCAAACCAAGTGCCCCAGGACTGTAACAATAAGACCAGAATCATAACGTCGTTAACCAACCTCCACCCACCCACCATCGTTCCAATCCAAATCTATATCCTTCCAAACCCATAGCATTGCCCATCCCTTCCACCTATTTTCACTTTTTTTTCATTTCTCAGTCCCCCTCCCTATCCTGACCGACACATTTACTTCCAAATCTGCCACTTCTTCTTTTGTTTCGGCACAACAAAACTATCCTGACTATTCTGCTCCTCCTTCCCACTATAACTCCTACCATCCTCATCATCATCTTCGTCACCAAGGCTATCAGAGCTATCCTCGCCGCCCTGATACCTGCCTGTACCAAGATATCTAGCGCCGGCGCCCACGCTGCCGTTGCGTTGGGGGTACGCCGGATACGCGGCGGCGGTGCGGTCGTAGCCGCTTCGTTGGGGTTGAGCGTAGTCTGCGCGTTGGACGGGTTTCTCGTTGTATTCTGGGTCGACGGCTTGTCGGGGGGCGGTTGCGGGGTGGACGGCGGCTGGATGAACGGCGGCGGCTGTTGCGGGATGGACTGCTGCAGGGTGAGGTTGGCCGTCGCGACCGCCGCTGCTGAAGTAGTCACCGCCTGTAATGTCTTGTCTGGGTTGGAGGCCTTGGCCGTATTTTGCGTAGGGGGATCCCGGGCCGGCTCCGACGATTGCTGGGTGAGGTGGGTAAGATTGGCGCTTTGATTTCTTGTTCACTTGTATGTCTACTTCTGGGGAAGGGAGTTGGGACTTGTGCGATGAGTTATACGATGGTTGTCTGCGGGCGGAGTTGGAGCGGGATGGAACCGCTGTCGTCGGGACCGCAAGCTGGGTTATGGGAGGATGCTGAAGCGCACTGACGTGTCGTTTCGCTGCTGCGTTTTCCCATGCTGAGGCTCTGGAGGATGTACCCGCACCCACATCCAGGCTTCGTCGTCCGTGGATTTCTGGAGCGAGATTCTGCGGCGCGCCGACCGTCGGCGTCGAACCTGATTTAGCAGCTGAGTTAGCATGGAAGCCAGAAGTGAGATGGTTATCACGAGGTGCAGGAGCAGAGGCAGAGTCGCGCCGGGTTTGTGGCCCAGCCGCCGGGATGAGTATCCTGGGTCCGACTGTGTACCTTTGGCGCGCACGCTTTTCCTCATCCTCGCTGGATACCTCTCCAAGCTCACTTCCACTCTCGCTGCCTGAAATCGAGTTCCCATCATCACCAATCGTACTCTTATGCTTGCCACCAAATGCAGCGAAGAACCCCTTGGGCTTGCGAGGTTCCTTTTCCACGACACCATCCTCTGATTCGACATAATGAAGAGCTGGCACAAGAAGCCTATATGGCATGGTGATACCTGCCGGGTCGTGTTGCGATACTTCGACATTGAGACAGATGTCGAGACCGCCTTCGAGGTTGATGAGTTCATCGTGCTTTGATGCACCCTTCTTGCTTATCACACTAGGACGGCGGTGGAAGCCCGACGGTCTATCTTGTGACATGCTGGGACGGCTTCGAGGAGAGGACATGCTCCCTGATGTGCCTGGACGGCCACCGTCGACCGAGGTACGACGACGGAAGAGAGAAGACAAAGAATTGCGACGCGAACGAGTGAGTTTCTCTGAATCAGAGCGATCCGGGGAGAACGAAGACTGCGGCTGATGGTGGTGGCCCACCTGCTCATTATCGGCCGCAGCATATGCGGGATTGTTGCGATATGACACAGGGGGACCACGACCTCGTGCAGAGGGTCTCGTCTGCTGACCACTTAACCGCCTTACCAGCTGACCAGGCGTGAAGTCAGACATGGTTCTGCCCAAGCGAGGGCCATCTGTCGGTGTCGAGGGTGGTGAGGGAGTGTCTGGAGGTGTAGAGCCCGGCTTGTACTCGCGAATGCTGCACCAGTTTCGATGTGGCAGTAGATGGTTGTTATTTCTCTTCTTTCCGTCCACGCCATGACTGAAGAGAGGTATCATGTCTTCGTCCGTGTAATGATCGAGATGATGGACCTTGTTCCGCTTGTTGATAATGTCCGCCATGATGTCAGGAGGCGGCGTGTTGACTATAGCGGAAGAAACCACGTTTGGCATATACCTGTGATCCCTGTCCTTGGGCACGTTGAGTTTCTTGTTGGTATAGAACTGACCGACAGCTGCAAGATGTACGTCGCCACCAAGAATAGTAACACGAACAGACTTTGTGGAAGCAATGTGTTGCAGCTCACGAATGAACCAGTTGCGCTCTTCCTTGTGGTGCTTGGCTGTCCAATGATCATCAAGATCATCCAAGATCTCCACGCCTCCGTCGAACTTGTTGACAAAGTTGCCTAGCAGACCAGTGCGACCGAGGGCCTTGATAGGGTCCATGATCCTACTTGTCAATAGTATCTCAAGGAAGTTCAAACGAGGGTAAGCGATGGGTACCCCAAGTAGTACTATCAGGTGCTTAGTCTCGCCCTTGATGATCTCGTCTTCTAGGCGATCGAATATGATGTCGTAAGAGTCCTCAGTGAGTATCTCGTCCCGCCGTCGCTCCGTGCGACAATCAAGGCCAAGGAAGGCCACCTGTCGACCAAGCTGCATGAAGACGCTTCTGGAGCGCTCTTTGATGTAAGGTCCTGGATTTTTTCCAAGCAGCCATGACGGCTCGGTCTTCTCGGTTTCAGCGGCCACCGACTGGTGTTGGAAGAGCATATAGTACTTGAAGGCGACTGCGCCAACGCCCGTGAAGACAGGCGTTTGCATGAAGTGGTGAGGGTAAGAACCATAGCCCTGAGATTATTAGCAGACTCCAAGGAACAGTGCAAAGTTAACTTACGTCGATGATGTCGTGATCATCCCACATGTTGACCATCGGAATTTGCGAGTTGGCCATGCCAAACATTCCCTGCGAGAACCACATCGAGTACCGATCAAGGTAGAACTGCTCCAGCTCATTCTGCATCTCCTCAGAGAATGGCTGATGGTGTTTGTGCAAGGGGTTCCTGCTCTCGGTCCATGATCGAAACAAGGTAGTCTGTCTCATTGCCGCATCGTTGTAGATTTGGTCACCTCCGCCAATCATCACATGAAAAGGGCGGGTCTGATGCGTGTTCAGCACATCGCGCCACATGGGATCAGGTCCACAGAACTGCTTGGACTCCACGCTCATGGAAAATCCATTGCAGCTGTGGAACATGATGTTCATAGATTCTCCCTTTGCAGGAACCCAGAATCCAATTGCAGGACCCTGATTGATCCTGTAGGCAATCCGTGTCTGACTGGTTCCGAGCTCGACTTCAATGTTGAAGCGCCAGAAGGTGACTCCTCTTTCAGCGTATAGACGTATACCGGGGAAGTCACGCACTTTACCGAGCTTTTCGCCGTCTCTCTTATGAATGCGGGTGGACTTAGCAGCCGAGCCATTGGTAGTACTTCGGGTCTGGGAGAAAAGGCCGGTGTCATCTTCGATACGAGATAGATCCTCGTCTTCTGGTATTTCATCGATCGGTTTGACATACAATGTCTTGCCTGTGCGCGAGACTTTGATTTGGCCTTCAACAGGATCGATGTAGGACGGGTCTAGTTGATCTTGATCGACCTCTTCTGGCGGTGGGGGCAATATGTCCATTGGCTGCTTGAACAGACGTAATGTCGGCGGCTTGACATAAGAAGAAGAGGCGTCAACAGTCACAATCATGACGCTGCCTCGCCATATCTCGCGCTCATTCCCTGGCCCTGGCCTGCTACGGTCTTTGCGAAGGCCCGTGTAGCGCAAAAGGGGTCCACACTTGAGGTACAATGGTGGGTTGAAAGCAGTCGGGGTAGGAGTGTCAGCATAGCCATCGTATGTTGGAGATGCGTGACTGCTGGAACGTCTTCGCCGCGCGGCCTTGCTCTCTTCCCACCACGCTTTGTTGCCGCTGTTGGCTGTGACTGGGGTGTTCAGATCAAGATCATCTGCGCCCAGGGTGCCAATAGGCGCATTCCTCCACTCGTCAAGCATCGGGCCAGGGGTATATGTCCGTTCTGGGTCGCTGTGATGGCTCGAGTGGCGGGAATGGCGGGAGTCGCGTTTACGAGTCTTCTCTGGATCGTGTGCCTCCAACTCCGATTCGGACTCTGAAAAAACGACGCTCTTGCGGTTGGTTTGGGGCACAGGAGGCATGAGAGGCTTTAGAGGTTTTAGTTGTCGGTTCTCAATACTCCGGGGTGTTCCCTTGTGATCAATAGAGTGTTGTTGCATTTCCATCTGCGCCGCCATGATGCCCCGACTGTCTCTTCGGCCATGGTCTTGCTTGCTGTCCGAGCCAGCAACTTCAGCACCCGCCGAGGTATCGTCTACACCTACTAAGCCAAGCCCCGCAGCAGCAGGGACTGGCTTCCTGTGTATGTTTGCCATGGCACTTCGATCGCTGTAGCTGCCACTGCCTCGTGCAACTCCAACTGGCTCTTTCCCCTTCGTGCTGGTGCTTCGCGGACTAGCGGCGTTGTTGTGCGGAAAGGCGTCGTATCCTGAAGGTACAGGTGGGCGCTTGTGGACCGTCCCAGCCTGGATGGGTTGGACTGCTACAGCCCGTGCCCCGTTAGGATCCCAGGGTTCGTTGAGGTCATAGACATAGCCGTCGTCGGATTCGAGTTCACTCATCTGCGGAGACAGGTGCAAGGCTGGCGTTCGCATTGAGACACGGTTATTGCCACTGCTTGCTTCGCTTGGAACCCTAGGAGACCTCTCTGGCACGGATGCTGCGTTGGCTGCTGCTCGTTGTTCTTCCTCCTGCTGCTGTTTTAGTGCAGCTTCTTGCTGCTGTTTAATTGCGGCTTCTTGTTGCTGTTTAATCGCGGCCTCTCGCGCCCGCCTTGCCCGCATCTCAGCCTCGGCCTTTTCTTGCGCTGCCAATTCCGCCTCGAGTATCCTCGCTCTTCTCTCTTCTTTGCTGATGTCATCTAGCTTCCCCTCTAGTTTTTGCAGTGGTGATCGGTCAGGTACAGAGGGTTTGCGACTGGAGCCGCGGCGCTCGACAGTACCTGCCAATGGCTCGACTGGTGCGTATGGTGGTGAGCGTAGTTCGTATAGTCTATCGGCGGCTGTTTGTATGGTCGCTTGCTGTCTGCTCGGGTTCAATTGGATGGCTGGATCGCGGGACCGACCAGAAGCCGTGCGCGCAGGTACTCTGACACCTTTGGCATATGGGTCTCTGTAAGACGAGGGTGGCGCACGCGGTACCTCTGGGGCAGCGGGCACACTTTCGCTCATTGCGCCTGTAGTAGGCGGTGGTATGTGTTGGCTATGTCGCCGCCTCTGGCGGTTCGAGGATCCAGAGGCGACAGGGCGTGCAGTGTTGCTGGGTATCGCATTGGACATGGTGGGCTCGGGCGGAGATATCGGGGATCCTGAAGATATGACAGTGGGCTGCGCCTCGACCGGACGGCGATAGCTGGCTCGTTTTTGCGCATGATTATCTGGTGGTGGTTGAGGGAGAGCAGGATTGACTGCTCGCGCGGCGAAAGAGCCGCTGTTCCTACGGTTGTCCATGTTGCGACGAGATCATAGCCTAAGGCTGGAGACGGTGAAGCAAGCGGGGCCTAATACCGTCTTGAGGGAATTGGGACAGAAGCTATGTCGAGTTTGAGCTATATAATGCAGGTTACACTATCACACGATTACTTAGATACAGGCCTCAATTGGTGTCATTTGTGATAGCTACCTAAGACTGGCGGTGCAGAAGTACGGTGGAGATGTTGGGATAGGGCAATGCGCGAACAAAAGTGCAACAGAGCGCTACGAGGGCGATGATGTGCAGCGCTACGAGAGCAAAGCTATGTACAAGGCAACTAGAAGAACGGTAGCGACAGGTGCAGGGTCGCGGCACATATCCGTTAGCCAGCGCATCATAGAAATCAGATGGCGGGTGGTGGCTGGCGTTCGCCTGGGTGCAGGGCAGCATCTTGGAAGCTGCTACACACCCACGGCTCCAGGCTCGCTTGTAGAGGCAGGTGCGGCAGCGGCTAGCCATCCATAAGGGGTAAGGCGCCATTTAGGCGCGAGTCCTGCATTGCTGCAGCCTGCATCCATGGTGGCTTCTTCAGACAGCGACGGTTAGACAAGGGCGTTTCACTGTGCTTGCGACTACATACGTAAACCAAAGGGGCCGTTTCTTCTCTCCACATTCACACGTCTTCATCTCCACACACACAGCAGCGCTCCCTTTCTGTCTTGCTCTTGCTCTTGCTCGTTCTCCACTTCGTGTACTCTCGGGCCGGTCTCCATTGTCCAAGTGCAACCTAAAAGACGTTCCAGAGTCCACTAATACCCTGGTTCCTCTTAACCGGGCCCCCATTTCACAATCAGCTGCGACGTACCTATCTTAGGATCCTTTCATTCAACACACCACAGTATCCTTAACTCGATCAAACAGCGCTCCTTCCTAAAACAATACTCGACGACACCCGAACACGCACGCGATATATGACCGCAGCCAGCTGCACATAGTCACTTTACTGGCGTCTTCGCCATGCGCATCCATCTCTGGGCTCTGCTGTCGGCCGCGAGCCTTGCCACGGCAGGGAGCTCCCTCCCGCCTCGCAACTACTCCAGCCACGATTATTACGCCATTCACATATCTCCTTCGACCTCCCCTGCAGAACTTGCAGCGCATCTTGGCCTGACATACGAGGGCCCGTTCGGCTCACTCGAAGATCATCATGTCTTCAAAGCCCCGAAACACGACAACGACATCGTAGACGACGCACGGCAGGAACTAAAGAGACGGCGGCGGAAACGAGAGGTTGGGTCGGAATACCATCCTTTGGACAGCGTCCGCTTCACTCAGAAGCAAAAGCTTAAGCCGCGGCACTGGAAGCGCAGTGTCATACCTCCTCGAGCAGCGCCCTCGATCAACGATGCCATCAGGGCGCAGCGGGAATTCGCAAACCTCCTGCAAATCAAGGATCCCATCTTCGAGGAGCAATGGCATCTCTTCAACGTAAAAACCCCTGGAAACGACATCAACGTCACGGGCGTGTGGACGCAGGGCATCACGGGCAAGAATGTGACCGCTTGCGTAGTTGACGATGGCTTGGATTATACTAGCAACGACTTGAAGGACAACTTCTTCGCCCAAGGTTCTCACGACTATAACGACCACGAAGACCTACCGACCCCGAAACTCTCTGACGATCGACACGGAACACGATGCGCCGGCGAAATCGCTGCAGGGAGGAACGATGCCTGTGGCGTAGGGCTCGCCTACGACGCAAAGATCTCTGGTGTTCGCATTCTCTCGGGTGATATTACCGATCTCGATGAGGCACTCGCGATAAACCACGAGATGCAAGCGAATGACATTTACTCTTGCTCCTGGGGCCCTCCTGACGACGGAAAAACGATGCAGGCACCCGGTATTCTTATTGAGAAGGCCATGGTTACCGCTGTGCAGCAAGGCCGTGGTGGAAAGGGTTCCATCTACGTTTTCGCGGCGGGCAACGGCGCTGCCAGCGACGACAACTGCAATTTTGATGGCTACACCAACAGTATCTACAGTATTACCGTCGGAGCGATCGATATGAACAATGCACATCCATACTACTCCGAGGCCTGTTCCGCGCAGCTGGTCGTTACCTACAGTAGCGGTGGCGGCGACTCTATCCACACAACAGACGTCGGCACGAACAAGTGCACTGCCCAGCATGGCGGTACATCTGCTGCTGGACCAATTGGTGTAGGAGTCTTTGCTCTAGCACTGTCGGCCCGTCCCGAGCTGACCTGGCGCGATGTGCAATGGATTACCGTCATGACAGCTATTCCTTTCGATACACCCAGCGACTGGACCAAGACATCGCTCGGCCGCATGTTCAGCCACCAGTTTGGTTATGGAAAGCTCGATGCATGGGCGGTTGTGGAAAAGGCCAAGGAATGGAAACTCGTCAAGCCTCAGGCCTGGTTCTACTCACCCTGGATGCACGTCAAACAGAAAATTCCCGAAGGCGACCAGGGTCTGGCCAGTTCCTTCGAGGTGACGGAAGAGATGCTCAAGAAAGTCAACTTTGAACGTGTCGAGCATATTACGCTTACCATGAACATAGAGCATGAGCGTCGCGGAGATCTTAGTGTCGAACTTCGGTCACCGAGCGGCATGGTTTCTCATCTCTCAACCCCACGTCGCTCTGACGAGGCTCCGTATGGCTACGTCGATTGGACCTTCATGTCAGTCGCCCACTGGGGTGAAAACGCTGTGGGCAACTGGACCGTCATCGTCAAAGACATAATGCCAAACAATCAAAAGACGGGCACTTTCACCGACTGGAAACTCCGTCTCTGGGGCGAATGCATCGACGCTTCCAAAGCCAAGCTCCGCCCCATTCCCGACGAGCACGACGACGACGATCACGACAAGATTGACAACCACCCAGCCCAGACAACGAGTGTGGCTCTTCCAAGCAGCACTGCACCTACTATGACCTCTCTTCCCTCCGACCACCCTGACCGTCCAATTAACCAGAAACCCACTCAGACTAACAGTGTTGTGCTTAGTACCACCACAGCATCTGCTACATCAAGTCCAACAGCATCTGGCACTCCACCGGAGAACTTCCTTCCCAACCCCTTCCCGTCCTTTGGTGTTTCCAAGCGCACTCAGATCTGGATCTACGGGGCCCTCGCTCTCATCCTCGCCTTTATTGCTGGTCTGGCAGCCTACTTCTTCATCGCCAGACGTAAGCGTATGAAGGATTCGCGAGACGCATATGAGTTCGAGGTCCTGGATGGCGACGAGGACCGCGACGACGCGGGTCTGCTTAGTGGCGCGGCCGCTGGTGGAAGGAAGAAGCGCGCCAAGAGGGGTGGTGAGCTATATGATGCTTTTGCTGGCGAGTCGGATGAGGATCTGCTGAGTGATGATGAGGATGATGAGGGTCCGTATAGGGATCAGGATAGGTTTAACGAAAAGTATGCTCAGGATGAGGATGAAGATGAGGAGAGTGAGGATGAAGGCAGTGGTAGTGGGGCGAGTCTTGTGGAGAAGAGACAGTAGAAATGGCTTTGGTAGTAGGAGTGTAAGAAACCTTTTTTGCGGATGGACCGGCTTGTTTTGTTGTTATAGAATGGGACTGTGCGAATCAATCATTGGGTGGTGTTGATACGTTTTATTCTGGCTCCTTGTACACGCTCTGTATGTTTTGGGGATGCTTATATTTGTATGTTCGTTTACGCCTTTGAATATAGAATCCCATCATGGTAGAGAAGCATGTGTGACGGTAAAACGGGGGTATCATATTTGCAACGAACTTTAACTTTTTTCCCATCCATCCAAACCCAAATGAAAAAGCCCGGAAAGCGAATCTACGCCACCTTCCTTCCCACGTTACCAACCCCTCTACCTACAACACTAACAACAATCTCCTCCTTCTCGCCCCCCGCCTCGCGGAACCCCCACCCACTCCCCCCGAAAACCTTTGCATCCCTTGCCAATTGTATAATCTCCTCGCTACCTAAGACATCCTTCCCCAACGCCACTCTACCCACATCTTCACTGCCCATAGCCATAAGCATAAGCACCGTAGGCGCCGCCACATTCTCCACACAACCTCCCTGCGCAATCTTCTCTAGAAGCTGGTACGCGCATTGTTTACCGATTTCGTCTGCAGGGACGCCGCCGTCGGGGGGTGAGCACACGTCTGCAGAGTATATGCAACCCGTGCTACTCTCCGCAACGAGACTAATACCGAAACCCACTGCGCCTTTTGTCTTGCTGCCTTTCTGGCCGGGCGCCGTGTTCGGTATCCAAGGCGCGGCGCTAGCGTCGGAGAAGATATAAGTGTCCGGCACGAACTTATTTAGAATACCTCTTGCGGTGAAGGTCATACGTTCGTTGTTTGTCTTGGGGACCTCGACACAATACGCAACACCTCTTATCTTCTTGACGCGACCTGGGTTGAGCAAGTGCAGAGTTTTGGGGAGTCGGACTTGGTGGTTGAAGACGAGTTGGACTTCGCCGCCTGCGGCTTTTGCACCCGAGGGCGCGGCAGAGCGCTTGAGGATGCGCAGCTCAATGTTGCGTTCTATGGCGAAGTTTTTGTACAAGGGGAGTATGGCGGTGCGGACGGTGTCGGCGGAGACGTCGCCTGTGATGGTCGACGAGGTGACGCAGCCTTCGCCCTGGAAGATTACGTTCATGTTTCCTTTGCTGAAGGGGGCGAGGATGCAGAGCGGGATTAGCCACCAGCTTACGCCCTTTTTTCTGCACTCGAGTGGTATCTCGTGTCTGATGACGCCGCCGCTTGCTCCTAGTCCCTCGGCGCTGCCTGTGATGAGGCCGGGACGGTACACCAGTGTGGTACCTGTCATGCTGAATTGGATCTGCGAGCCATTTGTTACAGCGTCCAGCAGCCGAATGAAGTTTGTCTCATGGCGGTTTAGACCAGGGTTGGTAGACGAAGAGCGGATTTGAGATATGCGCACGGGTCGACCGGTGAGAGTTGCGAGGATGAGGCGTGAGATGAGGTGTCGGTGGCCTGTAAAGCTGAGAGGCGCCTGAAGGGCTTCATCTAGGGCCATTGTGGGTGGTAGCGTTGGGAGTTGTAAAGTGTAATGTTGGAAGCGCTCGAGTTGCGATGGGAACTTTTTTTGGCCGAGCTCCAACTCCGATAAGATAACACTAGCGTGAACGCGGTGTTCGCGTGTCGTCTGTCGGTCGCGTTTGCATTGCATGAACCCTTGAGTCTTTCAAGTCTGGTACTTTCACAGTTTGTACAGAAGGGCTTCATCTACTATTTCGGCTTCTTTGTTGTGCGTTTTCACGTTGCATGGTTGTAATCAGTTGACACGTTTCCGCCCCACGTCTGCGCAATGGCAGGACTCACGAGACGTGCACCCCGGCTACTGAAGAGCATCAATGGGAAGCCGTATGCGCGCGATGAGGATCACGAGGAGCCGTTGCCGAAGAGGAGAGCGATTGAGAGTAGATCGCCAGAAAAGGAAGAAGACATACACGCCGAACCCATATCGTCCGACGAAGAACTCCCAAAACCTCCGCCGCCGAAAGAATTGAAACCCATACTTGCGCCGAAAGCCAAAGCCAAGGAGGATACAGAGCTGGAGAGACCACCAAAGAGGCCTGCCAAGAAGGGCGTAATAAGGGCGCCAGCGAGAGGAGCATATCATACTGGGCAGGCGCATAAGAAGGACGAGAATAAGGAGAATGCTTCCATTTTCTCCGCTGGGTCAGCTGGAGATGGTCCGATTCGGTGGGGAATGGAACATGTGTCGCAGAAGAACAGCAATAACAGGAAGGGGTACGGGTCAAAACCGAAGAATATACACGCACCACCTCCGAGAAAGTTCGGAAAGCCAGCGCCGAAGATTGCTGCGCCAACAAGACCGTCGCAGGAAAAGGGCATATTTCCCGATTCAGACGATGATGATAATATCTCAATGTTGGGTGAGGAGATGAACGAAGAAGAGATGGACGAACTTGGGAAAGAAGCGGGCATATGGGAGCCTGTAGAAGACCCAGAACTACTTCCGGTTCCATCTAAGAAGAAGCGCACAAGAGCCGGGGCTAGCAAATCCGCGTCTATATTTTCAAATGACGATGAGATGGAAGATAAGGAGAAACAAGCCGGGTTCTTTACTCAACTCAACACCTGGAAGACCAACCTAGAACCTGAGTCCTCACAGCCAGATTCCAGCGCACCCCAAGGGAACCTAGAAGAAGTGCATAATTACATAGACCGACTCCCCCAAATAGAAGAAGGATCACAATGCAACCTGTGTAGCCAAGCAGTCGAACAAGAAGACTACTGGGACTTCTGGAAAGGCAAAGAGAAGACGGTAAAAAACAAATCCGCATTCTGCCATGCCCACAAGAAGAAGTCAGCACAAGAAGAATACACTCAACAGGGCTATCCAGACATTGACTGGAAAGCGCTTCCTCGACGAATACGCCGCCACAAAGTAATCCTAACCAAGCTCCTCGGAAAAGATAGTTCCAGCATACACCGCGACCGCTACGAACCCCTCGCCCTAACCGGCAAAGCCGCTGCCGTTCCCTCTCGGCGAACAGACCTCCCGCAATCCGCCCAAGACACGCTCGACTCTTTCGCTCTCGACGAGCGCGCCGCATACCCGGGTTACTACGGCCCCCACGGCCGCCGCGTCATCACCGAGCACGTAATGGAAACGCTGAAATCAGAGCTGAAGAGGTCCAAAGACCGCGTTGTCCAGGCTTCCGGTATCGCGGCGTTTGTACAGGCTGTTATGGTGCCGGAAGTGGCGATACTGCTGATTATGGAGGACTGCAAGGTGGATGAGCATATGGCAGAGGGCATTAGGGAAAAGACGTATGATATGGGGTTGTTGTTGAATGAGGAGATTGAAGATGAGATAGAGAGGGCGGAGGAAGATAGTGAGGAGGAGAATGAGTATCAGGTTGCGTGAGTGCAGTACTGGTATCTGTCCGTTTTGAGCGGGATGCGGCTATGTTTTTGGAATTGGATGGCTGAGGCCTTGATGTCGTGTACTATATCTACTGCTTTCTTTCATCGTGGTCGACTTTTTACGACTTACTGTACTAGCTTGGTGGGTAGAAACGCTTTCGGATGATCGGTCGTGAGTCAGTCATGGGATACATTCCAGTCAAGCCTCTCGGAAACGGGCTTGTCTTGGCAACAGGCTGGATATAAATACGTCTGCTTCCTCGCTCTCTGCTTCTCTTCAATGAACATAAAATTTCCTTATTTCCTCTTTTCCAAAAACTACACAGCGATTTTTATGGGCTGCTGTCCTGAAAGGACGATACCCCTACCACATGTTTTTCCTGCTGCTGTTGTTCTCCAAAACCGCGACATCGCTGTCCGATGTTTGTATATGGGTGCAGAACCCCTAAAAATGGCGTTCGCTGGTTCGCACATTTGAACCATATTCACCTACTCCTTCTCTTCTCCTGCTCATTCCATATACGCCTCTCTCTTTCAAATGGCCAATACAGAGTCATGTCCTGCTCGCTGAAAAAAAAGCCAGGCTACATGAAATGTCTGTCTTCTCCAGACGTTTCAAAACTATACATCCCTAGTCTATGTCGTCCGTTCCTCGATTAAAAAAACTGCGCACCAATTGTATGAGTTTACCAAAATTCTAGTATTTCTGACCCTTCTAAAAACGCTGTTGACATCCTTCTTATGTTGAAACGCTACCGCATTGAAGTACATGTGCTAGACCGTGCGGCTAGTCTCGCTGTATACAAAAGCCTCTAACTGACTTTTCTCCTTGTCTTCCTTCTTATACAAAAATTGGTTCTGTTTACCTAAAAGTTGATTGGGAACAGAACGATGAGAAGTTTCTTTCTCAAGATTGGACTTACATCCCTCAGATGTGATCTGGCTTTCCCAAACCTTGGAAACAACTAGTAGCTAGATATGGTAGCTCTTTTCCAAAATTGCATTTTGAACGAGTTGATGTGTCCGTCTCTGTTCTTTTCCAAAACCTTGCAAAGTTCTGTATTGATTGAAAATTACCACCTGAGGACCTATGGTCTGCTCTTCTCTCAAAGATGATCATGGCCAACGCGATGTGCGTCTCTGCTTTTCTTTGAAACTCTACAAATTTTTGCGTTGAAAAAAATTAACATCTAGGAGACAAATGTTGTGCTCTTCTCTAAAACAACATAAGGGACGGGACATGTGCGTCTCTGCTCTTCTCTCAAGCTTTACACATTTCTGAATCTACTAAAATCATTATACAAGTCGCGACATGTTCTGTTCTTCTCTAAAGTACGCACATATGGAGTACATGTGTTCTTTAGTTCTTCTCTGAAAATACGTAGCCGCCAAAGCTATTGTGGTAGAGGGATAGCCTCAATAGTCAGAAGAGAGGCTGCCGACCCGCAATCGGTAGAGAGTAGAGAACAAGAAGGTATCCGAACAATAAACGGTAGTATTAAGAAATGGTGTACGATAAGATGATCCGATGATGTCGAGCTTCTCCGCGCGGAGTCGCCCTAAAATACTCAACCCTAGCGCCGATTACCTAACGCCGAACACGTGACAAGCTACTACACCACACTATGTCTCCGTCTCCGCTCTTTCCAAAAAGTTCCACCTCTTTCGGATGTTTGGGACTAGCGTACAGAGAGTCTATATAAGATCTCGCTCTCCCTCCTGCACTTCTTCCTCTACCGTTCCAAATATTTCTTTCCTATTGAAACTAAAATATACCACGTCAGCCGTGCATGAGCGGTGTTTCTCCAAAACTGCGAAATAAAATTACGAATACGTTTGTCTCTTTTATTCTTGAAAAACCACAAGCTGGAAGTCATAAGTTGGGCTAGGTTTCTGCGCCTTTCCTAAGAGAAAAACTAAGAGCATCTAAATTGTTCTGTTAACACGACACTACGATATGCGACTAAAACAAATACGAACAGACAGTTGATATGCTGGTTACTCATTTCTAAAATTGCCATCTCAACCAGATATGTGTTCCTCTGTTTTTCTAAAATTTGTCGTAAATAATTGAGATTTGGTCACATGTGCCGTCGTGCCTTTGCAAAATTAATAGCCAGATGGCTGCACGTATTCTTCTGCTCTTCCCAAATTATTGTAGTGCCTTTCCACCGGAGCACACATATAAATGCCACCATCTGCCTTCTTCTTCTTTTCCTATTACCAACCCACCCAAAAACTTATGTTTATCAAAAAAGTATTTCTGGGAGCTTATTTTCTGCTTTTTGCGAAAGCTCGGAAAGACTAACCCGTATGTTCCTGTCTTCTCTTTTTCTAAAATCTCTGTAGCCGTCCTCGTGTTGCCTCCTGCCTTCTTAAAACTTTGCCACGTAGTCTGGATGGGTGAAGACTTCTTTCTCATCTCGCTATCATCCCTTTATTCGAAATTCCGATGGCTGGCACTACGGACGCTGGAAAGTCTAAAATGAGACTCGATTGCGATCATGCCGCCGGACGCTCGGCCTGAGAAACAAAACATGTAAGATCTTCCGCGCCTGTCTACAGACTGTGCTTTTACCCCCCTCTTCTAAAACTCATTTTACAAAAATAACATCAAGGCTCAATACATGGGTTGCCTCTGAGAAATTTACATGGTGTGTCTGCCTTTTCTCTTTCTGAAAACTACTGGTGCTAAAAGTTTGCGGTTGGCATTCGAGTGAAAAATCATGCACGGTATGTTACATGTGCAGCAGAACTGCGCCCCGAAGACTTATGCATGGGCTGCGCTTGTGAAAAATGTTCCTATCTTTCCTCAAAATAACCGAAACTCTAGGTATTATGGATGATGTGTGGCCGAGGTATCGCTCACGGATTATAGCGAGAAGACATGATATGTCTAAACAAAAGTGAGGGCGATGGCGAGATCAGTGAACTGGCTAGAGGAAATATGGAATGCCATCGCTGTTCAGTTTTTCTCCCCCTTCTTTCTTCCTGAGCAAAGCTTCCTTTTACTTGCTAAAACTTAAGCAAAGTGGATAAAGTGGGATGTGGTGTTGTCAGTTCTAAAAAGAAAACTTGCCCTGGCTGTATGTCGAGGGCGCTCGAGATTGCCGTTAACACTGTTAAGTCCCTAAATCATCTTTCGTCTGTAGGACCCAAAATACTTCCCTCCTTTCTCACTCTTCTATATGCCCGAAACCCTACCTTACTGCTTAATCTACCAGTATAGTGCATCCAGGATGTGCTGTTGCTTAAAACTCGCGAATGCAGTTAGGATGTCTTAGGGTGGTTGGAGTAGATATCCGGTATACTACCTGAAAATTAACTTGCTGTAAATACTCTTCCCGCCTTCTCTTTTTACTGGAAGTTCCACCCTGCTATCAAAACTGTAAACAAGTGGGTGAAGAGAAATGTGGAAGAAGTTGGTTGATTGATAGAGTCTATCGTAGAGAGCGAATATATATCCTCTTGTTACATAATCAGTGATAAAACGCGCTACTCCTAAGTAGGTGCAGATGCTAACAAAAACTACTGTTCTCAGGGACCTTATTTTATGTCCTTACTTGAAATACATGAAGGACATTATGGATGTTTGGAGGAGGCTGGACTTCTTAAATCAAATATGGATGTTCCCCTTCTAATCAAAATTTCCTTTTCCTGCTTCTGATGTTTGTGAAAAGTGGGAATATATACCTAGTACGGAGAACTTCTTCCACCGCAACCCCCCTTGCCTTACAGCACTGACTGAAATTCTGTTATTACTAAAACCGGCAGATAGAGGAGGTCATGGATCCGGCTCTTTCCAAAATTATTACGGGCCGACAACATATCTAGGAGACGCAGATGGTACCTAGTTATTGCTTCCCTTATTCCTTTACCAAAGAAAACACAATTTTCAATAATTATACGAAGTGCTGGTCACTGGTTTCTATATAAACCTGTTCTGCCCACTTTACCCTACACTCTCTACCTAAAGAACGGGAAACTGCAAAAACCAACCCTGTTCCTGCTTAATTCTTGGTGGAGGCGCGAAGATTTTCGTCTACAGTCACTATGGCTTCTGATTTAATGACGGTAGCATATCCAATTTTAGCTTGTTTCTTGCGAAAAGGAGAGCGTTTTCGATGTTTGAGTAAACGGTTGGAGCACAAGACATTGGCATAAGCTCCTGTACCTTTGAATTTTGCGAAGGCAATGTTTTCGATCTTTGTATTATAGTAGCAGGATAGGTGATTGTAGGCTTGGTATCCACGTCTCAAGGTACTGCCTATCACCAAATAAGCTGATACCAGTGGACGTCTACACATGAAAGCCTTTTCTATTGCATTTGTACAGATGAATAGAATCATGTACTCTTTTTCCGGTATATTTAGGTCAAAAAGATAGTGGGAGAAGTCTGGGAACGGCCATTCCATGTTGTTGTTGCGGCTACTTTTGTTTCAAATTTCGGGAGTTCAGCATCGACAGAAAAGCTTTGAATTTTAAAATTTTCTAGATTAAGCACCAGCACTGACACAGCGAGAAGCATACGCTTTGTACAATGAAGTTTAAAACAGAGAAGAACAAGGGAAGTCTGATATGATTTTTTTAACTCTTAGAAAGTCGGCATATATAGCGTAGTCTTGGTCAAACTTTTGACTTGGGAAGTTTCGATACAAGGGACTAGAAGGAAAGGAAAGTTTAAGATAGTAGAGTTTATATACTACTCCCGTCAAGCTTTTCTGTAGAGAGATGAAGAAGAAGCAGAGAGCATGATCTAGAAGTATCGTCTTTTCGTGGACTCCCAGCAAGGGAAGAACATCGGGACTTTTTGTAGCCTTTTTTAATACGTAGCGTTATACAAAGGTGTGTCGAGTTTCTATCCCTATTTAGAGATTTCAAAGGCTGTAAGTCTTTCTCATAGTGGAAGAGACAGAAGAACCGAAAGTAGAGAATAAATGTTACAGATTTAGTATTCAACGGCAGAAAAGACGGAAAGCATATATCCGAAGTGTTGGTAGGCCTTGTACGATCGTACGGGTGAATAACAACAACGAGGTTCTTCTGGTGACTGGTATTGGTATTGATTGTCTACGAACATAGCTGCTACGAAGGTACACCTCAGCTCTGCGCAAGGTGGGCCGAAGTCGGGCCGAAGTGTCAAGCAGCCGACGTCTCTACCGATACTCACGATCCGACACGAAGCGTTAATTATAGGCCTCTTAGAAAAGTGCAGACATTCGGTTATCTCGAAAGTCCTTTGGCTACTTAAGGCTTAGCAGATATTTAGTTGCGGTCGTAAATATTTGGAAATACTAGGAAAAAAATGAAAGAAATAGAAGGAAAGAGTAGAATAGTAAAGGTATTGTGCAGCAAGAGAACATTTGCGGGAGGAAGGATTAATTTTATTTAGTAGATTTCGTAAGCCCGAAAAGAAAAAACGGACATGCCCCTTCCGTTCGCAAATTTTTATCCCCGGAGCTGAAAGACATTACAAGTAGGTGGCGTATATTTTGGATACATAAGATTTCGGTATGGACAAAGAAAGGAGAAGGAGAAAGCCTTGGGTTTTATACGCGGTTAGAAGAGAAAGAGGCAGAGATCATTCCTTGAAAACCCTGCTGTTTTAAGACTCCCAGACACAAACAGACATACGACTTTCCCTAGTGATTGTTGTCCGCAAAGCTGGAAAGCCATAATCTACATGGTGGAGAATTTTAGTCGCATAGGATTCCGATACTTGGAAGAGAAGACGTAGAAGTAAAGGCGGAACATCGTAGAGTTTGTACCACCAACAAGACGCAAGTTCAGACAGCATCTTCGTTCTTCAGCACACATTTTCAGACACCTAGAAACCAGCCGGCATGGTACACTCCGTACGTGTTCTCAACAGTCAACACACCCAGACATTCTTACGACCAATGACCTTTTCGACACACAGGATGTCAATTCAGGAAAGAATAAAGAAGGTGAGAAGGGAAACAGAAGAGGGTAGAACAGAGTTTATATACAGCCTTGAGGCTAGTTTAAATATAGTAAGAGTGAGAGGAAACGCCTAGGACACATATTTGGTCCAGCTCGGAATTTGCAAAGTGCGTAAAAGGAATTAAAAACAAATAAACCGCTCACTCTCCGTTCTTTTGTTTTCAAAGGGAGAGAAGACATAGAAAACATGTTTGTACTTTGATTTTTAAGTTGAGCCGGAAGGTAGTTAGAAGGCCTGGAAACAAGGCAGAGTAATCTGACATACTGGTAGTTTTTCAGAAACATTTGTTGTATTCCATGCATTTTAAGTAAGAGACAAAAAGGCAGGAACATTATCAGTAAGAAGATCTTTTTTGATGCCAGGGAAAAGAAGACATAATAGGTAGTAACGCTTATCAATTTTAGTTCTAAGCTCAGCTCTGAAGTAATTGATGGCTAGAAGCCAGGTAGAGGGTGGAAACATGACCAGATGAACGAAATATTTTAGGTACAGGGAGGAGAAAAGACATGCTCTGGAATAAGAGACTTTTTAATCTTAGGTGTAAGCATACGATAGTCGTATCGGAGAATTTTGGAATAGGAACCACATGGTTTCCAGAGACATACTACGTGAGGCGGCGCACTTCAAGCTCAGAGAGAAAGGCAGAAACAAGTCCGGTAATATGAAATCTTTCAATCTGGAAAAGAGGAAACCCCATTCGCCAGATGTATCCCTTTTTTTAATTTCAGGTATACAAAAAGGTAGAGAAGGAAGATAGAAGATAGGTAAGAAAAGAAGAGTTAATATAGACCTCCGAGGCCCCAGAAACATATACCTTGTCTGTACGCATTTCCAGCAAGGCCACAGAGAGGAAAACATGTAGGTGACGTGCAAGTCTTTGGGTGCCGACAGGCCGAAACGTAGCTAGGAAGAGGGATTTTTCATAGCTGTTTTAGATACTCAGATTTTGTGGGAAGAAAGATAGAATGCGAGAAAGAGGCAGAAACAGGTAAGTTTACATATGCCACCGATTTTCCAGAAACATGTCTCTGTAGAGCCGATCTTTTTGAACAACCCACAAAGGCGAGAACATTACTAAGGTAGGCAACACTTTCGGTGCAGACAGAGCGACAGCATAATGTCATTCGCGTCACAGTTTTAAAAGATTTCTAGGTAAATCGAAAACGAGGGAAGAGAAGATAGAAACGAGTAGTTTATGTGAGCCGCTGATTTTCCAGAAACATGATTCATGGATTCGTATATTTTGGGCGAAACCACAGAGACAGAAGCATTTCCGCATATAGCTAGGTTTTAAGAACTGCCACAGAGGCAGAGTCATGTATGGCAGAAGTGTAGATTTCAAGTAGTGCCACAGAGGCGGAAACATTCAACTTTTGACTTGTAGTTTTAGGCGCCGAGAAAGCGACCATGCGAAACTTGCAGGGCCATTTTAGAATGATTTAGGTACTCGTATGATTAGAAAAAAAATAGAGAAGAGGAAAAAGAGGGAACAGGTACGTTAAATAAGCTTTCAAGTTTCTAGAGACATTAGTTTTTTCGTGGATTTGTTTGTAAGCACCGTGAAAGAGAGACATGAACATCAGTCTTTCTAATTTTGATCTTAAAGTGCCGAGATCCGCCAACATAGTTGCGAATTATAGGTAATTATTTTAGGTACTTAGACAGTAGGAAGAAAGATAGAAGAAGAAGAAGAAGAAGAAGAAGAAGAAGAAGAAGAAGAAGAAGAAGAAGAAGAAGAAGAAGAAGAAGAAGAAGAGAGAAGAAGAAGAAGAAGAAGAAGAAGAGAAAGAGTAAGAACAGTGAATTTTGTATGCTACTAAACTCTTAGAAACATAACACAGAGTGCGTTGACTTTTAAACACCCTACAGAGGCGGAAACATGTACGTCTTTTGTGCATCTTTTAAAATCAGAGAAGCCCACAACATGAGTTGCTAACACCCCGTCTTTTAGGCACCCCAGTAATTTTCAAAAGTAAAAGAGTAAGAAAGAAGAGAAACAGGAAGAGGCGCGATTTTTATACTCCCCGCTGTACACCCAGCAGCACATGGGTCGAAATTGTCACGAATTTTTAGGAAAGCAGCGACAGCAAAAACATGCATTTGACGTAACTGTTTTTAAGACGTTGAGAGCTGGACACACATGCTCTGGCATGTCTTCTATTTTGAATTTTCCGTCTCCGAGATCAAGAAATACAAGGTAAAGAGGAAGAAGAAGGGAGAAAGGGATAGTAATTTATATCCACAGCCCGAGTTGCGCAAGCATGGCAAGGGATTATCTTATTTGTAGAACAGCCCGAGGAACGCGGGAACATGTTGAGTGTATTTAAGTGTTTTTGGAAACCGAAAGCGAGACAGTCATGCTTCTTTTACGTTGGTGTGTTTAGATTTCCAAGTTTTTTTTTTAGAATAGAGAGATAAAGAAGAGAAGTAAGAGTAGAATCCAGTAGTTTATAAACACAGACCCCGGTACATGTGTCGGTTTGCAACTTGACCGGGTGCTAGGTGTAGAAAGGCGCAGCCGTCTCAGGACATAACATCTTCGCCCTTCATTTTAAGAAGAGCAAAGATGTGTTGAAAACCACAGAATAACCCTCAGCATATGTGTAGCCTGCATCCAAATTTTCATATCACCTCAAGACAGGAGAACCACAACATCATCTCGTCGAAATTATTTTTAGTACAATGACTCCTCAGCACACGGTAGTCAACATCCGGAACTTTTTGGTCCAACTTTTAGAAATACAAAGAATGATCTTTTGTAGAGCAGAAAAACCCCAAGAATAATTTTCTTGGAGGTTTAGGAAAGCGATGAAGACATATAACCGAATTTATTCGTATTTTTTTATAAACACCAGTAAGACGGCTTAGGAAGACATGGGCTTGTTTTCCGAGAATTTTAAATCTCAATGCGCCAGACATAATGTCTGGGAATATGTGTTTTGGTATACTAGGTTTGGAAAGGTAGTTGATAGAACTGTAAGGAAAGAAACTGCGCAAAAGGAGGGCTTATATATGCGTGCCAAGCACTTGCTGGGCGCTAGGACGGATCCAAGACGACGGAGGGTTCCGACACTCAAGTAATCGAAAAGAGAAATCGGAGCGGGTCATGATGAAGCTGCCATATCATAGTATGCGCAGTGCATATTTCATTCTTCTCGCTTCCAGCAAGCGTACGTTCATGCAACATCTCCCATATGCTTTTGAGATCAAGCACGCAATCTGCGTGGAAAAACGCCCTTTACTCCAATGCAGTTATATCATACAGGCTTCCGCTTCTAACCATCCAACACCCCACTTTCCTTTAAACTACGGAACAGCTCAGGTTCTAGGAACTTGCTGATGGTAACATCCTCCGCGAGACCCTTCCTCCTGCGAGTCTTGAGGACAAAGTCGCGTGCCAACTGTTGTGCGGTTGCGGGTTCGAGCGGTCGGGTTGTCACCTCTTTATCGAGAGGGTCGCCGGGGACGATGGACCAACGATCAAAGACGAGGGAGAGGGAGACTTGGCCTTGTGTATGAATCTGCGAAAAGTTAGCTTCTGCTTCATGTAGCGACTAGAAGTGGGGGTTATACGTACCCTAAGATCGGTCTCGAAACCGAAGGAATCAATGACCGGAATAAGACCACGCACATTGTAAAGTGGTGTGCCTGCGATGGGACCGTCTTGCAGAACATGACCTCTCCTTCGTGCAAGCACAGTGTATAGACTACTCTTGGTGTCCGAAGGACCGACCATACTGCAAGAGTATACCGGCTCCATCAGCCTAGGACTCGCCATCAAGAAACTTGAATAGCAGGCTCGACGACTCGTGGGGATAATCTGACCACCTCCGCGGAAGATTGCTTCTGATGCCAGTTCGACATCTGTGATACGGAACTTGGTGTTGCGAATGGGCTCTTCGCAAAGCGGACCCTCTCGAGTAGCCCAGCTGAAACCCTGTCGAAGCGTATCTCGCACCGTTCTGAGGGTCTTGCCATCAACTTCCGCAGGAAGTGTGTCGTTTTGTAGGATATTCGGGCCCATATCGTCCGGTCCAAATGCCCAGATGTTGCGCGATGCGAGCATATCATATCCGTAGTTCTCTTCGAAGAACTTGGCCACTACACGCACAGGGTCTTTGATGTTCACCTTGCCAGCCTCGATATCTTCTGCAATTCCAGGATCTAGCGGCTCCGCAATCATGGTGATCTTGTTCTTCTTGTTAGGCGTAAGAGCATAGCACTTGATGGCAGACATCTCAACGACAGTCTCGCAGAACCGGGTGACCGGGTCTGAAACCTTGATCTCCATGTCTGCGTATAACCGTCGGAGGTCATGCAGAACGCAGTCCATGTACAGCTCTCCAGTACCAAGAACAACGTGCTCTCCTGACTCCTCCACTTTAGTTGTGATGAGCGGGTATGACTTGTTGATCTTGCGAAGACCGTCAAGCATTTTGGGTAGTTCGGAGGGATTAATTGGCTCGACCGCGACTTTGAAGACGGATTCGAAAAAGTGTCGGATGGGTCGGAATATGTAGGCATCTTCGTCTTCTGGGAGCTTGGTAGCTACAATTGTCGCCGTCTTGACTATCGAGTTATCGACGCCGCCTAGGAGCACCCAGTTACCTGCCGGAACACCGCTAACGGGAATGTTATATCTCGACTGGGCTATCCATGTATCCGTTACAGTCGCAATAACCATGTCTTCCTCATCCTCAATCGTATAGCCTTCTCCTAGTACACGCACCGATTGGGGCGAAGTCGCTGTACCACTCAGTACTCGGCCTAGGGCAGTAAAGGACTTTGCGTCTGTTGCGTTGAAGAGCTTCGTTACATGCACAACCAATGGTCCGTTCTGATCGCACTTCTGCATCGCCTCTGCAGTCTTTGTATCCAAAGGTCCAGTGTAGTGTCTTTCCAGCAGTCGTTTCGCACCCTCTTCTGGTGATGGAATATGCTGTGTGATCATGTCTACGAATCCTAGGGAGGGTCCAAAATACTGTTGGCATACTAGACGCATTAGCTCCTTTGCGTCAGTCTTGTATTCAGAAGGCTTCAGTCGTATGCCCAAAGCCTCGAGCGTGTCCTTGAGCTCATCTGGACTCTGACTGAGAGTATGCGAGTAGATCTTGTAGACGGGCTCCAAAATCCAGTGTACAAAAGATCGTTGTGAGCCTTCCTCCTGACGCTTGCGACTGAACTTCCGGCTTCCTGGGTTGTAGAAAATGTCACCCCAGAGTCGCATAGCGAATTTCTCGATATCCAAGCCCTTCATCGGAACACCGAATCCTGGAAGCTTCGAGGGACCGGGATAGAAATCGGAGTACATCTTAGCGAATGACTGGATCGTAAAACACCATCGCATGCTGGAGCAGGCGAATGCGACGTTGCCTTTTTCAGGGCTTACTCGTCTGCTCTCGCCGCGGCCTGGAATAGTGTTCTCGATGACAGTGTTGACCTCCTCGATTACGTGCTTGATCTTGAAGTATGCGTCGCTGGGTGGTAGCTTTAGCTCCAGAATCAAGCGGTCCATCTTGTTCACTACGAGTGTGATGGGAAGATCTTCCAGCACCGCATGCTTGATAATCTGCTCTGTGTTGACCTGTACGCCCTCGACCACGTCCACAACGAGTACTACTCCGTCTACCAAGCGCAACGATGCCGCTACTTCATCCGCGAAGTTCACATGTCCGGGTGTGTCGAGGATATTGAAAAGATGCGACTTTAGCTTCGTGTTCTGGAGCACCAAGCTCATCGGGGCAGCCTTGATGGAAAGGCCTCGTTCGCGTTCGAGCACGTGTACGTCTGTGTAGCGCAGCTGTTCCTCCCGCTTCTTCCCCTTCTTGTAATCCAGACGATCCTGGATATCGTGCGTCTCCAAGACCAGCATGTCCATGAATGCCGTTTTTCCATGATGCAAATGTCCAGCAATGGCAATGTTCCGTATCTGGTCGGGAAAATTCATGAGATCGGTCAGAAGCTCCCTCGAGTGGTGTACGGGCGGCAGATCTGTCTCCTGGATTGTGAACTTCCTCTGGACTACTGGTGCAATAATGGGCTGCGCCAGCGATTGCATATCTTCCTCTTGTACCAGCACCTCGACATCATGACCGTATACGTCAGATGCGGAGGGGTAGTATTGCTTGTCCTCATGAAGGACTACAGCATTCGACGGCCCTTCATCTACCTCCATAAGCTGCTGGTCGTTGGCCTCGGCCTCGGCCTCTTCCTCATCGTCGAGGACATAGGCGTCGGCTGCCTCGCCGGTACTCTGGACATCTTCATCCGACTCTGCTTCGCCAATGAAGTTACCAAACCTGTCAAAAGTCAGTCGCGTAATATTTCAAAAGTGAAAGCGCATACGTACTCGTCGTAGAGGTCGTCCATGGTGGCGGTTATGGTGGGTTGTTTTCGGCGGTGATGCGCGTCGAGCTTGCAGCTATCGCAAAAGTTCAAAGCGCGGCGAAAAGGTTGGCTCCGCGGATTGGATTGCGGCCTAGCGTACCGTAGGCGGTGAAGGCAGCACCCACCATTCAATCCGGCTTAGCGTGCTGCAGGGACGTGCCGATCCTCAAGGGCTGGCAACTTTCCCAAAGGAAGAAAACGTGCATCTTTTGCCCGTTCTTCTCTCCTTGAACTACAAAACTGTGTTTTATTCCCTTGCCTTTCAATCCGCTTGTCCCACTACAGAGATACCCACCATGTCGTCCCTTCCGCCAGTGTACATCGTTTCGGCTGCCCGTACGCCCACGGGCATGTTTTTGGGGTATGTTTAGTCAAAGACGGATGAGGGGCAACGGCCAACTCACGCGACAATAGCTCCCTTTCGAGTCTGAGTGCTGTGCAGTTGGGCTCGCACGCCATCAAGGGTATGTTGAAGTTCGAAATGTTCAGGTATATGGTCGACTAATTGGCATCTAGCTGCCGTTGAGCGCGCTGGCATCAAGCCTACCGATGTTGAGGAGGTCTTTGTTGGCAACGTCCTCTCCGCAAAGTAGGTTTAGTCTCAACCCTCTCCAATCGTATACTGACTTGGACATCATAGCCTCGGCCAGAACCCCGCTCGCCAGTGTGCCATTGGTGCCGGACTTCCTGAATCCACCGTTGCGACCACCATCAACAAGGTGTGCGCCTCCTCCATCAAGGCCCTCATTGTTGGCGCCCAGACCATTATAACCGGCAATGCCGAAATTGTCGTGGCTGCCGGTACCGAGAGCATGTCCAACACCCCCCACTACCTCCCCAACCTTAGGACTGGTGCCAAGTTCGGAGACCAACCGCTGGTCGATGGTGTTCTGAAGGATGGGTTGACCGACGCATACAAGAAGGAGCACATGGGACTTCAGGGAGAGGAATGCGCAGATGACCATGGTTTCTCTCGTGAGGACCAGGACGAGTACTGCATTCGTTCATACAAGAAGGCCAATGCCGCGCAAGAGGCAGGCTGGTTCAAGGAGGAGATTGCCCCCATCGAGGTTCCAGTAGGACGCGGCAAGCCTCCTGTCGTTGTTGACAAGGACGACGAGCCTAAGAACGTGAGTATTTATTGTACTGCTCTTCCTACTGTCACTTACTGATCGCCCCCAGTTCAACGAATCCAAGACCCGCACATTGAAGCCTGTCTTCAAGCCCAAGGACGGTACCGTCACCGCCGCCAACGCTTCGCCGCTCTCCGACGGTGCTGCCGCTCTTGTCCTTGCATCTGAGGCAGCTGTTAAGAAGCATGGCCTCAAGCCCATTGCCAAGATCCTCGGTTGGGGTGACGCTGAGCAGAACCCCTCCAAGTTCACCACCGCTCCTGCGCTTGCCATGCCCAAGGCTCTCAAGCACGCCAATGTAGAGCTCTCCGCTGTCGATGCTTTCGAGATCAACGAGGCGTTCAGTGTCGTTGCGCTCGCCAATATGAAGATTCTTGGTATCCAAGAAGACAAGGTCAACCTCCACGGTGGCGCTGTTGCGCTGGGCCATGCGCTTGGTGCTTCCGGTGCCAGAATCACAACCACATTGCTCGGTGTACTAAAGGAGAAGAAGGGCAAGATTGGTTGTGCTGGAATTTGCAACGGTGGTGGAGGCGCGTCTGCCATTGTTGTTGAGTCGCTACAGTAGATACAAGGTCTTTGCGATGAACCGTAATGCTGGAATGAATCAACATTGTCCAAAACATCGTAGCGGCAAACCTATGTATTCATGCACAAACGTGAGAACCGGAGCATTTTGCTAGAGATATACAACTACCATCATAGCATACACTAATATACAGCAGACTAGAGAAATGCATGGGACCATAATCATGGCATTATACAAAGATATACAGCAAAGTAGAGAAAGGTATACACTTGGCTCTAAGAGGCTCACATATGTCAAACCTCGCTATGCATTCATTGGCTGAAGGCATAAGTTTCGGCCTTGGCCCTAAGACACGCCATCACTTCGGAAGCGCTAACACCGACGTCGTGCATAGGGCAACTGCCAGCAGCGCTCGCCCCCCATCTTATCCTCTATCACTGTGCGTTTCGACTTGACAGCAGCCACTCACAGTTGGTTATCCCCCAAATGCTGCCTCAGCATCACGACGATATGAGCGTCTGCGCTGCAGACCCATAGCGGCGGCTCTGTGCCTGTTTCAAGCGCCATCGCCCGTTTGCCTATCCGTCCCATTTCTTATGAAACATGGCGCGTTTGGTTAAACATACAGGCAGCCTTGCAGAGCGCTACCGTTTATCCATTGTCAGGGCCTTACTGGCTCCTGTGCGTTTCCTGAATATTACGATCCGGGACGTAACCCGGCTCCTCCACAATTCGCCTCACGTTGAAACAAAGCCGATGTGTCTGGCGGGAGATGTACAGATCCGTGAGAGCGAATCGTCGGCTACTATACACGGAGCCATGCTGCCTTTGGGTTCGTATATATCTAGGCCGCCCCATCGCGACCAAGTAGTACAGCACCTCGGTTCATTACAGCCTCGTACTACCTTCCTTTCACTTCTTCTATCCCTTTCTTTCTCGCGGCTAGTACGCAGTCACTCCTTGCCCTTTTTCCATACAGCGTCTTGAAGATGCGTTTCTCTACAGTCACTTCGGCCGCGGCCTTTTTTCAATTGACCATAGCTGGCTATGTTTTGCAGGATGATTACATGACCGACTTTTACGGCGGTTTCAACTTCTTCACTGGACCCGACCCTACAAGTGGCTTTGTCAAGTATGTCGACCAAGCTACAGCCAAGCAGACGAACCTCATCAATTCTTCGTCTACAAAAGCAGTTTCTTGGGGCGTGGACCATACAAACCAGACTCCTAACGGACGACCGAGTATCCGTATGGAGAGCAAAAAAAGATATGATAGTGGTCTGATTGTCATCGATGTTGCCCACATGCCTTTTGGGTGCGGCACATGGCCAGCGTGAGTAATGTTCAGATCGTCGTAACCGACATCGCTGACGTATGCACAGATTCTGGACAGTCGGTCCTAACTGGCCTAAGATGGGCGAAATCGACATTATCGAAGGAGTCAATGAGCAGACAAACAACGGAATGACCCTCCACACCGGACCGGGCTGCAAAATCGGTCCAGACACTTCTCTGTTTTCTGGTTCGATCACTACAAAGAACTGCGATGTCGGTGCCGAAGACCAGTCCAAGAATGCTGGATGCTCCATCAAGCACCCATCGACTCAGAGTTATGGTGCTGGCTTGAACGCGGCTGGCGGCGGTGTATTCGCAACTCAATGGACCGACAAGGCTATTAGCATGTACTTCTTTCCTCGCAACGCGATCCCGAAGGACGTTCTTGGTAAGAGCCCGGACCCCAGCGGTTGGGGAAAGCCAGCTGCGAAGTTTCAGGGCGGCTGCGATATCAAGAGCATGTTCAAGCAGCAGCAAATTGTATTCGACACCACATTCTGCGGACAATGGGCGGGCGAAAAAAGCGTTTGGAATAACGGCACCTGCGGCCAAAAGGCACCAACATGTGAGGAATGGGTCCAGAAGAACCCCGAGGCTTTTGCAGAGGCCTACTGGACGGTTAACGCCTTGAAAGTTTACCAGGACAATGGATCAGCATCCTCCCCCAACGCCCCAGCAGTGCCTGGAAAGAGCAGTGCTATTCCTGGTGTACCTGTCCCAACCGGTTATCCCGAAGTACCTACTTCGCTCATCACTTCAACCAAGCCGGGAATCCCCTCTGTACCAGTTCCCACCGACCATGTCGAGAAACCCTTTCCAGCTGGACCTCCAAAGAAGCCAGCCGTAGGCCGCATGGTGGGTTTCGAATGGCCTCCACACAACGGCGGTAGTGGTAACGGTGCAAACCTACCCGACGCACCCTCCCCAACGACCACAGCCGCCGTCTCATCCCCACAGGGCAATTCTCCTCCCGTTGAAACCCCCATCAGTGCTACACCTTCAGCTAGCCCAGTTCAGAACATTGCCCAACCCGGCGAGCAGCCATCACCAGCACCTACTCCTGTTGGCGAAGACCCTCCTGCCAACCCTGCCGAGCCTGTTCGTACCGTGTACCGAACCGTCACTGCTACCGTCACCGCTAGTGCAGGTACCGGAGCTACACCGACACCAGCGCCTGTCCCCAGGAACGTGCGCATGGCCCGCTTCTTCAGAGAGCACAGGCAAAAGATCACTCGCCACAACGCAAAGCTCTGAGCAAAAATAGCCAAACGCGTTCTCGAACGCTGGACCTGGATAATACGAAGGCTATGAACAGGGGTGATGCCGGAGTTCTTCCTGGTTGGCGAACTCGTGTTGGATGATGTTTCGTTTCAGTTTTGGGACTTGAGGGGGGCGGACGGTCGCGGCGCAAACAACCTTTTTTAGACACGACTTTTGCTTTGACCCTTTTTTTATACCCTTGGTTCGCTTTTTGTACATATATACACATCTTCATAAGGCGGGAGTTAGATAGCAAGAATACTCAATTTATGTATTATGCTCATTTCACTGTCCCTTTTAGATTTAAGATGCTTGAACTGTCTGTGATTCAATACGAATGTAACTTGCCATTTTTATCGATCTGCCCGGTCAGATAGACGGTTGGTTCAGGAATAGAAACTTTGTCTTGCGACGATTTCTGCCCCAGGCCCGAGAAAACAGTTTATTGATTCATCCTGCATGCATCGCTTTCACATCTGACCCCACAAACAGGTCAGCCAATTTCGGACAAAACCCGAGCGAAAGCAGCAAGTAAGCACGCAGTTAGCCTCCTAATTCGGGACGATCGTCCAACCAACTACACTACAAAAAAAGGCTTACCCCGAGACGTCTAACGGCCACGTGGATCTCTTTCTCCCTCTACCCACGACCATCACGCATAGAGCAAAAAACAGCAAAAATATACTGTGGACGCTGTGGGAATTGAACCCACGACCTTTCACAAGTTACGCACATTTGTTTATGCGAAGCGAAAATCATACCCCTAGACTGTGATGGTTATTAGAATGGTTGTTGCAGGGTGAGAGGGAAGGAGGAAACGTACCCAAGCGCCCTGTATTAGGTAATCGATAAAACATTCCTGAGGATAAATATATTTGTAGGCGCGCATAATTTGAGAAAGGGAACGAGGCATATGGGGATAGAGATGGGAACGGGGAAGAGGGAAAGGAGCGGGAGGGAAGGGAAGGGGTGGGATGGTGGGGTAAAGTGGGGTGTTGGAAGGAACGTTCATGGACGGACGGGCTTGACCTAGGTCAAATTGTCAGCGATTAGAGAGGTGTCTACGACTATAGTTTGCATTCCTCAAATATTCTACTTTGAAATCTATCACACGAAGCCTGAAAAAATAATTCACAGAAGTGCAAGCCGCACCATCTCAGCATCCCTCATACAAACTCTAACACGAACTCCGTGCCACTTAACCTACGGTAAACGGATTACCTCCCGAGCCTATACAGGCCTTATATAGCGCTGGCCCCACTCGTCTATACCGGTACTGTTTATCTTTGTAATGACAATGCGCCCAAACTGGTACTCATCGCTATACTTCCTCTATCTCTATAAAGGAACCGCGCCGCATGACTTGCGATATTTGCATCCTTCCCACCGTTCGTCTAATCTAATCATCGTCGAAGAGAATGATAGAGAGGAAATCCTCCGTTCGTACCTGAGTAAGAAGCGGATCAAAACGTGTCTAGCTGACGAGTCGTGCGTTCGCCATATGCAGCTGCCATACAGTAGATCTCCGCGTTCTCGGCAAAGATGTCACTGTCGGTGTTGGAGGCGATAGGATTTGTACTACCGACAGTATCAGCAATTTTCCGGTAGTCATGTGCCAAAGTTTAGGGTCTCTCCTGCTTTACTACTGCAATTGTAGCTCACCTTTGATAAGGGCGTGATGCCTGTCTAGGGCTAGCGCTGTTCACGGTTGCTTGTCTATATACACTGTTTGTCGCCTTTTGCTATATAACCATAGCTTAATTGTTCGATTCTCCGCATATGCACTGCTTGCCAAATTCTATTTGACTCTGATTTTTTGATTTTTTTCGGGGTTTCGAGGTGGGGAGGGGGGAGGGGGGGTTCTAAGTCTCAAAAGTTGACTCTGTATTTGGAAGGGCAGCCGATCACTAGTTACGTATCATTGAACTAATCTAAAAGATGACTGTAAAAGACCCTTGGGAAGAACCGCGAAAAGCGCTAGAGGGTAAGCGCGAAATTGGGAGTATGCCGCTACTACTCTTTTCCAAAGTTCGTGTAAATAGAGATCTTTCGTGTGTCTATCCGGGTCCCCCATGTTTCTTAATCGTGCCTTGTGATATGTACGCCCGACTTGAAAGACAGCCTTGACCATTCATCGACTTGGAGAAAAAACATTCTTCTGACTCTATCAAGCGTGTTTTCGCCTATTCTTCATCATCGGAAAGGGTGCGTAACTCCTCAAGGTCCAATAGGCGCCGAGGATACCATTTCTCTCCCGGCTCGTCCCAAGACATGACACAGTTACACTTCTCTATCCAATCTTGAGCAGTCTCTAAATTGCTCTTGCTCGTTTGATGGCGAGGACTGATTTGGTGATCATCAACGGAGCATGTCAGCAGTTATCAGACATTCTCAGAGATATCTTGTACCATTTTCAGTCAGCAGAAAAGTACATGAACGGTTGCTTCCACGCTTAAAGCCAACGTCGACGCACGCCATGCATTATCCTTGAATTGCTTTCCATCCAAGTATGCTCGAACAGTGAAAGGCCCGTCTTTTCCGATGTCTGTGTCTGGCCTAAGCACTTTGGCAAGTCTTGTGCAGATTGAACATTGCACATCCAACGATTCTCAGAGCGAGGCTGTAGAATTGTGGTGTTTGAATGTGAGACCAAGGGTACCCGTCATGATGAGCCCTTCATGCCGAGTTATCATGCCGATGCACGTATCGCAAACCATGTCGAAATATCCTTGACGTGTGCTGCTCATTGCTCCATGCATGAAGTGAATGTATTAGGTAACGCGTTGAATGACATCGATGGGGCTATGCTGCCTTGATGACGGTGCAGCAAGATTCTGATTGTAGGCACAGAGTGATCCATGGATATGTTCATCCAATGTTGGCTCCACATGTGAGGTAAGTACGCGGCTCTGCAGCCTAAAAAGCAGAAATCCGTGGTACTGGAATTCGTGCATAATTCGTCATCTCGAACCAGGTTGGCAGGCGCCCTTCGGGACCGAGCCCTCTCACCCGCTATCCCCCGCCGCCGCCAACTGCCCGCCCGGGACCCGAAGATCACCCGTAGGCAGCCACCCAACCTGTGCTAGTGCAGTCACGTGACCCTCCCACGAGCGCCCCTCCCACGGCATACTTAAACCACCGCTCCCTCTGCCTACTTATCTTCCTTTTTTTTATACTTACCTTGTTGCGATCACCGAGCTCAAAGTTTCGGCTGATCTTCGAGTCTGGTCTGCATTTGCACAGCGCGGCACTGGATTCGTACGAGCTTCCTTCGGGGATCTCGGCGGCGCAATTTTTGCTGGTCTATCTTTTGATAGCTTTTTCATTGATTACATTGCCTGGGCAGTGGATTGAGGAAGAAGGTGAGGCGAGTGGGCATCGCGGAGTGCTGAGTGAGCTGCGGAAAATTCTGCAAGGCAGTGTCTGGGACGGGCTTTGGATAGAGCTGATGGCGTAGTACTGTTACGTACTGTTGCGCGAAGGAGTCCTGGCGATGCCTGTGAGGGTATCTCAGCCACGGCGTAGCGTTGCTGGTGTCTAGTTGCGAGCTCTTTGCGCGTCCCGCGACTGTGATAGCCTGAGGGTGTGGGCTCTTTCCGCTGCTACGACGCACCGCGACTGCGTGAGGTCCTTCCGCGTCCTGCGACTGTAGGTACTCTATCACCAGCAGGCTTCTCTCGTTTCCGGATACTATGGGAACTGCAAAGAGACGCAATCGTTGCACCTTAGGGCTTGCTTGCAACGAGAACGGTGCATGGTCGAGCGCCTTCCTGAAGATCTTGCGCGCTGCCAGAGACCTCGCAACCAAATTTTCACCAGCTTCAACGCACTGTTCAACACGAAAAATACGAACGACACTACTGCTGAGCATTCACAAGCATATCATCGCATCCTTGACTATCATTACAATCTGCCCATATCTAACATGCTAGCAAAGTACCAGCTGACTAATAGTCCATCAACACGCCTGCCATCCTCCGCTGATACTTCTCAATCACCTCTTGACACCTTACCACCACACCCGCCGCAAGCACCCTCACCCGCTCATCCTCCTCACTCCCAGCACCTAACCCATCAAATACCATCTTCACCCACGCCTGCGTCTCCAAAAGCTCCTTGCCCTGCTCCGTAGCCACCCGCTCCTTATTCTCGTTCGTCTCCAACAACATCAGAAAACCAAACAGTACCGCATTGAGCACGTTCTTATCCTTGCTCGCAAGACCACGCACCGAGAGTAAGAGATCCCAGTACTCGCGCGTCATCTGTGGCAGAGCGAGTGTATTGGGCCCCGACGCGTTGAGCAGGATAGACAATGTTTGCAAGAACGGCGGAAGGAGGTGCGTAGACGAGTATATCGAGTCGCTATTCGCACGCACTTGCAGCCACCAGCGCCCGGTGAGTGGGAAGAAGAAGTTATCAGCTACAATCTGCGCGAGCGCATTCGGTATGGGTTTGTGTCTCTTCTTCTCGACCTCCATGCGCGAGCTAAAAGTCCGTACTTTCAGTATATTGGGCCCGGTGAGCTGGTCGGCTGCCTGGGATGCAATGGGCGAAAGCATCTCGCGCGCCATGGTGCTAGAGATCTTAGCGACGGAGGGCCCGCTGGTGTTTTCGGCATAGATCTTGTGAAGGTGTGGGGGCAGTTGTTTGCTGGGGAAATCGGGCTTTGCGGGTATCAGGTTGTCGGTAGAGGAGTCTTTCATGCCGGCTAGCTCGCGTGCTCCCAGACCGAGGGTTGTGAGCATGGCTATGCGTTGTTGGAGGCTATAGTCGCCGGAGAAGAAGGATCGTGCGAACCATTGCGCCATTTGCGCTGGTTTCGCGAGTAGAACGGCAATTAGAGATTGCTGTCTTTGCTGCGAGAAGCTTTCTAGTTCGGAGTTGTCTTGCAAACCTGTAAGTATTGTAGCTAGCTCTTCGAGGTGGTCGGTGACTTCAGTGCCAAAGTTTGCTTTGCGCCGAATCAGTGACGCGGCAGTGGCTAGAGCTAGCTCGTGTCTGTCGTAATCTTCTTGATCGCGTAGACCTGCTATGAGATCTCGTATGTACACGGGTGCAGTGGGCTTGTTGCGGTTGATGGCTGTCGGATCATCGGTGTCGTCTTCTGGATCAGAGTCTGGCTTGTCGTACATGACCAAGTCTGCATCGTCGTCCTCGGAATCCGACAGGACCTCAATGACCCGCGGGCCTTGTATTTCAGTGATACCCGGAGCCTTTGAAGGCTTGGGGGCTAGTTTAGACTTTGGCGGGGCCTTTTTCACAGTAACTATACTGTCTTCTGGACTCTTGAGATCTGCGACAATTCCAATCTTGTCGTCGACTTCAGTGAGGCGTTGATACCATTTCGCTTCTTCATCTTCGGCACCTTCCAGCTCAAACTTTAGTTGTAGATCTGGGCTGTCAACCATCTTGGAGATGGCAATACCAACAGCGATACCCAAGAAGCGAGCTCGCGTAGATGGTGCACCGATGCGATTTGACATGCCGTTGACGTGATAGCTTGACTTTGCCATCATTTTAAGAAACATGGGTTGCGAGCGCTGGACATAGCCGCTGCATAGGGCTAAAGTTTGAGCAAGCGCTGGAGTGGTTTAGTCTCATGATCGTTACGGGTTGAGTGTTCTCATACCTTCTTGTTGTATGACTGGTGTATGCCTGACGTATACAGAGTCACCGAACAGCTTTATTATGCCCTCTAGAAGTGTGTGCAACTTTTCTGCAATATTTCAGTCAATGACATCTAACAAAGGCTCGTCCACGCTTACCTTCGTCTTTAGTCAAAGCAGCGACAATGCTTCTCCGAGCCGATAGTGCATCGTCAAGCGCAGGAATTGTTGACCGCGTAAGCGACGAGACCAGATGCTCTCTCAAGACATCGTTGTCCTTGGTGAGAGTGTGAATCAGGGCAGCAGCAGCAGATACAGTCTTGGAAGGTGGAATGGACGCGTCCTCCTTGCTCACAATTTCCGTGGCGAAGTATTTCTTGGCAATAAATGCAACGAACGAGTTCATGTATTTCCGCTGCTCGAACGTCTTCAGTTGAGATATAAGGGTTGTGAGATGCTCGACACGGCCATTATCAATTAACGTTGTAAGAAGCGAACTAACAATTCGATCTGTCTACTTAGCATTTGACGAGATATTTCGAGCGTTGACATACCGGTATAACCTAAGCTCAGTGCCTTCGAGCATAATTCTACAACCGCAGCACCACACTCCTCGGTTAGATCGCCACGTTCGATCAGATTGGCAATGTTGCGTCCTAGCCAAGCTGCATACTCATTGCCTGCCGCGATCCAGCTATTGTAACTAGAATTCCCTTCACCTTTCTTCAGTACATCTTCGGCCTCAGCTGCGGTAGAAAGAAGACGTCCTGATACAGCTTGCGCGAGATACTCTCTCCAAATAAGCTTTTGTTGTATCGGGTTCTTGGCAAACGTCAGAACATCTTTCAGTATAAGATGCGTTGTTTCATCGCCTCTCAACACTAAGTCCAAAACATCAAGCGTATCTGAGATATGCTCGGATGTATTGCGCGCTTCACCGGGTGCTTTCTTCTGGCGGCTGTCCGTGATAAGCGAACGTAGTCGCGTAACCAGATGGCCAAGACCTGTCGGATTGCGGAGAATCTTCCCTAATTTCTTTGCGTCGGCTGATGTCTTTACAACTCTCCAATAATTTGGTACGGTATCGTTGACGAGTTGATGCGCGATGCTTGCGTTGAGTGGCTCCGGAAGTAGGAGACTGAAACCATCTGAACTCAGGTACTTCAAGACGTTGCCGAAAGTTTCTCGACTGGGCCGGTTCTTGAGTGCATCCAAAGCTTCTTTTGGCGACGCGATAGTGGCTGCATCTTCGTGTTTGCTCAGGCTCGTGACTTCGCGAATCAGAGGTGGGTCGTCTTTGATCTTTTTGGTAGACACCGCCGTTAAAAAGTCAGTCATTTTGCCTAACAAACTATAGAAATTGCAGAATTCTGCATTGATTCATCAGATGATGCAAAATGTAAATCACGCTGCCCACCTTAACAAAGTGCAGCCTTTCCGATCGGCAGCGATGGATGCGCCCGCAGACCCGCATGCTAGCGTCTTGGCGAATCACCTACACTCTGATGCCTGTGACTACCGCTTTGCTACACTTGACTGTCTCCACTTTCATCTTCATCGTATTTCTACAAGATGGCTGTCAGCGTGGACAACATGAGCGCTGCTTCTACAGCCAGCCCGCGGGCACGATGGTAAGCTGGCGTCTCGAATCTATTCCGAGCTCTTGACTAAGATGCCCCAGGAAGTACCTAGACAACATACTCACCCGCAAGGGGCCTTTTACGGATGAAGATAGCTTTATGGTTGGTGAGCAGGCGATCGAATACTTGAGTAACCTTAAAGTTCTGTAAGGATACAATCATCCAAGACGCAAGAATCTGAAGCTAACAACACGTAGTGTCATGTGAGTTTGCCATCGCAATATACCTGAACTTTACCCATCCGGTCTCTGTACTGACGTTAGTCAGCGGTGCTGGTGGATTAGGATGCGAGATTCTCAAGAACCTCGCCCTTTCAGGTTTCAAGGACATCCACGTCATCGACATGGATACAATCGATGTCAGCAACCTCAACCGACAATTCCTCTTTCGTGCCTCAGATGTGGGAAAGTACAAAGCTGAAACTGCTGCTGCTTTTGTAGAGAAGCGTGTCAAGGACGTCAAGATTACTCCTTACTGCGGCAAGATTCAGGACAAAGATGAGAGCTACTACATGCAATTCGGCCTCATAGTATGTGGTCTGGACAGCATCGAGGCACGCCGATGGATCAATGCGACGCTTGTGGGCATGGTGGATGAAAACAACCCCGACTCCATGAAGCCGCTAATTGATGGTGGAACCGAGGGCTTTAAAGGCCAGGCACGTGTCATCTTCCCTACCATGACATCGTGCATCGAGTGCCAGCTGGACATGCACGCTCCCCGTGCCGCGGTACCCCTTTGCACCCTCGCCACAATTCCCCGGCAGCCACAACACTGCATCGAATGGGCACACATCATTGCATGGGAAGAGGAGCGCAAAGACATCACTCTCGATACCGACGACCCAGAGCACATCACATGGCTGTTCAACAAAGCATCCGCTCGCGCAAAGGAATTCAACATCGAAGGCGTCACTTACATTATGACCCAAGGTGTTGTCAAAAACATCATCCCAGCAATTGCAAGCACAAACGCCATTGTAGCAGCGAGTTGCTGTAACGAGGCCTTCAAGATCGCCACCAACAGCAATCCTTTCTTGGGATACCCTGGCATGGACAACTACATGATGTACACTGGTGACGACTCTGTATACACGTACACTTTTGAGCACCAGAAAAAAGACGACTGTCCTGTCTGCGGTGAGGGCAATATCGCAAGACCCCTTCAGGTTCTCCCTGGTATCACGTTGCAGGAGTTTATCGATGGGCTTGCGGAGAGGCCAGAGGCGTACGTTCATGTGTTCATTTACCGAGATAATTGCTAACTTTGTATAGTCAACTCAAGAAACCTTCAATCCGTACAGGAGAGAAGTCGCTTTACATGCAACTTGCAGGCCTTGAGGAGCAAACACGTCCTAATCTGGAGAAGAAGATGGTTGACCTGGTCGAGGAAGGTGAGGAACTGCTCATCACGGATAAGAGCTTCCCGACGCAATTCAAGTACAAGGTTGCCTGGGCATCGAAGTAGGACTATACAGCTCGTGAGCCGATTGAGCTTATTGTTGGAAAGAGCCGCTGAGATGACATCTTCGGCGGTCATGCTCGACTAACATAGACATGTGTATGAGATTCACGACATAGAAACAATAGAACACAACACCGCGCCATAGTGTACATTGTCGTCGCGTCTATGATTGTACAAGCGTCATATACATATTCATGCTGCCTTTACCCGCGGCGAAGCGACCTTCTCCTTCTTCCACTCCCACTTCGCCTTGATCGCCTCAGGAACCTCCTGCTCAGGTGTCGGACCGTCACCCGTGTGTCCCCACCGCCAATGATCCTCAGTCACCCTCCTCACCTTCAAATGCGCCTCGGCCCCAAACATACCCACAACACCAATCTGCTTCTCCAACGGGCCCCAGATCTTTATCGGTGGAACCTCGCCCTTGAACAGCTCCCTCCCAGCATGTATCAGCTCGTTCGCCGCAAAGCTGTCCTTGGCGTACTTGGGCTCATACGGCACGCGGTCCCATTCCTTGCGCTGTAGACGCAGAAGCTGCTGTGACATCTTGTCTGAGATGGTGGTGCCGAGATCGGTTTCGGCGATTGTGGTACCTATGCTGCTGTCGCCGCCAGAGGTCCTCTCACGCCTCTTGGGGCCGCCTTCGCCGCGGTTGTTGCCCGCTCCACCGGCCTTTCGTTTTCCACCGGGCCCGCCTGGCTTGCTGGCATCTCTACCGCGTAGGTTTGGGCCTCGCACCATGGGTCCCCGAGCAGCGTTTCCGATACGGAGGGCAGCAGGGGCGCGTACCATTTGCCCTTGGGGCGGGGGCGGGACAGAGACACGGGTGATTCTTGGGCCAGCGGGATTTCGTGCGAAGCGGGGGGTGTTGGCGGCGCCAGACTGAGCGTTCTGCGGGGCACCTTCGCCGTCTGGTATAAAACCAGGCTCGACGGACGGGGAGGTTCGACGTGCCATTTGGCCGCTGGGGAAGGAGCCTCGTGCGAGGGCGCCTGCGCCGGGTATGGCTTTGCGGTTCTGGAGGTTGGTGATTTGCCTCAGAGCGGTAGCAGAACGAGTCTTTCGGGTTACTGGGACGGCTACGTTCATGTCAGCGATTGGACTTGGAGTCCACTGCCAATCTGGAGGGCGTACGGGCGGCCGGTGGTGTGTTGCTGGGCTGCTCCTCAAGCCTCTTCGCAGAGCTGTGGAGGCCCCTTGTCGAGCAATTTGATACAGCCGATGCATCTGCTGCTAATATACGCCGCAGTGCGCCCATTGAAGGGCACATCTGTCGTTGTGCCATGGCGCAATGGATGGACATGTTCGGTGCCGTCACTACCACTCCAAACTTTCGAGATCGCAACGTCTTGGCAATGTGCAGGGATCATGCACCACGAGCCGCCTCCCGCACCACGTGCTCCGCCCTCTTCGTCTCACAGACTCTCGGGCATCAACGTTGCGCTTTCACTATCAACGACCTCATCTCATGATTGACACGTGGCTTGTTGTAAAAGAACAAATTGGGTCATCGACCGAATAACAACAAACCTTTTAAAAGCCGCTTGCGAAACTACGACACTGCAGACGACTACTCGATTACTTATCCGGGTTCTAAGTGATCATCACAAACAGACCCCTCGGATCAAACCCTCCGTGACAAAGCGTTTATCATAAACCTCCCACCCACTCAAACAACTATATCCACAACCCCCCAACCCCACCACCACAATGCTCCGACGCGCCCCAACAACCATCACCCTCACGCAAACCGACATCGAGCAATGGGAACAAGACCGCAAGCGCAAAGTCCAAGAGGCCCAGCAGAAACTCGAGAATGAACAACGAAACGCCCAATCCGCCAACGAAGCAAAGGCCAAGCAAAAGTCCAAGAAAGACCGTATCATGGGTTGATCTGTCAAAACATCAACTTGGCCTGTTAGCTGTTGTAGACCCGAATGCTTGGTTTCTTGTTTCGATTTCCTGTCGTAGCCCGCCTGTCTTTCTTGCGGTCTGGTGGTGTGACACCTGCCACTTTCCTTGACTCGGTTCAAACGACGTTGGAAGAAATATGTGTCTTGGCTTGTTTCCTTTGGTGTCCTTTGGGTATCACACCCACATTCAGCGTCTTTCCCACGGGACATGCTTGCTTTTTTTGGGACAAAAAAGACTACCCACAATTCCGTCACATTACGATCCTCGCAGTTGGTATGTGCTTCCCTTTCCCTTTTTCCCGCCCCAACCGTTCACGCTAACACACGGCTATGACAGAACACTTGGACAATGCTTTGGTTTGATAGACGTACTGCGTAATCGGGAAGATTTCTGGGTGGGCTTTATGAGGACTTGGAGGTTGAGTCTCGTTGAACCATCAAACAGGAGACAGTGAGCACATTGTGGCTCATACGAACACTAGAGTAAAAGATCCCCGGGTACAAGTCCCGCGATTCCAAGAGCAAAGAAATGAATACCAAACCCCCTCCTCCTTGCTTCTTTCCCCTTACCCATACCACCCTCGTGGGCCGCGATGTTGACGTGCCAAGCTAGGTGGTGTTTTCGTGGAATGTACATATCCAACGCGAGCGGGGGAAGATGCCTAGGAATGTGCCTCTCCTCGAGCACCATATGAGAGATGGCATGTCTCGACAACCCCTGTTCTCCCAACCAACACCACACTCCGCTTTCTTCAACCAAGCGTAAGCAACAGTCATGTCTCGCTCCCCCAACATCCCCGCCGCAGCCGCAAGGCTCCTCCTCCTCTCTTCTTTGCCCCTGGCACTAGCCTACCCTCAGATGATCCCGCCCTTCGAACTGCTCAATGCTACATCTGACGCTGTACCGGTATCCACTTCCGCTGTTGTCCCAGAAGAAACACCCATCTACAACTACAGTGATCCATCCATCACCTACGATTACTTCACCGCGTCGCCCGTGCCCACATCCACTTCTTCCAGTAGCGTCGACTTCTATGGCTTCACGACTACAGATTCCGCACCGGAGGCCACTGCGACCGTCATCTCTGATCCTGGTATGACGACGCCTCTGGACCCCATTTTTATGCCTTCTTCGGTGTATCCCTTCCCAACTACGCCGGATGTTAGTGTGAAGACCTTCCTTGCAGTTGTGCAGCCGCTGTTGGATATCATTCAGAATCTTCTTCCGCCGTCGACTGTTCGGGATGTGTTTGGTCCGTACTCGAGTGAATCATTGGAGATGAAGAAGAGGAGCACGGAAGCTGTTGGTACGGGTCTACCGACTGGTCTCCCGACTGGTATACTGGATGTCAATACACTTATTGTTGCGCTTGTCAAGCAGGCCCTGGCTATCCTGAACAGCACTCCGGCTGATAGCGTAACCAAGGCAGTTCCACTTGATGCTGCAACTGGCGCGGTTGGCACTGTAACCAATACCGCTGGTGGGTTACCTGTTGGTGCTGTCACTGGTACAGTTGGAGGTGCCACGGGTGGTCTTCTTGTTGTCGGTGGTCTGACTGGTGGAAGCATCGCCAGTAGAGCACTGCGACGTCGTCAGCTCTCTGGCTTAGGGAGCGTTGTTAGTGCCCCCAAGGCTGTCCCACCACTTGTTCAGTCTATCACTGGTGCTGCGACTGGTAGCACAGGGAGTCTTCCAGTTGTTGGGAGTTTGCCTGTTAACCCCGGTTCAGTTGTCAGCACGGCTACCGGTGCTGTATCTGGAAAAACTGGAAGCCTTCCAGGCGTCGGCAGTCTACCTGTTAATCCAAACTCTGTCCTCAACACAGCCACCGGAGGTGCTGGATCCGTCGCTGCTGGAGTGCCTCTTGTGAACAACGTGGTACCGGGAGGCATCTCCGTCACCGGCAGCCTACCCACCTCTCTCGACCCTGCGTCAATCGCCAACACGGTAACTGGTGCAGCTGGAGGTGTCAGCTTAGCTGGCAATCTACCCGTCAACCCATCGACCGTCGTCGGCACCGTAACCAACGCGCTCCCTGCCCCCGCCGCAAACCTCGTCCCAAGCAATGTAACCAGCACGATTTCCCCAGCACAGCTCAGTGTCGTGATCTCGCTCCTCAACGCAGCTATTAGTCTCCTACTCGGTAATCTCAATCTCGATATCGTCGGTGGTCTCACCAAACGCTCCACCGACGTCTCCCTATCCAGCCCCACACATGCTGAATTCTATAAGCGCGAAGCCTTTTATCCCGTTCCCGTCCGCACCATGCGTCATGAAGAAAGGAAACGCCAGGGTACAAACGTCAACTTTGGTGCTTCTAGCTTGGATAATGCTGCGCACTTGAGTAATGGGGAGTTGATGGCTCTTCTGGGCGCTGATGGTAGCTTGGATCCCATGGGCTTGATGGCACAGGAGGATCAGTCTGAGGATGCTTACTATTCTTCTGCGCCTGGTGGTGCGAACTCTGCTGAGCAGTACTATCCGCCCATGGGCGACGACGTGGTGCCAGCGTTTGAGGGCTACTCTGAGTAAGATGAAGCACCTGTTTCGTATGCGAGTAGTGCGGCTGTTACATCTCTAGCGGAGAATTTCGTATGGGTATTGGACCTTGCTTAGGCTGCAAGGTTTGATGAGGGGATGTTTGCATGGAGGAAGTATGTGGGGGTCAAGGGTTTCATTACAAGTGGATTGGTAAAGAGGGAATTCTTTTCACAAAATTGGTTTGAGGAGAGAAAGAAATTGTTGGAATGATCAGAGTGATTGATGGTGTTTTGGAGGCCTTTGCTATTGACGACTTATTCTTCTCTTCTTCTCTTCTTCTCTTTCCCTAGTAATGACTTGACGTAGTTTGAAGAAAATGCATTTTTACCCCACCAGCATATGTTTCGGTACACTTGATGTGGATAGCTTGTATCCTTCTCCGAGCAACTGCTTCAGCACGACTACACTCTTCTCGTCGCCCTCTTCCAAATGTATTGCTCGCGCTTACGAGGCTTGGGCATTCACTCACGAAAGGTCAACTCTATGATAGTACGTTGGGATCTGTCAGCAGCCGTCCCACAGAGATATGGACCCACATCATGTATAATGCAGGGGAGACGCGGAAGACGATACACTCGCTGTACGTAAAGTAAATTGGGGCTCAATCATGTGACTAGGCTTCCTAGATTGGAACTAAACGTCTCCATAATGGCTTTGCTTTTTCGCACACTGACGAAACGAGACTATTACGTCTTTTTTTCTTCCTCGGACCGAGCAAACACACTGAGCCTGTCCATGCTACATATTCGTATAAAGTATCCAGTAAGCCATCGCGTGCCGCCAGTGTATTGATAAGCAAAATAAGGCATGCACGCATGAATCTCTACGTAAGGAAGAGCGCACTCCCGAGGGAAAGGATGCGGTTGTCGGGGTCTGGTACGTACTGCTAATGAGTGCTTTTGCGGGACGTTGGGGGCCAGCCCGCGGTGGCACGGTGGCTGAAGATGAACCCCAAACTTTTGTATTGTTATGTCTCTAGAGAGGTATATATTCCGGTGAAGGTACCGTTCACGTGTCGACCCAATTACCCGGTCCTGGGCAATGCGGGGGTACCTGCATTTCACACAGCCATCGCAGCCTCATATTATGCTGTTAACGCGGGCTGCGGGCTCATATCTAAAATTTGCAGCTCTGTATTGGTGTGGATGGTGTGGAGAAGACGTTGTGCGGAATGACGGATGTACAAACGCAAGCGATGACAAGGCGGCTCGGAGTTCCACGCACTATCCTGTTCGGACTTTGACCCCCGGTCGTTGGCGAGTCCAAATCCATTGTGGAAGTATCGCTTGCCAAATTCATGCTTCAGTGCGGGCCGCGTTGTAGGGAATACAAAACCATTGTGTGGACTCAGCTGGAACAAAGCGGACATTTCGTTGAATTACGCCTTTTTCTCTTTTTGGCCATCTTGGCTATCATCGTATTCTAACCGACATATGTGAATGTAGTATATGCGCATAGCGACAAGCATTGGCTCATTCGTAAACCGCGTCGACGTGTGGCGTCTAAGACGGCATGCTGATCGTATCTTTGAGATGAGTCACGCGCACGTGGGTAAATGAGCCCCAACATACTGTACGTACAGGGACCCCCACAGGACCCTTATACGGATAGGTTCTAGTTTATATGTATTGGTGGTCTTTCGACATTAGCAGATCTCAAAATAGGAGGGTGCAGCTGAAAAGGATAAATGCAATACTGTGATCAGTGCTTCGTGTCGGATGCCCATGACGTCCACGTGTACGGAATGTGGACGACCATCACTGGGTCTATTCCGGCACGAGTCCGAGGTATAAACGACGCGTAGTCTGAATATTGTGATGCGGAGGACGCAGAAATTGTCGGAGAGACAGGCTTGTCGACGTCGAAGCGTAGGGACGGGCGTCTGGTCACGCGACGGGTGATAATCCACGGTGGACTGTCATATATGATCCAGGTGGTACCCTGTGGTATTCCACTATAATATCGGCGATATGTGGTACCTAAAGCGACCTCGGGAGATGCGGAAGAGATCGCACTCGGACCGAAATGCTCAGATGGCTCCTGGATGTTCCTGATAGTCTGACGATGTCGCACTTCGCAGTCGCGATTCGTATATCGGCGGTTGGTAGATCGGAAGGAAGGGTCCAAGTTACACGTGCATCATTGCGATGTACTCGGGTCTTGAGTATCTTGATTGTCAAATTTTACACTCATGAAGTACTGGTGACGTGAAGTTGGCGAATCTGCAGAGCCGTTGGATGCGCAAGCTGCCGGTCACGTAGTACCCGATGCGGAGAGCCCGGTAAACGGTCTTAAGTTGGCTGACACGTGAGCCGGTAGAAAGTGGCAGGCGCCGACGTCTGTAGTCAGATTTAGTCAGACTGATCGCATATGACACGAAGCGGTCATTCGTGCAAGGCTTAGTGCTCAGTTGGTGCGGAATATAGGGTTTGACGAAGTGAAAATATATCTCTTAGCGGCACGTTGAGTGACAGAAAGCGAAAACATATCCAGCATATTCCGAACAACTAGCCAATCGTCAATCGCCCCACATGTGTGCTACCAGCATTCAGACATGTGAGAGCTTCAAGACGTCCTTGCGGTATGACTCTATGTCAAACCTTGGGTCACCGTGAGCCGGAAGTAAGATTCTGGTTACTTATCCGCCAATCATGTATTTGCGTATTTTGGGATTCCCGGGAGGTTTAGTTGAGAGTGATGACATGCTAAGGGTATGGGTTCTCCGGCCTGCAGGCACGGGGCCGGACTAATGCACTTTTCCGCCCTACGGCAGAGGACCGAGACGGCGTCTGATGCGTAGCGCATGTTCGCATGCAAAGTCGAATAGCCCAGGTGTTTGGAGTCGCGAACGACAAGATAGTGATAGGTCCCAAGCGTCTCAGCGACATGATGCCCATGTTTGAGACGGAAGATTGTTGTTTGTGTTGGTCAGAGAGATGGTGGGGCATGGGCACCACCAAGCCTCGCATTGACTCGAGACGTGAATTTTGCCGCACACACGACTTTGCGGCGCAGCAGTCGCGGTGCTCCGGTCACGACAAACATATTACCAAACTAAACTCAGCAGAAACTTCTACGCGTCGGCACGCGTTTGTTGGGTTTCTCCACATGGTGGCGCCAAAGCGGCAAAAGGGGGCTCGAAACTTCGGATGTTCCAGGGACGGGTCGCCCCCCATCAACGGTGCCTGACAGGCTTTTTTACTAAGACGTGTAATGACTCTGGCAGGCCGGGGCATCTTGGTCTTACTTATTTGAACGACATACCTGAGAGCTGCTGACGTTTCTAACTAGAGCTAAGGTCCGTGGGCCCACGCGGTGAGCTGCGAGGCCAGCTGAAGTGAACCAGGTCCCACATCGGATTCGGATACACAATCGCCTTCCATGATGCCTTTGTGGATCCAGCAATAGTCGGGCTTGCCGGTATTGGGGATGAGCCATGCCGGCTAGAGATGGGGACGAAAAACCCCCATCCACTGATAGCAACCCACTCCACTCCACGAAGACTATCTCAACGGTTATCCTCCGACGTTGCTAAGGGCTTACCGTCGCAAAGGAGTTCACACGACGTACACACACGCGACAGTAGTCGTACAGAGGCTGACTGGCACATGTGGTCCTGCCAGGCGACGTTCGATCAAGCAGCACTATTGCATATGCATGGTGGCTGCAGGGTCAATCCAATCAGACGGTCTAGTGAGTCTCTGCCATCGTGAGACGTTGGAGACGGCGGGATTGGGGCCTCCATCAGAGCCCACACGAGATTGCGTGTTGGAAAGGTGTGAGGCCTTCTGGCCTCTTGCTGGTGGTGGAAAACCACGCCGCATCGCGCTCAGTCACTGTAGACGCCCGTGGAGGCTGTCTCGGCAGTGGTCGCGCGCTTCGGGGTGGGATGCCCTTTTGGATTTGGTCGAATCACGATGCACGAGTGGGAAAAGAGGTTCAAGCTGAAGGTGGTGCCTTCGGCTCCATAGAGCCAGTACCCAGCCGCATACGAGTGCTGTGCCTGGACCCGACGGCGCATCCTGGTCGTCTTCGCATGCCTGGTCACTGGTGGTCTTGGCTACTTTGGAGGCCTTCCGGGGTCAGGCCACGCTAAGCTAGGGCCAATTGAGCCAGCAGGGGCATGTGGTCTGTTCCCTTTCTCAGGATCGCCGCCTCCACTTGAACTTTAGTACTTACTTACACTCAGGCGGCCCAACCAGGAGCCATGGTCATGACAAGGGCTTCGTCCTGCATCGAGCAGCCTCCCTCATGCCGCACCGGCATTTTTCTACTTCTACCAAAACGTCCCGTCGTTTGTCTTTCACTCGCTTTGGCCTCCAGTGCCTGTATATCCGACCATAAACCTTAATCCGCTCTTTAGACGTGCCGTGTTTAGACTAACGGGAACATCACCACTCCACATTTTATTGTTTCGTTTTCTTGACGTGCGGACTTTCTGTCAAGCACTACCATCACAGTAACCGGTTTCACCTGCCCGGCATTGCATAACAAGATCACGCCCTATAGCACGCATACCTCATTTACTTGGCTCACGCGCGGACAACTCTCTCACCGGGTGCACTACCCATCCTCTATAAGCATCTGACCTCGCACCTTGCGCCCAAGTAAGACTGCTGGTCAGACTTGTATGATACACATGGTCAATACACTCTGGTTGGAATCTTCGTAAAGAGCATAAGGCTTGCAACATGGTCGACAACACCACATCAATAGCGGCCCTCCGAGGGCGCTGTCCTCCTCCCTTCTTCGATGCGGCGCAGTTTGGATATGGCGGTTGTAAGTACATCGATTCCATATCTTAACACAATCGCTAACGAAGCAGTCGTCGAAGGAAGGTTCTGTGCGCCTGTCGGAACCACTGGCCTCGTATGCTGTTTACCATGTCCGATGACAGATTTCCTATACCCAGCGAGTGAGCGCTTGTTGACTGGATACCGTTACCAACCTTGCTGATGAATCCAGGTTTCAACACAGCGTATCGCACCGCCGAAGTCCTCAACGTTGTCGGTCTTATATTATTGGTCTTCATGTTGGTCACATATGCGGTCTTACCGGCAGAGAAGACTCGCCGACACTATCTCAGCTACTGTCTGATTATTGCCGCAATCTTCATGGCTGTAAGTCTGCTGCCAATCACTGGGACTACTATATGCTAACATGTCTAGCTTGGCTTTGTGATACCCTTTGGCGCCCAACCGGAGCAGTGCTATGACAAGATTACCCCCAACGACATGTATTCGAGTTTGACATGCGCCTTCTCAGGCGCTTTCATTCTCTCTGGCGGTATGTCAATAGCTGTTTGGATCTTTATCCGCGCCCTCTCTATGCATCTTCAAATTTGCTGGGACGTCACGCCAGGAAAGAAGTTCTTTTACTGGGCGCAAGGCCTGGGTTGGTCGACCGCAGCCACCTTCTTCACTCTCACCATCACCATCACTGGAGTCTCTTTCAGGTTTGGCGACGTCTGCCATGTGAACGCTGAGCACTCGATGAAAGACTTTTGGGGACCACTACTGGCTATAGCTGGCGGTGCTACGGTCATCCAGATAGCAACGTAAGTTCGCTCATATACAGCCCATGCCACACTACTAACATATTTTTGCAGCTTCGTTTATTGTATCAAGGTCTATCTTCAGAACATGTTCAGTGACGACGTAACCGAAACCCAGAGCAGCGCCGGTCTTCCATCCTACACGACGAGCTTGCGCAAGCGTTCCGCACGAGTCGTCTACCGACGTGTCCGCAAAGTCCTCTATCTCCAATGGCGCGGTATCATGATTGTGGTCTTCATTCTAGTGGATGTCATCTTCTTCTCCGTGGTTTTCGTCTGGCTCAACAACGTCACTACACATGCCACCTCCAATGTCCAGGAACTCTACCCGTTTATTTTGTGCTTGATGCAAAATTCCGAGGACCCGTCCCCATGTTTTGAGGTCGGCCAGGCCTTCACTGTCAACCAATCCACAGTCACTGCAGTCCTGATAATGCTTTCCTTTGCTGGAATCCAGGTGTTCTTCTTACTCGGCCGGTGGAGCATGATTTCAGGATGGCGGGACCTCATCAGAAGCAAGTTCAGCAAAAATCGCGAGTTTGTATCCTTGGACGCCAAGAAGCCCACCGACGACGTGCTACGCCAATTCGAACTCAAGAACTTTGACCAAAAATCACCCCCGGCCGCATACTTCACTCCTGGATTGGCGAGTTACGCTATCGAGAACCCCCGATCAGATACTCCTGACCATTTCAACAAAGAGATACAGCGCGAATACAGGAGTCCCGCTCAAAGCTTCTCGACTCCACGGCCACAATCCCGGGCACAACACATAGAATGGGATCCCAGAAGTTCAATGGCTAGGGGCGGTTTGGGATTACACCCTCCCTCAGATCTCGACAATAAGATCAGAGAATGAATCCAACAAAAGTGTTCTTCTTTTTCCCAATAACGTTTCAAACTTGAGTGTCAAACCCATGGCCCTTGTCAAAGACATGGCTCGACCGGCGCATTCAGCCGCGAGTTATTACATACACCACACGCGGACCACTATATATCCGTAAGCCTGTCGATCACAGTATTGACACTAGCGATGCTACCCGTGTCCACGCTTACGGCTACCCGCGACGACGGGCTCCGCATAGTCAGCTGTGGCTGTACACGGTTAGATGCCGCAAGCTCACGACTTACTCGCCAAACGACTACGCGGAAGTCAACAGCCCCTTTGAGAAGACTATGACATTCCCTGTCGGCGATGATTCTCCATCGGTATTCTTTGTCCTCTGCATTCCTCCCTCGGTGTTTTGAAAGTTCCAAAAGACTCTTCTTCCTGCATTTTAGCGCACATGGACACGCGCGGCGTGTACGTGATAGCCAAGGTCTTGGTCTCACTCTACTCGCTCATCATCACGAGATGTCGGTGGGCATCACGATCTAGTAAGATGACGACCCTCCGATCCTTATAGACGGCGTCAGTCTTCCGACTTGGGGGCTCTAAAAGTTCCTTGATCCACTTTCTTATCTTTCTGCTTTGCTTTTTTCGCGGGCATATACCGTAAGTTAGGCGGGCACTTTCAAACTACCGTTATGTACCCGGCGCGGACCCCTGCACCGGGACGATATTTCCTATGTCTCAAACGAGCGATGAGTGTATACCAGCGCGTCATCCCGAGTCCCATCTTCGATCAGTGTCTGCATATGGGAGTAGCCCTGCAGATCTAATCTTAGTTCAGCGATCAAACTTGACATATAAGTAGAGCAAATATACACTTCAATAGACTTGACAAGTGTAATAACAGGTCCTTCTATGTCCTCTTACTTGCACGGGTCCCCTTCCCTAAGAACCATGTGACGCTCAAAGTCGTTTTTGTTGACGCTGATCAACGGGTGGTACCCCAGAACATTCCGGCAATACGGATGAAAGTGTGGCGTTCTAGATGTCGATCTTTGTACAGAAAGGACAGCATGCGCAAGATGTCGCCGAGACAAGAGAAAAAAGGGCCCAGAAAACCCATGGCAAGAGAAGCACTGATCTTCTTTCCCTGTCCTTGGGTGCCCTGTCAGCGACACTGCGGTGCTGACAAAGTTTCGGTAGTACTCCGTGACGCATCCGGACCACTGACATTTATTGCCATTGGACGAATCAGCATAGAGCCGTACTGGTTCTCCGTGATGCTCCGCGCCGTTGGGTCCTTGTGCCCTCATCCGGTGGGATTTGTGGTTCCTCTGCATTGCGCTGCCCTCCGTCGAGCTCCGTACCTGTCGCCCAGCAGGAGCAGGCGCCCAAGACCCATTTATGCGCAGCAGTCCCGGGCACAGCCAGGCCTCGAGACTCCAGAGGCCGCGGAAGTATCTGCAGCTGCCAAAATCAAGGCACATTTCACGCCGCATGGGAAGTTGGGGATCTGCGCGATACATTTTCCGAGGCACTTACTTAGCTACCGTCTCCAACAAGACGGCCCTGGTCTTCCAGAACAGCGTTCGACGGGAAGACACGCGACTGCCTTGAGAGGACGGAGCATTCCCATGAATTGAGAAGTATCCCCTTCCCATGTGCGGGGCCACATCACCGTCTCCCTGCCTCAAAAGGGCAGAATGATGCGCTCGTTGGGTGCAGGCATGAACGCGTGCTCGGCACGAGCTGCAGGAACGGGCATCTAGGCTATAAAATGACGGCCTCAGTGCAGGTGGGCAAGGGTGCTCAAAGTAGTCTGAGCACGCTAAGGGCAAATCCTTCGCCGGCTCGGCTCTGTATGTTTCAAAGGCAACCGAGATGAAGAGGCCGGGTGAGGATGCGAAATGGGGGAATTTGGTTGCAAGCGAAATCAGCATCCGCCTTCCACAAGGCTTACTGCTTACTTTGTCAACGGCGGAGGGTGGAAGAGAGAAGGTGGGGATGGCTGTTGGGGCCTTACAGCGGTATTGACGGACCGTGTCGTGTTCACGTGCACTGGTGCGGCACGGTCAATCCGAAACTCCTTGGTCCTGTCAAAGGATCCCCCTTATGCGACGGGAGTTGTTATTAGCTTTCAGTTTTTGCCGTTATCACCAAGTTGTGTAGGGCATTCGTCGACGGTCGGGCAGACTTTCTAAGCGATAAATGCACTACATATGTGCGTCTTATCAGGAGGCTGCGTCAGAGGTTTCGACCTCGTATCGTGAAACTTCGGCATTGACGTGTGGGCGCTCAATTGCCCGCATTATTGCTAGCACTAGCATCAGCTGTTGCACTCTGACCAGATATCTCTCCAAACCCTCTGCTTGCTTGCTAAATTCTTCCCAAGCTTCTTGCATGCTGACAGGTTCAGCTAGATTGCGTGGCACTCTACTTCTGTTTCAGATCCATGTGGTGTATCTGTGACACCTAGTTCGTTCTCGTGCACGATACCCTTCCACACCAGGTATATTGTTCTTACGCATAAATCAGCCGAGATCTGTAATCAGAATGTGGGGTATTGTCGGCTGAATGGGTTACCACGCACCCATCTGCTTTCCGCCTATGCTATACTTCACTACATGCAATATAGCCTCTTTATCTGATGTAAGTAGCGTGAAGTAGTCAGACGTGTGACTTCCTGCACACCAGCATTGTCCCATGCGTCAGCTTCAAGCTCTATCCTTGGGGTCTTGGGTTGTGCGTGGTAGGAAGTGATGGGATCCCGAATGTCCACATTATGCCATTTCCAAGTTTTCGATCAATTCATTCCTTAGTCATAGCATTGCCTTTGGTACTGAGGTCCTCCCCAGAGTTGTACCTAGCGTCTACGCACTACCACCACCCTAATACAGTAGAGCAATTCAAGATTTGGCTATGACATCGCGCGAACGTCTGCGAGCACTCCTATGTCTTGTTCGTCGTTTCTCCAAACGTCCATGATGAAGTTCGTGGACGATCACTGACTCGAAAATGTTTGTAAAGTCAAGCCTCGCATTGCGTGATCGGCCGAATGTTTCGCAACGTCATTACGTATAGAATAGGAAAGACCACCCACTATGTACGCGTATCAATTGTTCTACCCCACCAACGTTATCGTAACCAAACAACGCGGACTTCTCCGCGACAAGATCCCCGCTTCCACCATCACGCGTAGCCATTTCTTCCAAGCCTCAACTACTACGTAACCTGTTCTCTGCACCAGTCAGCGATCAATCAACCCCACCTCACAACGCTACATCGCGAGAATGGTCGCAATGGGTGGCGGACCAGAACTTCCGTCCCGAGGCACGCCAAAAGAGAAGGAACTCGTATTGTGCACGCTACCATGGCCTGAAGAGCGGGCAGCAAGAGGCATCAAAGCCTTGAAAGAGGCTTTCGACGATGTGGAAGTAAAGTACTATCATTCCAAGTATAGCAATGGAAATGCAGAGTCACTTGTTGTTCCTGACGGTAAGTGACCATGTCCGCGCAATGGTTGTAGTTGTTTTCGTACCACGTTTGGCGCAACGGGGCTGCATTCGTGTCACCGATCAGTGCATACAACAAGGCTTGTTACGTTGACATGTTTTCTATGTTCTCCGTGTACGACATTGGAAACTAACCCTACAACTAGATGTCCTTCGACGCGCAAACTACATGGCAACACTCTTTTGGCTTCCTTCTTCACCAATGTCTATCCCACACACCAAACTCATCCAATTCTATTCTGCAGGCACCAACCATGTTAGCAATCATCCCATCTACACTGACTCGGAGATTCCATTATGTTCGGCAAACGGTGTCCACGGCCCCCAGATCGCAGAGTGGGTCATCATGATGGATTTGGTCCATAGTCACAGCTACACGAAGCTATACGATAACCAGAAAAAGAAGGTCTGGGATCAGGCAGACGGCTCGAACGTTAGCGATCGAGTCGGGAAAAAGGTCGGGATTTTGGGGTACGGAAGTATTGGACGGCAAGGTATGTTGATCACTTCCTCTAGACCCGGCGACGCGAACTTGTTAGCGGATGCGGAGCCGTCTCCAACATGTCACACGCATAGTCTTGTTGGTTTTTTTCTTTTCCATCCGACTTCCGGTCAAGCTATCGTGCTGACTGAGTCATGACCATCTCGTTCTATTCCTACTGCACACGCGCTTCCCCTCTCATGAGACAGTAGTTCTAAGCTAACTCACGCATGCAGTCGCTCGCGTAGCAAAAGCGATGGCCATGGACGTGATAGCGTACACTGCATCGCCCCGCAAAACCCCCGAATCCAAGCGCGATGTGGGCTACATTGTGCCTGGTACTGGAGACCCTGATGGTAGCATCCCCAGTGCATGGTACAGTGGAACCGATAAAGCAGCCATGCACGAGTTTTTGAAACAGGAAATTGATTTACTTGTTGTCGCTGTACCTTTGACGTAAGTGGTTGATTGGTTTCGGTCAAAGGTTTGATACCCGCTTTGAGCACATGGCTAACATGTGGTTTGCAGTAAAACAACGACACATCTCCTGTCTACTGAGGAGTTTGAGCTCTTGCACAAGTCGAACCCCAGGGGTACTTATGTTGCCAATATTGCGCGTGGTCAGATCATTGACCAAAAGGCCCTCATCACTGCTTTGGAGCAGAAGCAAATTAGTGGTGCAGCGCTCGATGTCACGGACCCGGAGCCGTTGCCAAAAGACGATCCACTGTGGGAAGCACCAAACGTGCTCATCACGCCACATTGTAGTGGATCAACAGACGTCTATGCTGATCGAGCATTCCAAGTGCTGATCGAGAACATCAAGAGAGACAGGAGTGGGGGCGATTTGATCAACGAAGTGAATCGAAAGAGGGGCTATTAAAAAAAATAGCGTCCTGCAATGCAATGTAGACATATTATGCGTAGTGTCAATAGATGATCGGTACAGGGTATAATAAATACTCCGATAGACTCCACATGAAACAATCCTGTATTCTGCTGCAACTAGTCATACAGCTCTGCTTCTCCTCGCTTCCCGCGGCATTTGTAAAACCCAGAATGCCATGAGCCATTGGTTGTGTATCATCGTCTGTTGAAGATGCCCGACAGCATGTTACTAGCCAGACTACTCGCGAGACCAGAGCCATACATGGCATTTGAAGCAAAGCCCGTGGCCTGGCTAAACTTGTCGCATCTCGAGAAGGCGAGCGTATTCGTAATCGTAAGGACGAGCGCGATGACTGTCAAAACTGTTAGTCTCTCCACATGACTCTCTCTTATCCCAACATCCCCATCCCTACATTCCCACCCCAAAGAATCCATACATACCAACAAGCGTCAACCAAATAAACTCCAAACTAATCAACGCCACAACCGCCAACACAACCCACAGCACAGGTTGCGCATACAACGCCAGCCAAAAAAACCGCTTATCCGTCGCATTAATCTGCCTGCCCGTCTCCGGGTCTAGACTCTCAAACACCCACCGTCCGTCACCCGTGTTGACGTCGACTTCGTTCCACCACCGCAGGCCCACCAGCCGCCGGCCAGCAATGTTCTTGAGGTAGTAGAAGTCCATGGCTAGCAGCAGGATGGTGATGATGAAGATTAGGACGAAGTTTGACGTTAGGAGACGTAGGCCGAGGAGGTAGACTATTAGGGATGCTGGGAGGGGGGTGTTAGTTGTGGCTTGGTAGTTGGGGGAGTGTATGTGGATAGGGAATTGGGGTGCAGGTGCAGGTGCTGGAGATGCTAGATAGCACATACAGATGCGGAAAAAGAGAAACGTAAGAAGTGTAATAGGATGGCTGCTTAGACGCCAGCTCAGCGAGCCAGGTGCCGGCGCTGTCGGAGCGGTTTGTGCGGGCTCCATTGCGTTTTTGCGATTGTGTTGGAGGGTTGTTGTGTTGCAATGGGACAGGATGTGAGCTTGGGTGAGCTTCACGTGGCTACATTTCTCAGGGACCCGGAAGACGCGTCGGCGATCGGCGTTTGGTGGAGCTTGTCGCATGCGAGCCCGCGTTTTCCCCGCACGTCATAGTTGGCTTTCGCCGAGGTGTGTGTATATCGCGATTGAGAGTTTGTATCCTTCAATTGTTTTTAGTGGTTTTGCGATTGAGGGTTGAAGTAGCTGTAGACATCATGGCTGCACCGATTATTCGTAGGGCGTGCATGTATGGTATGGAATTGACACTCCCTTCTCCTCCTCTCCTCCCATCCCAAGTCCGTAGCGCAGCAAGCCAATGTCTCAAGTACAGCAACAACTAACATGCGTCCACAGTGCCATCTTCTTCGAAAAAGATGCTGGAAAAGTCCTTCGCCATGCATGCCGACAACGTAACGTACGACCTCGAAGACAGCGTCGCCCCCCACATGAAAGCCACCGCGCGCTCAAATCTGCGCTCCATCCTTTCCACCCAACGTCCCTCTGGCATAAAAGAAATGTGCGTACGCATAAACAGCGTCGACACTGGTCTCGCTCTAGACGACTTGACGGAAGTGCTCAAGGGCAAATATCTCGACGCCATCATGCTGCCTAAATGCGAGAGCGCTGCGGACCTGCACTTTGTAACGGACGTGATACGGCATCTGAGTCCGGAGCGACATCCAAGTAACACTTCAGGGCAGAAACAGGGACAAAGGGAGCCAGTGCGTATAATAGCGCTGATAGAAAGCGCAAAGGCGATTCAGAATCTCAGCTCCATATGCGCTGCGTCGCCGTACCTGTCAGGCCTAGTGTTCGCAGCCGAGGACTTTGCAAAGGATATGAGTCTGACGCGTACGCCTTCGTTGATGGAGTTTCTATACGCGAGGAGTGCGATTGCGACGGCGGCGCGGGCGGCAGAGTTGCCGTCGACGATTGATTTGGTCTGCACGAGTTATAAGGGGGACGAGGGACTGAAGACGCTAGAGGAGGAGTGTCTGAATGGGAAGGGTCTGGGGTTTAATGGGAAGCAGTGTATACATCCGAGTCAGGTTGCTGTGTGTCATAAGGCGTTTAGTCCTGGGGAGAAGGAACTTGAGTGGGCGGCGAGGGTGGTGATTGCGGATGAAAAGGCTAGTCAGGCGGGGAGGGGGGCGTGGACATTGGATGGCAAGATGATTGATGCGCCGGTTGTTAAGAAGGCGCATGCGGTGCTGAAACATGCTCAAGTGTGCGAGATGGATGTTAGCGCTGTGAGGGAGAGGTGGAAGGGTCAAGAGCCCGAGTAGCTGCGAATTATATGCTGCTACTTGTATTCCTACATGCTTCCCTTGCCCGGTGAAGCTCTACGTATGTGTTACTACACGGTGATCATGACGCTTGCGTTCTTGTACCAGCTCAGAAGCGGGTTGTCTCCGTTCTTTGTAGTCGTTTCTGCAATGTCTGCTCGACCGGCCATGAAGTCTTCGTGAAGATATGTGCGGGCGAAGCGTCCCGTTATGGCGGTATACATGGGTTCCATGACTTCAAAGTCAGTGGGGAAGAGGATATCGAAGTAACCTTGGTGGACCTGAATTGTGTCAGTGATTGCTATCATTCAGCTACGACATCAAAACTTACAAGAGGGGTGGAGACAGGAATCATCTGCCTCTTGTACCTCGTCTGCACCACGGGCGCATTGATACCCTCGACCGAATCAGCCAGTTTGTGAAAGTCACTGCTGACCAACTTGTGGTTTGGGAACTTCTCGTACATCGTATAGAAGAACTGCATGAGCTTTGTCGGTATGTACTCTGGCGTACTCAAGTTCGAGCGAAACGGTACCAAACTCCGCAAGTTCTGCATTACTCGCGAGCCTTGTAGCGGATGCGGGTATGCCGTACACGCAGCGTGTCTGCGCTTGAGGAACTTGGCCGCAAGAGGATCAATGTTGCGTGAATAGTGTTCGAAGAGTTCGCCACGGGGGTCGATGACGACTTGGGATTGGTATGGCATGCCGGTTTCAAAGTCGTACTTTAGTGCATCATGAGCGAAGTTGTCGAAGACTTCGAGCGCGAGGAAGTAGCAAGGCGAAGAGACGTAGACATTCCAGTCGAAGATGCTGCGATTCACAATCTCTACTTTGTCCGAGTGACCTCGTGCGTATGCGGAGTGGCCCAGACCTTTTTGTTGGAGGTCGGCCAACTGACTGGAGATTTCGATAATCTTGAACTTTGTCCGCTCGTACACTTCTGGATGTACATCTCGTATGAAGTCCAAAATGTTCAACATCATGGTTCCGTTACCCGCGCCCATTTCGTATATATTCAAATCGTGATATGGGTAGAAGTTGTACTTATAGTCTTCGACGAGGTACCGCGCGATGGCTTCACCATAGTAGGGCGAGAAGAGTTCGGTCGGAGTATGCCAGAGCTGGCGTAAGTCATTTGGTTCTTGGTAGTCGAGTTCGTCTTCGAAGGCTGTGTAGCGGTGCCGTAATTGCTGGAAGAACTCATGCTCTGAGCTCATGGCGTTGAACTCGAATGGGTCGCCCGGTGAGAAGATGACTACTTGCTTGGCGAAGTAGCCATAGTTTGGATTATATAGACTATCTGCTGATATATTAGCGCAGTCCGTTCAGATCAGAGGGTCGTCCCACCATCTATGAAATCTCGCAACAGCATCTTGACTCTCCGCGGGCGTTCTCTTCTACTCCGCAGCATGTCCGCCGTAACCATTGGATATCTCTCAAACTCCTCGGTCCTCTCTTGCGGAAATGCATGCTTTCTTGGAGTCCATCTGCTCTCACGCTTCGTCTCCCCCTCCCCCAATCGTGTGGCCTTCCCTCTCCTTTGGTGGTGTGGTATGCGGGCAGCTGCGAGAGTTGGACGACCTCCGCGGGCAAGACATTGCGATGCTCGGTGCGAGAACAGCTGGCGGAAAAGCTGCGCGACGAGAGGCGAGTCCATTGACGCCAATGGTGAGCGTCGTGAAAGCTTCGCGATAATGAGGGAACTTTGGTAGACTTGCGCGAACGCACGTGGTGAGCTTTGCGGGACACTTCCGCCAAGGCGAGGTGGACATCGTCAAATCTCCACTTTCCCGACCATTACTTACGACCTGCATAATTTCAGACTTCTGCCTCCTAAAAATGTTCGATAACACGAGATATTATATTATAGGCGCTTTTCTACTAGGCATCGCCTTGACAACTACATACAACAAAAATTTTGCGAAATTAGAGAATCAAGATGCGGGCTCGAAATTATCTCTTGAGGAACGCAGAAAATTAGTGTCGAGTCTTGCAAATATTACTGATTTGGATACTCTAAAAAAGAAAATATCTCAGCTTGAGAGCTCTTTGGGAGAAAGCACAGGAAATGTCAAACAAGGCATTGAAGGATGCATAGGCGACACTCCGCTCATCAAGATAAAGTCACTTTCAGAGTACACGGGATGTGAGATATTCGCAAAAGCTGAGGTAGTGACCATGGGCCAATTTCATGGTTATTTTGCTGATGCGAACGATTAGTTTCTGAACGGAGCGGGTAATAGTCCAAAAGACCGAGTTGCTTTGAGCATCATCGAAATGGTAAGGATCAGACACTACAAAAGATGCTGCATTTTGGACCAAGTACTCACAGTAACAGGCAGAAGAAAAGGGGCTTCTCATCCCACATTCTGGCGACACTATCTACGAAGGTACGGTAGGAAGCACTGGTATCTCACTAGCTGCGATATGCAGAGCACGAGGTTACAAAGCGCACATGTGAGTTGTCCACATGATGTTAGGGCATCCCGATTGACAAGCGACAGTTGTATGCCAAACGACATGGCAATCGAAAAGTCCGATCTCCTCTTGAAGCTCGGTGCTGAAGTAGAAAGAGTACGGCCAGCACCCATCGTAGACCAAAAGCAATTCGTCAATCTTGCACGATCACGGGCGGAAGAACATACTGCTAGTTCGGAGAAACCAGGACGAGGACTATTTGCCGATCAATTCGAGACAGAAGCGAACTGGCGCGCGCACTTCACAGGCACCGGACCAGAAATCTACGAACAAACCGGACATCGTGTGGATGCATTCGTTAGTGGGGCTGGTACTGGAGGTACTATCTCTGGTGTCGCCTTGTTTCTTAAGTCAAAGCTACCTGATATCAAGGTCGTTCTTGCAGACCCGCCAGGTAGCGGCCTATTCAACAGGGTCAAGTACGGTGTCATGTTCGACCCCAAAGAACGAGAAGGAACACGGCGGAGACATCAAGTTGATACGATTGTTGAAGGTATCGGCATTAACAGGGTGACGCACAACTTCGACGTCGGTCGAGAGCTGATTGATGATGCAATCAGAGTCACTGACGATCAAGCGATATCTATGGCTCGTTGGTTAGTCGAGCACGACGGCATCTTCGTTGGAAGTTCTAGTGCTGTGAATTGTAAGTTTTAAAGTGTTTAGCAAAAGACCAAGCTGACTTGTGGAAGGCGTCGCTGCCACGAAGCTTGCAAAGTCGTTGGGACCTGGCCATCGCATTGTCACGATTCTTTGCGACAGGTAAGACAGCGCCTGGTTATTTAGAGGCTAAGCTGACATTTTCAAAGCGGTGCGCGACATCTGAGCAAGTTCTGGAAGAATACAGAGCCCATCGGTGGCGTCGACAGCGACGTGTCTCTTCAAGCCATTCTCGACGCTTGAGACATTGTCTACTACACGACTACAGATGCCTCACCAAGACCAAAATTTCACCTCTACAGACAAGGCAAGAGACCGTTTCGGCCAGCAAGATTCTACCAGATTTGTTGATCGCATCTGAAACGATATGCGCAGCCGCATTCTGATTCTGAAAGATCCGCCAGCGCATCAGTATGTCAGCGAACAAGCCACCACATCTCGAACAAGGACGATCAGTCCCCGCCTTCTCCGAAGATCACCTCCACAGTGAAATGCCCAAACACTGTGTAGCGGCAATCTCTCGTTCTTCAATCGAATACAATGGACAAGTGACAGAAGCAAGGCAAAGATTCTACACTTCACAAGAAGAGCCTTGGAGCCAGAACACCATGTCTTAGGCGTCGCAATGTCGTAACAAAGAACAAATCTCCAACAATGCCCATTATCTTCTGACACACCCTTTGTGCGTTTGTGACCTCTTTATATACTGCCAGCCGACCCCCAACCCTGCCCGCTTTGCTGCACAGTCCTGGCTACTTATCCCCTTTGCAAACAACCCGCAACGCAATCCATTTTTTCTGCAGCACAAACTTTTTACCTCTGTCCATTCTGCAAAATTTCGAAGAAGAAGAAGAAGAACCTTACCAAACCGGGCAGAGAAGGAAGCAAGTCAACCAGTCCTCCACAAACAAGACTCCATGCCTACCCACCGCATGAGCACTCAAAACGGCATCAACAAAGCAAACCGGCTCCCACCAATCCCACGCAAAATGTCCCTCTCCACCCGCAACCCCGCCCTGGCCCAAAAAATCTCCCAAATGCGCCTAACAATCGCACCCATAGTACATGTAGAAACCGGTCTTCCCGCCCCGGACTACCCACGCAACATGCTCTCCCTCTTCCTACTCACAGAACCCCAACTAGACGCCCTAGCAGCCTACTACTCACAATCGCACATCTCAGCCCTCACATACCAGTACCCGGCCACGATGAACTGGCAGCAACCTTTTTTGGAAAAGGGTGAGAATCTGGCTGAAGATTGTAAGCTCGATGATTTGGAGAGGTTGAAGGTAAAGATGAGGATGTTTGCGAGGTTTATTGGGATGAGGGGCGCCGAGACGCCCGAGTGGGAGTATGAGAGGCAGATTGAGATTTTGGGGAATAAGGTCAAGAGGAGTGTTAGGGGGGAGGAGGAGCACGGGGTTGCGTTGAAGAAGTTTTTTGGGGGCATGGGGAGCCGGTTTTGATGGGTGAGATGGACATTTGGATATGTTTCTTTTGAGCGTTGTTAGCGAGGTGGCATGTTTGTTCTAATGATCAGACGCCAGGTAGCGTCCCTGCATACGTGTTTGATAAGATCTTGCAATGCATACTTTTGTTAGTCATCTGGATTGTGTCTCCATGGAATTCCCTTGATCTGCTGGTATTAGCGTGTCTAAATCTGTCATGTTTGTGATAATGTGATGAAGTGATATATTTGTCGTTTCGAGAGAAGCGAAGCGAAAGAAGTTGAAGCAATGTATCCAGTGGTTTATCTACGTGAGTGTACTTGCAAAACTATTCTCACAGTCATACATACAGCTCATTATCCTCTCCCTCCAAAATACAGCACTCTACCAATGAAGATCCACTGCCAAATTCGTTACAACCCTCCCCTTCTCACCATCCGGCACATTCAACCCAAACGCTCCACTCCTCACAACATCCCTCTGCAACCTCAACCCCGCGTCACTTAGCAGACGCCGCTCCTCACGCCCCAAATCCTTGTCTCCAAGCGTCTTAACATTCCCACTCCCAAGCTCCGGATCATAAAACGGCGACTTCGGATCCGTCGAATTGAGCGAATAAGGACTAGCCGGCGGCACACAAACCGTCCCATCTCGCGGCAACACGCCAGATTGAAAGTACCTCCTCACATGCGAAAACAGACAAGGATCAGGCGAGGAAATGGAGCAGTGACCCGCATGGTCGCTTACCAAAAGACTGCTGCCGGGATACAAGCTGTGCATTAAGCGGCCGCTACGCAAGGGTGTAACCGGATCAGCAGTGTTACTGATGAAAAGAATGGGGTGTGAAGTTTCCCCTCCAACAGGGCCTTCAAACGTGTATTTTGCGTGGATTTTCCAGGCTGCGCAGCGCATCGCTAACATGGACCAGAAGGAGCCGCCGGTGGAGGACAGGGTGTTTATGTCTTTCCAATACTCGATAAATTCGGCTTTGGTCATGTCGGTTCGGTCGATGCCGTCACCGCAGAGGACGGCCGTTAGGGGCACGACGGTGTCTAGGATGTCGAGGGATGAGGAGTCGTTGGCGGAGCATGAGTAGACGTGCGTGTAGTGGTAGGCGTCTGCTAATTGGTCGATGACGGGGCCGCCTCCGGCTTCGATGGCTGAGAGTAGGGAGGCGAGTGCTGGGAAGAAGAGACGGGGTTGGTAGACGGACGTAAACATGAGAATTTTGAGGTCAGACCATGTGAGGAAGTCGGGGCCTTGTGGAGATATGATGGCGAGAGGGTCGTGGTATAGGGAATCGATGATTTTCTGAGAACGCTGTTCTATGTCTGCAACGCTGGAGTTTGCGGTTGCCAAGGGACACTTGTCAGGTCCTGCGTGGTAACAGAAGGTATAGAAGGATTTCATGGCCTTTTCAGTGTCTGTGAGACTCCCGTTTCCGAGAGAGTTCTCATAGTCGTATGTACTGACAACTCCGTCGAGAATGACGCGCCCGACACGCTCGGGGAACATGGAGGCAAAAGTTGAGCCAAGGTAAGTACCGTACGAGTATCCCCAGTATTGAAGCTTGCTTTTTCCTGGAACGTATTTGGTATCACGTCGATTACCAGTCTTGCGAGCTAGCTCTTTTGCAACGTACTCAGCATGTCTTTCGGTAATCTCCAGCATGTCTCTGGCAACAGACGCTGTCGACATGTACTGCTTGATATCCGGGCCATTCTGGTCTTCTTCAGCCAGTTTGCAAGATGCTCCAAACGCATGGGTCATAGACCACAGTCTACCAAGAGCTGCATCTGAGCTTCCTATAAGACCTTCGTTTGTTTCCCGTAGATTCCACGACCATGCCGAGGGCTGATCGGGCATGCACCGGGCAGCAGGTTCGGTCCAACCGATGCCTCGAGGGTCAAAACCGATTATGTCAAAGTATCTTGCATCGGCAGGCGCGTGTTCAGGCTGAAGGCCATGATCTACAATGGCCTGCACCGATTCTGCCGTCGTAAGTGCAAACGCTGCGCCAGCGCCTCCTGGTCCACCAGGATTCAGCAAAATGGGCCCGCCATATCGTGGATCATCCACAAGAACTACAGCCGGTAGCTTTGTGATGGCAATACTAACGGTATGGCCGGGATAGCTGTCGTTGAAGTAATCCAGCGGTAAACTCAATTTCGCACATTCAAAGCCATCAAAGCACTTGTGGAACGCCAAGTGCTCAGTCGCCGTTATCTGGGGGCTTGATCAGTTTTCTTTTCCAAATGGCTAGTGCTGCGGATTGAGATGGTCTCAATATGCTCTTTGATGACTAAAACTGGGGTTGTGGGCCGCGCAGGTTGACAAAGCGGCCATGTCGTTGCAGTGCTGGGTAGCCGCATGTAAGTTCAGCCCACCAGTTACGATCGTTTTCTCCATAAAGGACGCACACAGCGTTTGTACAACAAAGAATATCAAGCAATGAAAGTAACCACCTGCCGTGCAACTCGGAACAGCCATGTGATTCGATGTGGTAAGATAAGACGCATGGTGGGTCCGAAAACACGTGCGCTGTGCGACACTCAAGGAACAATGTCTAAACATACCTCATTCCACTCAAAAGCAGCATGATGCGAAGCAAGTTCTATCCACGGAACCAAGGGGATCTTCCAGCTCTTCAATGCAGGAAATATTGCATCCACTGCTGCAAAGCAAACAAGTGTGACGAAAGTCGCAGAGAGTGCACGCCACCAAACCTTGGGCCTCGGATGCTTGACCGGCGCTGCTGCATTGTCCAGCCCGTTCCAATTCTTCATGATGTGCTTGATTTCGGCCCGCTACAAAGTAGGGCAGGGAAGAGGGATGCGCCTTGTTGGAATTGCAATTGCGAAAAAGCAGCAGTGAGGCGGAGGCGACAGCCAGCGTGTCCTGTAGTTGTTCAGGCATGCTGACCGGTCGCCTTACGCGATGATCACTGCCAGGCAGCAGCAAAAAGCATACAGTTGTAGTGCAGATGTAGACAAGCTATAGTCTGGAGTGCGCATGATTACCCGTAGCCTAGCAATCACTTGCAGAAACTTGCCTTTGTACCGTGCACTGGCGCTGCAGCTTATTAGGAACTGTCGGCGGCTACGTATGCAACATGCAGCAAACGTCACAATGTGCTGTGTCGGACTGCTTGCCGCATTTTTCTTATGTGCTCAGGGTGCATTGCAGTGCATCAAGGTTGAGTAATGGACGGCTTCTCTCCAAAGTGCCCAGGAATTTGCGTGGCCACCGAGGATGGTGTCGTTCAAACTTTACTCGCACTTTGGATGCACCATTGAAGAGGGCAGAGCCGCATCCAAACGTTGACTTGGGGTCAGTCCGTCGATTCTAGATATTGTTATGACATTGGATGGTGGTATTGGTAGGATACATGTCTTCACTCTCTTGTTCAGACCTTGAAGATCACAGCTTTTTGATATTGCTAGCCACCAGAACTACAGAGAGACTCCAGTGAACGTGTGTAAAGGAATCGACATTTTTCGCACGACAAGTACAGAGTAGCAGCACCTCCTGATTCAATGGGTATCTCATCTCTCAGTACCAACCACCCTTACTGCCATTAATAACCATGATATGAGACGTCCGTGAGAAGGACAATGCCCGGTTGAGGAGGAGCAGTGTCGGCTAGCGTCCAGATGATCCTCTTGTAGGACCAGGGCCATCTCTGGGGTCATCTTGCCCTCAGCTAGCAGATTCGCCCCTTCCCGTCATACTAATCGCACAAGACCGGTGGACGAGGGTTCGTCAGCGTGTTTACCACTGCTGGCCACCACCCTGACCACCTTCTTGACCGCCACCGTAGCCGCCCTGTCCACCACCTTGGCCGCCGCCGTAGCCGCCGCGAGATTGGTATCCGCCGCCGCCACCGCCGCCGCCCTGGGATGAACCCCATTGACCGCCACCGTATCCTTCTTACACAGTTAGATCTTCACTGAAATTGTAATGGGCAAAGGATGCTTACCACGGCCACCGCCGCCGCCATAGCCACCTGAGAAACTTGTCAGAAAAGATGCAGGAATACGTGATTGAAGTGACTTACCTCCTTGCTGTCCTCCGTAGCCTCCACGGTATCCACCACCGCCGCCTCCATAGCCGCCACCACGGGGAGCGCCGCCGCCAGCACGGTCGGAGGCCTTGTCGACACGAATCCTACGTCCGTCGAACCTGTAAAAATCAGCAACTTGGTCTGGGCCGTCAACGTCGACGAAGAACCCACTCCTCGTTGTTCATGGCTTGCATAGCAGCATCGGCCTCGGTGTCTTGCGCATAGCGAACGAAGCCAAAGCCTCGGCTACGGCCAGTATCACGGTCCTTGACTACGACCTGTCGCAATGTGAGCACGTCTCAATGGCATGCGACAAAAGCCGCTTGTTAATCAATCACTCACAGCTTCTTCGACTTGACCGAACTCCTCGAACTTTTGACGGAGAGCTTGGTCGTCGGTATGCCACGCAAGGCCTCTGTTGAGCGTCAGCGGGGTTCGTAGTGAGGTAAATGGCGCACTTACCCAATGAAGAGCTTAGACATGCTGGATTGATGTCTGGGTCGAACACTGAACGGTCTCAATACTAGCTCTCGCAACTCGAAACAATACGCGCGATACAAAGAGGCTCAAGACAGGTAATGACAGGAGTTGAGGACGAAGGAAAACTTCAGGAAGGCGAGGAATCCATCGCGGCTTCCCGTGCAGGCAATATGTAGCAACGTGACGGAACGAACATTTAGTCTTGTAGCACCAGGCTGGATGGGTATCGATGGGGCAAGCGAATGCTCTGAAGAGTTAGAAGAGGGAGAAAGTCGGCTGCAGGTGCTGGTCGCAATGTGATGGGCACAGGTCGAGGAGCAGAGATAGTGAAGCAGCTAGGTTGGCGGGGCAGGCGACGATATGAGTACCCCTCCATCAGGTGAAAGAGCGCTAACTGTATCCAAAGACCAAGGTTGGCGCACGGACGGGATAGCATAGGGGCCCGGTTTATAGGGCGCGACGTGGATGGACGGCAGCCTGGCTGGATGGCTGGATGGCTAGCTGCAATGTGCGTGGGTGTGTATCGCAGTTCGCAGCCGGCCTGCAGCAGGGTGGACGGAACTGGCTCCTCGCAGCTCGCCCATACAGATGCGCAGTATCCATGGCCGCACCTGACGGTGAGGTTGGGCACATGTTGCTTCTGCCACACATGTCGCCAGCAGGCTGTGCTTAGTCTGTCCCGTGTCTGTCTGTTCATGCTGGGTATATGCAGGCTACGTTAGCCTGAGCTGGTCCAAGACCCAATGGCATGGCAGAGGACGAGACTGAGAAATAGAATTTTTCTGGTACTTTTCTGATAGGTGCCATAGAGGCCTCGATGCTGCCCTCTACTTTAGAGTGCCGGCGTGTGCGCGACCAAATGATTGGGCCAGCATCAAACAGTGCATGAAGGGCCTGCACAAGGGACTGGTTGCGTGCTCGAGGGAGCAGCGATCTTCCCCCGTAGCTGTACAGCAACGGCATCGCGCTGTTGTGAGAATATGCAACGCCCGGCAGGCATTGGACAGAAGAGGGTGGTCCAAAGAAGCTTATCAAGTCGCCATTGCTAGTCAGATGCTGTGGAGATCGGGCCTAAATCACCACGCCCTCTGCCTCCCAACCTGGCTCGTGCGCTCTGACAGCAAGCCATGTCCTACCAGACAGCGACGGCTATCAGACTGAACTATGCAGAAAGAAGACGGGTTGATGGTCAGAAACCTGGGTTTCGTTTCCAACCATCATTGACTTTATGTCGTGGCTACAATGGAGAGCATGTGACAGCTGGATCCCTACCGAGTGCTGTCGCAGTCTGCATTGTACAACCAGATATGTCTCGAGGTGATGAATAAACGATGGACCATGATACCCTAGAGATATTCCCAATTCCACCGCAGCACTACCTATAGTGTCGTTTGAGCCGTAATTTGAGCAAGAACTAGATCAACCAATCATGACCGAGGTCGACGGTCGAGGGAAGGAAAGCCAAAGCTGTCAGCTCATCGTGCCTGCTCCAGCACTGTAGTCGTGGCAGTTGGTCGCCTTTGCTGAGGTAGGCACAATCGACGTCGCTGTCACCTCCTTCCACCTCGCTGTCAACAATCGCAACCGCCCCACACTACACCATGCTGTACTACTGCTACCACCGGCCTTTTGCGATCGGTATATCAATCTGGTGAGCATGGATATACAGAAATGGCTGGACGAGACAGTGCAGCCGGATGCGCCACCCGGGTCTTCCAAACGTAAAGTTTCGCGAAAACGGAGCAGATCGGATAGCTCCCTCATCGATCCTCACCCTCCTTCTCCTTGTCCTCAGCAGGTGGATAGTGATGGTGGTACGAACGAAGCACTGCACGCCACACTCAGCAACTGTTCCACTGACAGTCGATATGCACGAAAACCTCGCCGAAAGACGCGTCCAGAACACTATGAGCCAGGTGCCCATGCCCCTCCATTGCAGAAGGGCAAGTCAAAGAAGACGAGGCGCAAGAAGAGCAAAGCCCTTCCGGGCATGGTGCAGAACTTCCAGGCTAACAACTTTTCCGGGGATCGGCTGACCGTATGGTGCCTATGCAGTATCCCCAGGATATCCGGGTAACGGTACTGACGATTGGCGTAGTTGAAGCCGCGGGAGTTGGGTCTGTTCAACAAGGGCCGGACATCGACGGCTGTGAAAGGTCGGGGCCGTTAGTAGCCCACCCTTGCCTTGATGGGGTGTGCCATAGAGTGACGAGGACACTCGGAGTGTTTGATTCGTTCCACACTGACAAAGCTGCAGTGCCTGATTTAGTCTTTTCCGAGATGAAGTTTTTACAGCAAGAAAAGGTACAATCGGAGGCCAACCACAGGCCGGGGGTCGCTAAGAAGAAGCGCAAGAAAGACCATGCGCAGACAAAGGAAGAGGAAATATCTGCGTTCTTCAACTCAATACGTCCAGAACTGACCGGAAGGGATGGAAATACACGGCCTGTGCATGCAGCTGTATTCAATGACAAGCGGCGTACCCGCAACCAACATTCGGTGATTAACACAACCATACCTACTGTTGAGCTGACCAACAAGGGATCTTACCTGGGCTTTGGGAGCAGAGGACCTCGCCATGGTAGTACAAGCTATGTCTCGTGGTCTGACTCCAACCATGTGCCGAGTACCACGCCAGCTCGCCTTCCAGTTGAAGCTGATACTTTTCATGGCCAGCGCGATTCAGAGCTCCAGAGAAGGTACAGGCCCATGAAGAGTGCAGAAAAAGACCAGTTCAAACGACCAGCTCCTCCTACTGCAAGGATGGAGAGTAAAGACCACGCCGCTGGCCGATTTCGAGTATCCTCGTTGGTTTCGTCGCATAATAGAACTTCAAGGTCGCATTCATATCCTCAACACAGCTCTTCTCCACGGCGGCTGAACCTCGTTGACCGGTCTGCAAGATTTGAAAGCTCTGACATAGCCTGCTCGCCATCGTCGATGCCACCGTCGATGCCACATGCGAGCGTGGACGTCCGCCCGGCTCGCCCAGGAAAAAGCCCCAGAAATGCGCGACAAGAGGTGACCGCAAACGCCGACGAGCATCTGCCTACAGACAACCAAAACCATGGCCCCAGTGATTATGAGAATGATGATGGTGAGTTGCAGACTTCGTCGGATTTGGAAAGGGTGCTGCAGCAATGCGACAAGATATTCCATGGGCGACGGCAGGCTGCCACACTGCACAGACGACACACTGAGCAGATAAAGCAATCGCACTCGCGCCACTCAGCCAGAAGACAGGATATGAGAGACTCACACGTCCCAAATCGACGCGTCCATACCGTGCGTTTCGCAGATCCGCCGTATCAGGAACCGACGCTACCAAACTTTACTGGTCCTAGCATCTACGAGTAACAAGCGCAGTATCGACAACACCGTCCACATTTGTACATGGACGAAGACATGTATCATAATTCGTACGCCATCCAACTTGGCTATTCGGATAACAACCAGGGAAGACATAATGAAGACGACTGGGAAGGGTTGTTTGAAGAACCAATATCATATGAGTTGGAAGAAGGTCCTGAGATTCTTGATGGCGAAGAAGAGTTTCCCGCTCCTATTGGGAGAGGACACCCCTCTGACCCGCGGCCAGAAAATGACGTGGTTGCTCCTGGATTTTGGAGGCCGAACAAGTTATATTGAAGTTGAGATAACTAGCCGACACACGTTGGTTTAGAGTTGACGTTCATACACACTCTCTGAAAACGGCGATTTCATTGAAATGATAAGCAAATAGCTTTCTACGATACAGGCTACATATGTTTTGGACGACATGTAGTTCCAAGTGTCATGAGATGTAGCGTTAGCCGCCCCGGTATCCGTGCGCAAAAGTATGGAGCTCTGGGAGCCGGCGTCCGGGCTCCGCAGTTTCGTCTGATGTCTTATCCTCGGTACGGGGTGGATAGTCGGCTATGCTTTCTCCTAGTAGTAGTAGTAGTAGTATCCATTAACGTCCTTTTTCAGTCAGAGACTATGTAGGACGGTGGCCTAGGGCCGTTTGACTAGTTTTTTCCCTCTATACCCGTAGGATTTCGTTTCTTTGGTCGAGTTTGACTATGGGGGTTTGGGTTTTTTGCTTCTATACAGGAAAGAGAGAGAGACCTTGTAATAGACACCCGTTTATCTCCACCTTTGTGACCAATCCCTTTGCTATAATAACCCCGTGCTCCTAAGACTGAAAAAAAACCTCGTAGGGGAAAAAGTCATGGGACCTTGAACGTTTGTTGTATATAGCGGCAGTTGCGGCATATTTTCGTCTCGGCGGTACTTTGTGGCTCGGTTGTACGGCGGCGGCTAGCGTTAAGCGTGCGGGGTATTGGTGAAAAACTTTCCAGGTTTCGAAAGGAGCCGTTCGATGTTTTTTGGTAAAGCTAGAATAATAGAATTATTATAGCGGTGAGGGGAGAAGGATTCGAACCTTCAACCTCTGCGAGCAAGCTAGCAGAAGCAACCAGGCGCACTACCACTGCGCCATCCCCCCGCTTTCTCCTAGTAGCTGACTGGATAAATGGTCTCATTGCTGCCCGCTCGTGGCTCGCTATTGCGGATTTGTTCTGCCCAGCGACTAGCTGCCTTTCCGAGATTCCCTCACCTTCCGACGGCTGTCTCATGCAGACAGTCGGCGGTGACGTTTGTCACGGTGGCGCCATCCCAACAGAGCTCCCGACCTGCGAGCCCCACTAGACCCCTCAACGACAAAATCCGTTCCAGGGCTCGGTTGCTCGCAGGTCATCTAGAATCCACAACTTCTTCAACAGCATCTGTTAGCACCAATACCAAAGGGTCAAACAGAATGTCTTACACCACACGCAAGGTTGGCGCGGCCAACACGCTCGAGCACCGCGTCTACATTGAAAAGGACGGCCAGCTCGTCTCGCCATGGCACGACATCCCGCTCTACGCCAACGAGCAGCAGACGGTCCTCAACATGGTGGTTGAGGTGCCCCGCTGGACCAATGCGAAGATGGAGGTGTGTACCCCTCAATTGACTGCGTCTCGACCAGTCCTGAATATTACACCGCCAGATCTGGGCTGACTGTTAGGACAGATCTCCAAGGAGGAGCAGCTCAACCCCATCAAGCAGGACACGAAGAAGGGTAAGCTCCGCTTCGTCCGCAACTGCTTCCCCCACAAGGGCTACCTCTGGAATTACGGTGCCTTCCCTCAGGTACGATGACGAGAGCCAGATATCGGAGAGACACATACTAATGCTGTGCAGACATGGGAGGACCCCAATGTCGTCCACCAGGAGACCAAGGCCAAGGGCGACAACGACCCATTGGACGTGTGCGAAATCGGTGAGCTCGTCGCCAAGCCTGGTGAGGTTATCCAGGTCAAGGTGCTCGGTGTCATGGCTCTGCTTGATGAGGGTGAGACCGACTGGAAGATCATGGTTATCAACGTGAACGACCCGTTGGCCCCCAAGCTCAACGACGTCGAGGACGTTGAGCGCCACCTCCCTGGTCTTCTCCGCGCCACAAACGAGTGGTTCCGTATCTACAAGATCCCAGACGGAAAGCCCGAGAACCAGTTTGCCTTCTCCGGCGAGTGCAAGAACAAGAAGTACGCCATGGACATTGTCCGTGAGTGCGCTGAGGCGTGGGAGAAGCTTGTCACCGGCAAGACCCCCAAGGACGAGATCAGCCTGTATGTTCCTATTATACTGCTGGCTTAAGATGGTAACTAACAAAATCACAGCACCAACACCACCGTATCGCACTCCACCGACCGTGTCGACGCTAGCTCAGTCAACGTTCCCCAGGGCGAGAACAAGTCACCCGCCCCCATTGACCCCAGCATCGACAAGTGGTTCTACATCTCCGGTGCTCCGTCCAACTAGTTCTAGCGGAAGCCCATCGTCATCACAGCAGGAGGTTATAAAGCAGCAATGCATCCATACTGCATGAATACCCAATTGGAGGCTCACCCTGGATAAATTTTGGGGCGGAGAACAAGAGGGCAGACGACAAATAGTAAAGGAGTGTACATGATTAATGCCGACCATTGACGGTACATAAACTCATGTGGAGAATAACAAATCGTCATCTCCGCTTTAGACTCGAATGCTACTGTGACGCCAATGATGACGTGAAACCGAGTGTATGTACCAAGGGTATTCTTTTTGTATGTTTAGTTGCCTGTCAGCTCCTCCTTCCGCGCCAACGAGCGCGAATGCCTATCTACTTCCTCGACGACCTGTGTTATGCGCATAGTGCTTAGATCTAGGTTCATCTCTTTGCCGTCTTCTGTAAGGCTTGTTAGTGCTTGTATAGCCATGTAGACTTGAAGTGGTGTATGGTAGATATCGCATCGGGCTATCGATCTTGATGCCCATCTACGTGCTATGTGCCTTTCGGAATCGAATCACAGGTACGTACTGAACTTGACACCAAGACTTGCAGGCTCTTTGCTCGTCCGCGGCAACATATTGGACTCGATCTTCATGCCATCTGCGCGCGCATTCGGAGGTATCAGGGAGAGAAAGAGGCGTGCGGGCTTTGAGCGTGGGGAGAAGGGATTGAAGGTTACGCGAACGTCGGTGAGAAATCTGGTGATCATCGTGGCGGCGGGTGTAGATGGAGAGCCTGCAATCGCTTCATTAGCAATGCGCAATTCCAGTAAAGCGCATTAACATACCCGTAGATGCTTCACAAAGGTACAGCAGTGGTCGTTGTCGGTCTTCGCAATCCCACGCTCGCGATAGTTATGTCCGTGCTCGAGATTCTTGCGGAAGGCACGCTACAGGTGGCTTTTCAGCCATGTTGCGCTCTTTCACCCCCGCCAAAACGGCCCACCGTAGCATCTCCGTCATAGGGTAGTCGCATACATTTACCAACCCTCTCCGCAATCCCGAGCCAAGATGGCGCCAATTCCTTCCACCACGCAAGCACTCACCACCCGCCTAAACACTCTCTCGGAATCCAACAAAGCCATCGGCCAGCTTATACAACGCCTGGCCAAGTTAGATTTCCAGCCAGGTTCACAACCACTGGATGCGACCGACGAGGGTGACGTAAGGTTGGAACTCAGCGCAGAGATACACGAAAGCTTGAAAGGCCTAGAAGAGGAGCTGGAGTTTCTTAGACAAGAAGTTGAAGACGTCACGCTTCAGGGTACCCTCACTGGCCGGAGAAGGAACAGTACCAAAGACAACGAAAGGAGTCGACTTGCCGTACTGCTTGCGCGCTTGACTGAGGACTTGAGATTGTAATTAACCCTGCCATTCTCTACACAACAACTTCGCCTACTAACCACTCCTTATAGATCGCGATCACAATACCGTAAAGCCCAATTAACGGCCAAACACAACGCCGACCGCGCAAAGCTCAAAGAACGCGAACTGCTCTTCTCGAACCTACAATCCGGCTCTTCCACACCCTCGTCCACATATCGCCAAAGAAAACAACAACAAGGCATCTCGGAAGGCGAAATCGTCGCCCAAGCCTCGTCAGACGTCACAACTGCCCTGCGCCGAACGCATCAGTTGATGCAAGAAGAGTTATCGCGCTCAAGATTCGCACAAGAAACACTTGAACAATCCTCGGCCGCGCTCGAAGATCTTGGGGAGAAGTACTCAGATCTTAATACTTTATTGGCAAACAGCAGGAGCCTTGTGACAACACTAGTCAAGAGCACAAAGACAGACACGTGGTATCTTGAGACCACATTCTACATACTGATAACAACAGTTGTTTGGCTCTTCTTCAGACGCTGGCTATACGGACCATTGACCTGGTTTCTCATTTGGCCAGTCAAACTCGTCTTCCGTGTCCTTTTCGCAGTCCTACCATTTGGTGCTGCGTCGTCGGCTGCAACCTCGAGCGTCGCATTATCTTCGTCCTCTAGAACTCTGATAGTCCAGCCTAGCGCAGCAGGTGGTATCCCTCGCCGTCAGCCCAACGCCGAACCACACTACATCCCCGCCGGTCGTGGAGGAGGAGCGCGTATACACGAACACGATCCCAGCCCACCGAATTCATACTCGCAAAAAGTAGGCAAGATGGCGGAACAGAACCAGCAGCAGCAGGCAGAGGAGGTGCCTGATCACCCACAATTCAGAAAGCAAAACAAACAGGAAGAAGATGAAGGTCCTGTCACCTTGGGCGATGGAACAGTGTTAAGGGAGAGTGACAAGCCACGCAACCCCAAGAAGAAGATGTGGGAGGAGGATGTGGAGAGTAAGAAGCATGAAGAAGCGCAGAAGCAAGAGGCCGGCGGAGAGGAGAGGAAGCGGGATGAGCTGTGAGGCTTTTTGTAGTCAAGTAAATCCTGAGTTATCTAAAACAATTATATTCATACCCTGTAGCCTGTTTTTGTATCAAAGTACCCATCCATGTATTCTACCACCATTTCAAATCCATGGCATTACGATAATGAAGACTAGCAGAATAGCAATGATATTACATACACAAAAAGCGACACATACATGTGCACATGTCTTTTCTTCAAAATCTCAAAACATCCCCTCGTATTCTTCACTGTATGTGTTGTGCCGTACAGATCACGTGCAACTACTCATATATAAATAACCCTCTTTCCAGCTGCACACTTCTTCCTTCCTTCCTCCCACCATCTTCACATATTTCAAATCCCCTTTCTCTAAATACTACTAAACCAAATACATGTGGGGTTTTCCGCTCTTTCTGAAAAGTATGGACGGCTATCGAATGATTCGTGTCTGCTCTGAGCCCTTTCTTGAAATCTATTCCGAAGCAGTCGATGTGTTTTGTGGGGTGTGTGGGCCAAAAACAGAAACATGCATAGACGATGGGCGTGGGTCCTTCTTTTCTAGAGTTGACTTTTAAAAATCTTGGGTTTCGTGTTTTCTCCAAATGAAAGGAACCAAGTACAAGCAGGATGGGAGAGTGGAGAGGAGGCTTTTTTCTACCTATTTCTAAAACGGGCTGTGGTTGCGACTATGGTTCTGTTTTGTTACCGGTTGTTCTTCTAAAATCCGAGTGAGAGGAAACTATGTGCGTGTTGGAAAAAAAATCAGCCCGGTGGAAATCGCCATGTGTGGACTCCTTCTTTCCTGTTACCACCTTTCTCAACCCCGAAATTTGGTATTTTCAGGAAACCACTGTGATAAGGAATGATGTCGTGGGCTCTTCTTCTTTCTGAAACTTTCGAACAGTGGCAACATGATTTGGGGGTTGCTTCTGGGGCTATTCAAAAATCTACAGCGGACCGTATGTGTGTGGTTTAAAATACATACATCTCTCTCCCATGTGGATTGAAACTCAAATGCCATTGACCTATGGTCCTATATTCCTTTACTGCCTTTTCCAAAATATAAGAGCAGCTTGTGCGGTATTATGCTGCTGTTTGCGAGGTTGAGAAGAAAACCCTTTTGCATTCCTGAGTATGATGCGGTCTGGCATGGACTGGGGGGATACGCTATATTTACCAAAAGAGAAAACTCGACGAAAGCAGGAATGTATTTGTCTGAGTTTTGGGAGGGATTAGAAAACATGACATCATTCAGCCAATGTGCGTGTGCTGGAAACCAAAAACACAGAGCAACTCGAGTATGGGTTGTGTCTGCTCTTTTGTTGCACATTTGAAACTGGGGGGTGTATTGCCTATGGGCTGTGCGGCTGGGATCCGGCACGGGGGTATATAAAAGCATCGCCCTGTTGTGCTGGCGAGTTTTCCTTCTTACCACCATCTTTCCGGTTGTCTTTTCCAAAACTGGCAAGGAATTTTATCATGATTTGGAGACGATAAATAAACGCGACTTTCTGTGGCGCATGTTTGTGTCCAGTCTGCGGGTTTTAAAAATGATAACTACTCTTTATTTTATTAAAAGTGGAAATGAAGCTCGTCCATGGCTGTCCGACTGTGTGCCGGTTCTTTGTCTATGAGAGATTAATAAAAACGAGTTCAAACTATGCGATGAAGAAAAAGAAGATGCGGATGCCATTTTCTATGCCTTTCGAAAAATCAGATTCCTTTTATTGACGCACAAAATTAGCAGGCCGCTGCTGGATGCTTGGGCTGCGAGCATAAATTCAGTCTACAGGAGTGTAGACTTTCTTCCTTGTACTACCTCACATTCCTCTTAATTCTAAAAGAATATAGAAAGCCGGGATGAGTTGGTGGAGTAGGTTTTCTAAAAACAGAACTCTATGAAGACAATGTGGAAGTTTTCTCCTGCTTTCTAAAAGCTGATTACCGTCATGCTATGGCTTCTGGCCTGTTCTTTGTGGTATTAAACTCATTGTATTCTTCTTGCTATATCTGCCTACTATGTTTCTCTTAAAACTGCGGAACGACTTTGAAGTGGGGTGGTTTCTAAAAGAAGATATCACCCACCTTGATGTGGTGTTTTGCCCCTTTTCCGAAAAACAACGACGTTAGCTACATGGCTGCGGCCTTGTCTGTGGCTGTATATATGCTACTGATTCTATCTTCTTTCTATTCCTCTATCCTTCTTACCTATCTTGCGTCATGAAATCTACGAATATACCTTCCCATGGGGGTTTCCCCCAAAAGTACTATGAATCCTGGGATGTGGCCTTGCTCCCTCCTCTCTCCGTTTCAAAAGTTTCAAGATAGCGCTTATGGTTGCTGCTCTTCCTGTAGAAGGGCAGAAATACTCTTCCCTGTCTCGTTTTCTCCATCTCTCTACCAATACGCTCTATCTAAATTCTCAAAATAGTAAAACATTCCGACTATGGTGTCTGTTATTAAAAAGCCTATCTTTATATTCATGTGGAGTCCTCCCGCTCTCTGGGGTTTAAAACTGAAAAAAGCAGCCTCATGTGAGCTGCTAGCTTCTTTGCGGCAGTGTATAAAAGCTTTTCTCGATCCTATTCTTTCTCCTATTCTATTCCATCTCTTTACCTAAAATTGTTCGAATCCAAGATATGGTGGCGTTTTCTAAAACTCAACGGGCTCTATACATGGAGTTGCCCCCTTTCTGTTGCTCAAAATGCGATGGCATATCACCTGATGAGCCTGCTATGTTTTCTGTCGTGGCATATAAATACTCTCACTCTTCTCCTTCTTATTTCTTCTTTTCTCGTCTCTTTTACTAAAATCACTAAAACTTGAGAAGTCCATGATTTCCTATCTCTAAAACGTGATCAAGCCCTCGTATGGCGAAGAGTTTCTCTCTGGCTTTAAAAAATACGAATAATAGTGTGGATGTCGCTGCTGGGCTGATTGTAGCTGCACAAAAAATATCCTATCTCTTCTTCTTTTTCATATACTATTTTACTAAGTTCTTTCTTTAAAAAAGCGGACAGAGAACATATGACATGGTCTCCCAAAAATTCAACTATTAAATGCGAAATCGACTACCCGACAGTATCATGGTCTCCCTCTCTTTCCCGCGTCCTAAATCTAGCGGCATGGAGGCCTTGATTGCTGCCCTATCCGCACTGCCATATGAACCTCCCCCTCACCTCCTTTTCTTCTCTATTACTCTACTTTCTCCTCATTCTTAAAACTAGTTGCGGGCTGTCAGATGACTGAGTGTTCCAAAATACAAAACATGACCGTGGTGTACATATGGTTTCCTCTTTTTCTGGATTCAAGAGACCTGCGAAATCTTTTATGGTCGCCGGCTTCTGGGCAATATTCTATAAAACTACCTTCTACCTCCTTCTCTTATCTACTACTCTACTTTATTCTCATTCCTAAAATTATTTGCAAGTTGAAACATGGCTTAGTGTTCGAAAACCTAAAAAAACATGGATCAGGTTCTATGAACTTCCCTCTTTCCCTAGATTCAAGAGGCCTGCGGAATCTTTTATGATCGCCGGCCTTTCTATAGACATTCTATAAACCTACCCTTCTCTCTTTACTACCGTACTATTACCTTTTATTCAAAAATGCATCCAGGATAGAATATGGCGGGACTTGTTAAAATCATACAACCCTTGCACGATATGACTCTCCTTCAGAGTTCTTTTTAACATCTAAATCATTCTCGAGGACGTCGATGTGGTTGCTGCTTTGACCATTACAGCGCATGAAATCTCTGTAACGCTTTCTAATCATCAAGCTCATCTTGGGATGTTTCTCTTTCTGCCACTCTGCTGCTTTCTCCCTTCCAAAATACTTCCAGAAGCTCGAAAATGCTGTGGCTTATTAAAGTTGTCAACATACTTGGTATGTATCCCGAGATGTTCATAATTTCAATAAAACTGAGGAACTTGAAATGGCGGTTGTCTTTTCCGTTGCGATATATGAAACTCTGATTCCTCCTCTTTCTTCTTTCTCTCTTATACTTCACTCCTCTACTCTAATTGATTACTACATATTTCTAACAATCGACAAAGAAAAATTTCATGGCGTGGTTTGTCAAACTATAATCTCGTATATGTGAACTCTCGTTTTCCAGAATCAGCATCACATGAAGGGTGGCTATTGTGTCGTTTCTAGTAACTCCGATACAAACACATGCCCATTTTCTTTGAAACATCTCTTTACCCCTTTACTACTTCTACCTTATTCCTCTTATCAAACAGAGCTCAAAGTCGCGAATGGGCGAAGACTTTTCAAATAGACGAATGAAAGAGTCATGGACTTGTCCTTTCCCTACCTTTGAAAATCTGAGGCTGCACGCAATGGCTGTTGTTGCTCCGTCAGCGATCATATATAAATTTCTTCTTTTCTAACCAACTATTACTCTACAAACCTCTAAAGCATTTGTTCTTTACATAAAACACAACGATTACGACAATGATGGTGTGGCGTCGCTCTCTTGCCGGACTTTAAATCAATGGGGGCACCTAATATGGGCTTGCTGCCTTGCTTGTGGTGGCATATAAACTCCTGCTACCCGCGTTCTTCTTTCTTCCTTACTTTCCAACATTTACTCTTACAAATTGCCGAGACCATGAGTTCTAGAAACAAATACACCAATTCTCAGTACATGCGGCCTCCTGCTCTTTCTCGCCTTCAACACGCGCGGCGAGTTAGCCATGGGTGTTACTTTGCTTGTGAAGTATATAAACCCCGTCTTCCTACCTCTTTCTAATCTCTTTACTCTACCAACCCTCGAGACAGTGGTATCCTAAAAAACTTAAAACATCCCGTGATGTTTTTTTGCTGTCGAGAAAGCCTATAACATCACGTTGATGAGCGTGTCGCGGCTTTTGGTTTCTTCGTGACAGCGTATACGCTTTTTCTCCTACTACCTTCCAGGTCCGCTTTCTCTGAAAAAAGGGGGGAAATTTTTGTGATGACTTGGACTAAAAAGTTCCACTTTGCATCTCATGTTCTTCTCTTCTCTCTGCAAATGCAAAGAAAAAAAATGCATAGAGGCGCGAGTTATAGTGCCTTGTTCTTATGCGACAGGATAAAGTCTGTCCCTCTTACTACTTTCTAGTCCTACCTTTTCTAAAACAACTGAATCTCTTCTCATGGCTTGAAATAAAACAGAATTGTAAACACCAAATGTTCTTATTTTCTTTCTGCGATTGCCCCTAGGATCCGCGACAGAGCAATCGATGGTGCCCGGCCTTTATGTGGCAGGATGAAGTCCTCCCCTCTTACTACTTTCTAGTCCTACTCCTTCTTAAAAACTTTAAGCTCTTCTAACGACTCTAAACTTTGTTCTATGTTTTTTCTCTTCTCTCTGCAACCGCCCCAAAAAAATCGACGTAAGGGGTCTTCATGGTGTCTGGGCCTGTGTATGGCAGCACAGTCTCTCCCTCCTACTACTTTCCAGTCCCACTCTTTCTAAAATGATTCATTCTTGTATCATGGATTTGACCAAAAACACGTGTCATAATACCATGTTCTCCTTTCCTCTCTGCAAAAGCCAAAGAAAAAATAAACTAGTAAAACCGCGCTTTGGTGCCTGGCCTTGTCGTGGCAGGATCTACTCTCCTCTCTCTCCTGTTTCTTCTACACTTGATTCATATCAAAGATCCACTGACCACATGTGAATCTCCGACTGAAAGAAAAGATCAGAACGTCTTATGTTTTGCTCTCCTCTCCGCAGCCCCCACAAAAGATGGCGACAGAAACCTAAGATGGTGCCTGTCTCTCTGGCAGTATTAACTCTCTTGTCTTCCTCCTGCTTTCTTTTCCCCCTTCTTGATAAACAAAAATCTCCCATTCTAACATTTTCTAAAAAATCTTTCACGACCTTATTATGTGGCCTTCTCCGCGCCAGTCTAAAACTTTAACAAGCAACACAAGCCGTTCATGGTTTCCTCCATTTTCCACCTACATAAAATATGCAGTTCTCTATTTTCTAAGAAAGTACATACATCCACCCATGTGGTCTTCTCTCTACAAATGAAAAATTGAAAAATGATAAATCAACCACTACATGGTTTCCTCCCTTTCTTACCTGCCAAACTTATTCTATCCTACATCTTCTTAAAAAAAACTACCAGAGGAGTGTTCTTGTCTCCACAAGTCGAAAATCTTTACAACAAAAAGAGCTTACGAAAGCCATTGACGTTCTCTGTTTGTGGCTTGTGGCAGTATATAAATCCTCTCTCCTTACCTTACTTTCTTAACACCACAGAAAATATCTCCTTTCTGCAATTTCCAATAAAGACCCCCCCCCCCATTCGTGCTTATGTGCTCTTCTCTCTTCTGATCGAAATGTGCAAATAAACTGCCCTACTCAATAATCATGGTTTCCTCCGTTTCTAGACCCACGTTAAAAATCTCATTCCTGCATTTTCCAGAAACTTACCTCATTACTGCTCATGTGCTCGTCTTTCCACTGTTTTTAAAATTTGTTGTGGCATTCATACATGTTGTCTTCGGTTTCTTGACCTACATAAAAAGTCTCAGTCCTGTATTTTCTAAAAAAATCATTCGGTAGCTTCCCATGTGATGTTCTCTGTGCGAGTAAAAACACAACATCTTCAAGGCGGCATGGTTTCTGCTCTGGCCCTTGTACTATATATTCTCGGCTTCTTCCTCTTCTCCTTTTCTTCTACCATGTTACTTCGTTCTTCCCCGTCTTTAAAAAAACTTTGAAGGAAGTCCTATGAAACACCTGGACTAAAAGTACGAGTTGTTCTCGCCATGCCGCCTCTTTTCCTCTACCAAACTTGAAAACTCACATGCTCTAGCAGATGGACTCTGCTGTCGTCTAAAAAAAGGGTTCGGCCACTCCTATGTTTGGTGGCGACTCTTGTTGGACAATATGAAATAAAAATAAAAATTGAAAATACGTCGTTTTATGGTTGTTCCGAGTAGTTACCTAGAAACCCACATAGCAAAAGAATATGGTCGAACCAGAGGGAATGACACACTGTATCGATGGCTCTGTAGAAACCCTATGAGCAGTCGCATGAACGCCGGAATTCCAATATATACCTACCATATTAAAAATCGATGAAGCCCTCCTATCCCAAGATAAAAATATGAATGTCTACTCTACCAAAGGGGTATCTCAAAATCTCACGGAAAAGTATTACAACTCGTCGAACTTGCGCAGCCGCTCGTCCACTTTTGGAGCAGACTTCACACCAGCAGAACTAACTGCTGTGCTCGTCGTCTTGGCCGTTGTATGTCCTATAATGGCTTCCTTTGCTATATCTGGTATGTCCGCGTTGAGGATAGCATCTCTGGTAGCGGGATCGAGCTGCGTTTGCGGTGTTTTGGCGATGTCCGCGGGTTGGAGTGGGTGGAAGACGAAAAGGAGTACGAGGGCGGTGACTAGAAGGCCTATCGTGCCCCAGAAGATGCGCACACGATCTATGTGTTGTCAGCTGAGAATACCTCCAAGTCTGTAGAGATGAGCATACGGGTATTCTGCGCCTGCCACTCGGCTTCCGACTTTGCTTTGGCATTGACACGCTCCTGTGCCTTTGCGAGTCTTGCTGTCAAAGCATCTGCCTTTTCTCTCCCTACTTTGATGCGGTCTTCCAGTCCGGTGACCTGCTCTTGCTGTGTTTTGAAGCCGTCAAATACCTCTACTTGGCCCTTGACGTCATCTACCAGCTCGGTGGTGTCCGACTCAAAGTTCTCGTGTAGCTCCCTTGTTAAGCTGGATAGCTCTTGTAGTGTTCCGATTGTTTGTCGCAAAACGGAGGCCTTTTCAAGGATGGTGTAGTATGTATCGTCTAGGCGGCGCGAAGTCTGGAGGGATTGGTCGGAGAGGGACTGGAGGGCTCGGCGGACATCTCTGAGTGTTATGTTAGAAGGTCCAATTCACAAGAAGCCCACAGAGGGCGTATCGAGGATATCGCAAACGTACTGCTCTCTGACCTTGACCCTCTTTGCTTCCAACTCTACGTCAGCAGGGCGGAGGGGTCTCCGCGGCGGAATGGTGATGCCTCTGGTAGCTTCCTCCTTTCCACTTGCGCTTCCATCTACCTGCTTTGGGGCGACGCTCTGTCTGCGACTATGGCTAGGACTCGTTTCTCTGCTCCCTCGTGCTTGTCTCAGCAAGTCCCCAAAGCTGGTGGGAGGCTGAATAGCCGATTGCATGGCCTCCTTGGCCGCATGGCGTCTGCTGGAGCTATGACGATGGCCATCTAGACGGTCGCGGTGGTGGCGCGACGACTTGTGCTTGTGTGAGTGCGGTTGCGGCTTCTTCTCAGGATCAGACGTCACACGGATCGCCGACCTGGGGCTGTAGAGGTGGATCTGCCCGTCCATGTCATGGTCATGGTTAGATGGTAGAGGCAGTCGGAGTCGTTGTTGCACAGTCCCAAGGCCAAGTTCGCCTGTCTCTGCAGGGGCCTACTCCGCTAACCAACAATGGGTCAACATGTGAAAGGGATCAATGTTGGGCAAAGTGAGAATGCGCAAACTATGGCAGAGATTGTAGTTGCTATCTACTTGTTTAATTGTTTGAAGCTCAGGGTATCACTTTCTTGCGTCTACACGTTGTAGTAGGGGCATCATGCCGCCCTTCAGTCCACTGCACATGCCCTGTATGCTCCTGCCTATGAAGCTGCAGGCTGATTGCTTTTTGTCGCCCTGCGCTTACTGATTTGCACCCGTCTGACTTGCTCTCGAAGCGGCATTTCTCTAGTCACAGCAACAAATGGTTGACCGCTCACGACTTGAGCATCTTGTTGCGCTTCTCCCTCCTCTTCAGACGCTCGACACGCCTCTTGTGCATCTTCTCCTCCATCTTGGCGAATCGTTCCCGTTCCTCCTTGGCGGCGCGCTTGGTCTTGATGGCTTCGACTCGTCGCTTTTACATGGTTAGCTCTCATCTCATCGTGGAGAGATGTCGCCGCATACCTGTCTCTCCGACTCCTTCTCTTCCTTGAGCTCCTTCTCCTTGGCCTTGACTGCAGCAAGCGCCGCCCTTTCAGCTGAGCGCTTCTCCCATGACGACTGGCCTGCCTTTGGTCGGAACGGGGCCTTGTTATCGTGCCATTGCTTGCCTGCAGAAACAGTCAGTATGCTGTGTCGCAACTTTCCCACGTGCTCGTCGCATACCGTTCTTCTTCATGCCCTTGACAGGCGCAGTCTCGGTGGCGGGAGGCGCCTGGATTATCACAGAGTCAGACATGGTGGTGATGTTTGCGCGTGCCTAGGAAGCAACTCTCGCCCAAGTTCTCGACCAGGGCCGCAGAAAAGTTAGCCGATATCGATAGCGCTGATGCATCCCAGCCAGGGTCCGACGCGAAAGCGGGATGCTTCCTTCCATCAGATCTGATAAGATTATGAAAAAGATGGCAAGTGCGGAATTGGGCTGCGATGCGCGTCAACGTAAAATGATGGTTACACATTCCTCCCCTTTCCAGCATGACCCGGCTATACTTTTGCACTGCGTTTTCTACGACCTGTCGCCTTTCTCCTGGCTATCTGCAGAGATTTTCAGAGCTAGAGAAAAGTCTTCCGTGATTGCACCACCTTTGGGCACTACATCCGGATTACGGCATTGTCCCATAGTCGCACACATCCCGCGGCTTGTTGCATACTGTTCTCCAGACCCTCTTCGTGTTCCATACCTCCATATTACCGCTCCACTCTTCATACCACAAGCGCTGACCTCGTATCCCGTCGTTGACATGGGCTTCGCTTCATAACAGCCACTACGCGCCCTCTCACCGCCCACGTCTATTCGTACCCAACATGCCTTGTGCTCCATAACATAATTCGAAAATCACGTTTACATTTCATTCACGACCGATCCGTCTCTGTGGATCCATGGAAGCACACCAGAGTCCGGTAGCGGTGGTGGGCGGAAGAGGCGGGTTGCCCAACCCAGTTATCATGGAAGAGGCCAGAGGGCCACACACGATGGGAAAGGGCGAAGAGGCTATAAGAGATATAGTCTGCGGTTCAGCAGCTGGTATTGTTGGAAAATACATCGAGTATCCTTTTGATACCGTCAAGGTCCGCCTCCAGTCACAGCCGGACAACGTACCTCTCAAGTACACTGGACCACTGGATTGTTTCAAGAAATCACTACAGCAAGATGGCTTCATAGGCATCTACAGGGGGATCAGCGCGCCTCTGGTCGGCGCTGCGGTCGAGACCAGCACTCTGTTCTTCAGTGTGAGTGGCGCGCTTACGGAGACCCCGGATCGCACACTGACTCACTTTGTAGTACCGCTTGGCCGGAGATGCTCTCAAGTCTTCGGGCTTCTATCCTGAACTGAAGAGACACCCTGAAAGAGAGTTGCCCTATACTGGCATGCTCTATTGCGGCATGGTCGCTGGAGCCATCACATCACTTTTCCTTACACCGATTGAGCTGGTAAAGTGCAAGATGCAAGTTCCTCTGGAATCACCCGGTGGTATTGTAGCCGCACCGACTATTCGAGGAGTTATCGCTTCAATCTACCGTCACCAAGGCCTCAAGGGATACTGGCACGGACAGATTGGAACGCTGATCCGTGAGACAGGAGGTGGCGCAGCATGGTTCGGCGGGTACGAAGGCATGAAGATACTCTTCAAGGGATCCAGTGCAACGGCCAAGGACGAAGACCTCGCTGTCTGGCAGCGCATGGTTTCCGGTTCTGTCGCCGGAGGAGCTTACAACTTCACATTCTACCCCGCCGACACAATCAAGTCGAGGATGCAGACAGAAGATGTCAAGCAGTTGACTGGCGGAAAGTCAACATTCAGCGCAGTAGGAAAAGCGCTCTGGAAGCAACATGGCATCAAGGGCATGTACCGCGGCTGCGGCATTACAGTTGCCAGGTCGATACCCAGTTCCGCCTTCATCTTTACCGTATACGAGGAACTGAAGAAGCGATGGTCTGTACAACGATTCGAATAGTTGGTCCTGTCAGCCGCAGAAGATGGGAAGCATACCAGGCGTTTGAATGGCGTTTATACGGAAAAGCATAGCATCAAGCGAGAATATCGAGATACCATGTAGTTTCTTAGCGCATAGAATTCACACCTTGAACTCCAGAGCAACCACGAATGCGGACTAACACATGCAAGTGCAAGAACCAGACCACGCACATGCAACCCCAACCCCAACCTGCAGCCTTCACATGCTAAGCGCAATCGCCGCCGTGTCCGTTTCGGGCCCTAGCGCAAAACATGCCACGATCCATCGCGATTGTGGGGAAAACCCGCGGGCGCCCGGTAATGTGACGCGAGCCGAGGATCAGATGCCAGCCCAGACAGCCGCGCATTTGGCGGACTTACTCTTGCCCCTACTTTAGTATCCTGGCCCCAACACAACCTTATTCACAGATCTAGTCAAACCCATGATCCCAACGTTCTGCTTCTCTACTTTCCTTTACCTTCATCCTCGCTGCTGTGGTTGTGAAAGGTAGCAGAGTAGACAGACGTCATTGCGTGCGCGTTTTTGTACCGAGGTTCCTCGCTGGAGATTGCTTGTCGCAAGCTACATATCACGACACAACACACACATACACATACACGACCGAGATGGATAGGTTACATGCGCTTGAGGTATGTAGGGTCTGATCTGTGGGAATGGAGAAAGAGAGACAAAGGGAAAAGATTGGTTTGCTGATTGTGACAATAGGCCGCGCTGGAGAAGATTGTCCTAGATCCCAAATACCACGACATCCTCACACTGGTAAAAGGTGTGAGAAATGGCATCGTGTATGGGTGTAAAGTGCGGTTTCCGCATGCGCTTGTGTGAGTTTCCATACTGGGCGGAGAGAGAATCTGAGAAAGGGAACAACAGCTAACAACATCTCCTCTAGAATGATCGTCCTCTTCAGATCTGGGACGTAAGTTTCCCCAACCCTCCTCCAAACGAACGCCCATCCCACCCTATTCCCAGCGCCCCTCTACAAACCAAATTAAACCAAGCAACACCACTAACCCCCCCATAGCCTCCGCTCAAAAGCCCACCTAGTCTACAAAGCCACCCGCCAACACGCCCGCAACCTCGGCCTCTTCGCCCTCGTCTACAAATCCTGCATGATCTTCCTGCGCCACACATCTCCAACCGGAAAAGAACGCCACTACGATTCCTTCCTCGCGGGCCTCCTCGGCGGCTACACCGTCTTCGGCCGCACAATTCACAACTCCGTGTCGCAGCAAATCGTCATCTATGTCGCTGCGCGCGTGTGCCTCGCTCTCGCTAAACTAGCCGTTCAGCCACGGGAAGTTGGTGCTGGACACGGTGGTGCCGGGCACCATCATGCAGTTAAAGGCTGGGAACTGTTTGGCAACGGCGAGATGAGGCGGACGTTGGTGAGGAATGGGTGGCCAGCTTTTGCGAGTTTGAGTTGGGCCATGGTTATGTATATTTTTAGGTGGCATCCCGAGGCTGTGCAGAGTAGTTTGAGGAGTAGTATGAGTTATATGTGGGTTATTGTATTCTCGGGCGTTGGCCTGCTGAGAAGGGAGTTTTTGCTAACATGTTGTGTAGTTATGTTCAATCGGATGATTGGGATTCGCTGCGGACGCTGCTGTGGCATAACAAGTGAGCAAGAGGGGGAGGGGGCTGGACTTGCATGGAGGGATGCAATGGTGGATTTGTATGTGAGGAGCAAATTATAAGGGTTCTGTCGCGGCATGTAGGGAGGATAGACAGCTAGCTATTGTCTGGCATGATAGAAAGAGATACCACCAACAAGAAAGGCAATAAAAAGGAGAGAATTTGTCCAAACCACGAAATGAAACCCGCGCATAGTTCACTCGTATTCATCACAGCGTGTCATGGCCTGGATTGTGAAAACAATTCATATTGCGTAATCTATCTAGTGTTGAACCATGACATCTTTACTCTGCAATTCCTTTACAAATCATCATCCGCTTAATTGACAAGATCACGTCAAATCTTGGCAGTTTTGAAGTCATGAGTCAGTACTGAACCATATTGACTTTGTGTCAGCTTCAGATAGCGCAGGGATGCCTACAGGCTTCACTCAGATTGGTGGTGTTCAGTGCAATATACCTATCTTGTTGGCGGATATTGACAAGTATTGTGGTGTGCTCTTCTGGTCGGATAAAGGGTCTGGGAAATGGGTGGTTGCGAAGGTGGACGTGACGGGAGCGTAGAGAAGAGTGGGCACACGGAAGGAGACAAGAGAGACACATTGACAAACGAAAGATGAAGCCGAAGAGATGAGACATACTTATCCCGACCTGATTTGTGTAATTGGAGTAACCGGCTGGCGCGATCGACACTCTCGCAAAGCTTAGTACACGCCGCAACAAGCAAGAGACTTACCTCCACTACACAAACGAGCAACGTAAGTAAACGGCATCAAATTCACGAAACCTAGGGGTGATCAGCGTGGAAAGGTGGTTGTGAATTATCCTTTTGTTTACCATAAATGGTCCCTACTAGAAAATCGTCACCGGTGGGTGACTCTGACTCACACGTCCTTGATCATCGTGCTTTGTGAACGCCAATGTACTCCGTCCGACCCAGCCCTAGTGTGATGTACATGATAAGCAGTGCCGGCAAGTCCACTCACTCCCTGAATACGTCGTCCCATGACCTCTCAAGCTAAGAAAAAAAGCCCTTGTCAATTCACCGCCGAAGATAAAAACAAAAAGCAACGCTGGCCGGCAATGATGTCCGAGAAAATAAGTATGGGAAACTACTTACCTTTAGATGAAAATGTCCAGCTCGTGCCTGCGCACCTCCGGTTCATCGAAAGCCGGGAAAGCCGGGACCATCGCATCGGCGTTCTGGACGTACGCATCGTTGTAGATCCGCCAGTACGGCTGCCGAACTTTGCGAGCGGGATGAAATAGACCTGCCCAGACATAGTTCATGACGAGCGGTGTGCCAACGGCGTTTCGGACACCCTCAATGGCCTCAATAATCCTGTCAATGACATGTGGACTAGTTTCGAAAAGGTTTGGCCAGAGGAGGTTGAGCAAGTGAATCATGGCATCCTCGCAGTCAAGACCAACACAGCCCAAGGCAACGTGTTTGACTACTGATGCAGCAGTTTGACGATGCACTTGATCTCGGTCAATGAGAGCGTCCTCCAGAAGTGGTGTAATAGCGTAGACGTAGTCCTTGGCCATCTCACCAATGTACTCAAACATGAATGATAGAGACTTGAGTACACCGTTCTGCACGTTCAGCTCCGGTACGCGGTATTCGTTCATCAATGCAGGAAGAACAGTGAAAGGCGCACAGGTCTCAGCAACGATACCGATGGCAACAGCTGTGCAGACACGGGACTGACGCTCCTGGACTCGAAGATTACCGAGAAGTGTAGCCAGTACATCCTGGGGACCGATGGCTTTGGCGATGTAACCGAAGGTGTTGTTGGCAGCACGACGGATACCCTTCTTGTGAGCCTTCAACATGTCGAGAAGTTCGAAACAGATACGCATCCATTCACGAGGGTTGACGTAGTTTGCACCTCGATCAGCGATACGACCGACAAGGTCGATGGTGTTCTCCTGTACCTTCTCATGTCGGTTACGTAGGATAGGTGTCAGGCGGGGCAACAGGTCCTTGATGGGGGGCTGCATGGCATGAAGGCCGACGACTGTGACGATGGCGCGAAGGGCACCAAGAATGGAACCAAGAACTTCGGGGTACTCTTCACCAAGGTATTCGTAGAGTGCTTGAGCAAGCTTGATCAGCTGTGGGTCTTCGTCACACTTCTGCATAACAAACGTGATCCGCGAGATGAGGTCTGCAGCTTGCTGGCGAACTGTAGCTGACTTGTTGTTGAGGCGAGCAAGAACGGTTGCAACAATCTGTGGAAGGTAGGTCTTGGTACGCTCACCGAGCGCGTTGACGACCGTGGCGAAACCGTCGATAACGATGGGGTCCTCGATAGTCTGATCCTGGAAAGCAACGAGCACACCATCAATGAGTTGCTCCTCCAAGCGCTCGTCGACATCGTGCGCGCCTAGAGTGCTAATGACCTTGTCGACGGTCTCAACAGTCATCTTACGGTATGCTTCGTTCTCGTCTTTCATGTTGCTAACGATACGACCAACGATCTCAGCAACACCTGCCTTCTGTGCCAGGTCGACGGTAGTGTCAACAACTTGGCGGTAGTTACGCTTGTCGAGTGCCATACGGCGGACCCAGAAGTGCTTGAAGAACTCAGGCAAAACATTGTCCTTCAAGTATACGGGAGTGACACCCGCTGTGTTGGAACACTGCGAGACGACCTTGAGCACAACCTTCTTCATCTCCTCGTCGGGTGACTGGAACTCGCGAATGACAATCTCCATGATCTGGCTGGTGTAGTAGTTAGAGTACTCTTCGTCCATCAGCGGGATCACGTAGCCCACAGCCTTGAGGAAAGATGCCAAAGCCTTGCCACGCTGGCGGCGAGCTCCGGTCCAGAGCGGGTTGAGGATGTCATCAAAAGATTCGATACCGTAAGGGCTGGCAGCTTCAGCCAGGGCGGCAAGCGCAAGGGCTGTGACCATGCGGACCTTTGGCTGTTCATCGTTGAGGTTCTCGCCAATACACTCCACAAGTCCCTTCAAATGAGGTAGGATAGCACAGCCCATGAGAATGGGAATCTGCTGTACAATTTTCACACCGGTATGGCGTGCGTGCCACGACTTCTTCGACCGGCAAACAGCGCGGAGAAAAGGTAGCAGCGCAGGAATACCGAGGGCGGATGCGACTACTGCGAAAGCTCGAGCAGTGGTGTTTCGCACATACTCATCTTGGTGGTCTAAGTCCGGGCGCATTGTACTGATCATGTGAGCAAGTCCAGCGGCCTTTGCAAGGTTGGAAATAATCTCTCGACCTTCCACACGAGCATAGTAGTCTTGGTCGATAAGGAGAGGCTCAATAACGACGAGGATCTTGTGGACATAAGGACGAACAAGGTCATCAAGCTTGTAAAGGACACGGTCAATGACCTTGACGAGCAAATGGCGTTCCTGATCCTCCAATGTGCGCTCCATCAAAAGTGGAAGGATCTGGTTGAAGAGCGCACCTGCGCCAAACTGCCGGGCATTGTCTGTAAGTTGACGAAGTGCCGTCTTTCGCATGGGCGGTGTTCCGTTCTTGACCTTCAAAAGCAGTCGCATGATCTTGCGCTCCTTGAGTTCCTCCACAGTCATCTCGTTCTCATCGGCGCCGTCAGTGAGCTTTCCAAAGTACTTCATGTCCTCATTCTTGAAGAACTGCAAGTCGCCCACACCGGGGATTTCTGTTGGCAGCTGCCTGCCCATGGCGGCCAAGCTGTTGTCAGCCTCTGGTAGCAGGAAACCCTGGTATCCCGCCGGAAGTTGGGGTACTACACCGACTGGTCGTCGTACTGGCTCATAGCCGGGAGGTGCCTCGAGGACCTTGTAGCCTTCAGCTTCACCAGGAAGCATCATGTCCAGCTGCTCGTCGGAAAGGGGTGCGTTGCGATTGGAGATGTCGGTGCCGAATGCGAACGTGTGGGTGACGGCAGCCCCATTTGCTGTGGGAACGGGCGTAGCAGCGCTGGCTGGGGCTACCGCAGTGGTATCCCAGCGTGATCGTGCTGGTGCGGCAGCTTCGGGAGCTTTGGTTTCCTCGACTGCCGGTGACCATCGTGAACGCTTCTTCGGCTCGGACTCGACTTTGGTGCCCTCATTGTCGTCTTCCTTGATCGCCGCTGTTTCACTCTCGTCGGCAGCCTCGTCCCAGCGTCTCCTCTTGCGAGTCTTCTTAATGGGCGGGGTCTTATCGCCGTCGACGGGAGGTGGTGAGCCGCCGTCCTTGAGCGTGGCCTTGTGGTCTAGAACTTGATTGCCCCCCGACTTTTCCTTCTCTTCTATAAGACGCTGAACACGAGCTTCCTCACGCTCAAATTCGCGCTGTTTCATGACGTCTTTGTAGGACTGGCCAGCACCTTCGCCGCCTTCCGCGAAGGGGTCGGCTCGCGAGGGCGAGAGTGCGCGATCGAATCGGCGACGTTGGTAGTCAGTTTCGCGCGACGCGATCTGCGCTTGCTTCTCGCGACTGTCGAGGATGTCGGCCTCACCAGCATCTCCGTGTGCAAACTCGTTCATCATTTCCTTTGACGCGGTGTATTGACCTACTAGGCTTCGGCCGTTCAGCTGGACATCCTCCATGTCGTCGTCTGCTTCGTCGACGGCGATGGAGCTCACGTAGTCGCCGGTGTTGCCGCCATAGAGTTCCTTATCACTTGCCTCTGCAAGCGATTGTTTGTTATTGGACGCGTCCCCATTGGCAGCGCCGTTGGCCCTGGACTTTCCTGCGCGCGGCCCGGCCATGTTTGCTGCAGGTTGTTTGACGATTGGGGTTGGTTGGGTACGAGTGGGTGAGGGGATGGCGACCTGTGAGCTCTCCAAAGTTTCGTGATGCCATGCTTAGCGCCGTCCAGTTGAGTGTTAGCGTACTTGGTTAGTCACCTCCGCCATCTCTCTCCTCTCATCACGTGCTCACTCTGGGACATGGGCATCACAGATATGCATAGAACTGTCACGACATTGTATCGCACATTCCCAAAGTTCGAGGACATTTGATATTGATGCAGGGCTATGTAGCTTGGCTCAAGTCACGCGACATACTTAGCTGTCTGCCTGCCATGCCTCGGCAGGACCCAACCGCCTTGCAATATATCGAATTCCGGCACTCAGCCACGTACCAAAGGCCTTGGGCGTGTCTCACATGCATGGCCGGTTCAACGGCGGTGGCGTCTGCATTTGCAGTGTGTCGCGCGTTACCTTTGGTCTGCACGGGTTGACCTCGTGTTCAAGTCTCATGAAATGTCCACATCACTGAAGCTTACAATGGGTCATAGCATCAGCTTACTGATAGCAGAGTCTGCGTGCAGGTCGAGCCAAAGCAGACTGGGATCGACCCGAAAAGCCTGAAGGTGTGCTGCATCATCTCCGGAAGATGTGCAAAAGTCGGCCTTCTACTTCTGCCCAGCCTACAGTTCCTGGTGCCCTAGTGGCACTCGGCCCACACCATGCACGCTGCACGCCTCTTCCTCCACGCTGGGTTGAACACGGAGCGAGCTCCCATCTCTCTCGTCAGCAAAGTTAGTTTTGCATTCCAGGCGCTGGTTCGTGGTTTTGTTTTGAGAACCACAAGTTGTAGAACCCCACCCGAGACACTAGCTGCAACATTGGCATTGGCACAGCAGTGCAGTGGGTGCTATTCGTCATGCGATTATGTGGCAGGTGGCTCGCTGATCATGGTCGTTACTCGACATTGCGCCAGCCATGGCGAAAAGACTCTCTGCTGCAGTGCCCACACCACACCGCCAACATGATCGTCTCTGCGTCGTCAGCATCTCACCTCGTAACCTGATCTCATCCACTCGCAGCTGTAGTAAAAGCTCTCCCTCGTTGACATAAGCGTTGCACTATGTTCGCGAATACGTCCGGGGCTACTGGTTCTAAAAATATGTCTCACCGTGGTCCACCCCAACCCGCCGAGCTATCACTTGCAATACGGGCACTAGCAACGAATAATCGATGGCGCAGTGTCATACAAACCAGGCTAACGGTGATTTACGCTGCTGCGGGCTTTCTACGCAAGGGCTCGAAACGGACAGATCGGTTTTGTGCTGCCTGCCAGCCACACAGGCAATTCGTACCGTGCCGGGGCCCCATTGACTCGCGGCAAATTGATAATGGGCGGACGCTGTCCCACGTCCTTGCGAGGGGTCGATCCTGCCTCTTTGATTTACTGCCTTTTGCATGCCGATTCCTTCGTCTCATCCCCAACCTCATACGTTGTCGTTATTAATCCTTCAGGGCCCCCTCGTTTCGCCTGAACGACTTTAAGATGGCGGCTGTGGCGCAGAGTCATGTTCAAGATGACGTACATCCGTTGTTGAGACATCCACGCCCAATCAAGAGGGATCCCGCAACAGCGCAGCGCATGCTTAGCATGATTGCAGACTCTGACGATGTATTGAGAAGTATCCACCGCGAAAAGTCTGTTACAACACGATGGCTAGAACGACCAATGTACGGAGATTCAAAGGTGGTTGGCGGAGAGGAAGAAAAGGAGGAAGTCAAGGAGCAGCCTGTGGTGTTGAAGGAAGAGGCTAAAGAACAACCCGTGCTGTTGAAGGAAGAGGCGCCCAAGGAAAATACAAAAGAAAGCGATTTTGATTTACTGGACAAATGGACGAACCCGGATAGGCCGACATCATCTTTCAACCCCGAGGAAACTTTGAAGAAGCTTGTTCCAAATCCAGATCCAAATTCAAACATCGACGCATCTTCAATGAGGAGACGACCCCAGCCACTCACACGTCCGATATCGTACAACGCACAACATCTGCTATCGCCAGACTGGACTGCTTCACCATCTACATTGAGCCCTCAAACATCAAGCCAGCGACCCGCATCGTCATACCTGGATAGTCTAGACAGGACCAGAGGTGGAATCTCTTCGCGAGGCAGTTGCGAATGCGAACATCCACAAGTACATCCTGTGGCATATACGTATCCCCCCACACAGCAAGCGATAGAAGCACGGAAAGAACGGCCTGCATCATATCAACCAGACAGCTTCACCTCCCTCGACAGTCCACCACTGCCGCCACGCCCACGTCCGACCTCCTATGCAACTTATCAGCCTCGCCCTCGCGTTCGTTCCGGTGGTAAAATTGCCTCCTCGCGAGGATTACGAAACAACACTTATCCCAACAACTTGTCAAAACCTGTGCCTGGCAGTGCGGCCAAAGCAGTTGCTGGAGAGAATATTGAAAATGATATGGTATACCAGCGCTTCGGAGATGATGAGGTTGGCCCCCCCACACCCGCAACATCAGGGGCCCCGACATTGTCACCACTGCCGGCATGGTCGGCAGCATCGGCGACTCCGATCAACACTGGTCGGGATGTTTTTGAGCAGTTCGAGGAGAAGAGCAAACCAGAGAAGAAAATAAAACACAGATGGTCAACAATACCACAAGCATTGAAGAATTTCAGCGCAAAGAGAAGGGAGTCAGCAGCTACACAAGATCAGCCAAAGTTTTCCATGGTCGTAGACGATTTACGACGCATGAACCTGACAGCAGAGAATTTACAACACTACGAGGCTGTTTCCAGTCGGGAATCAACGCCAAAACGCATGTCAACAGTCGATCTCATTCCGACACCAACCTTAACCCCCTCCGACTTCCCACCCACACACTTGGACGCGCCTCTACCAGCGCCCTTTGCTCCCTGGGCCAATGCTCCCCCAAGTCCCGCCGTAACTGCAGACCGACGGCGCAGCAGTGGCAACCCTCTTACCCTGAACACAATGTCTTCGGGTGTGGAGACCATGCCACAGGTGCGCCCTGTATCGTGGCACTCGCGCCGCAGTAGCATCATCGCCGTCCCCTCGCCAGGGGTGACATGCACAGCCCCCCAACTACGCCACACCAAGGATGTAGCCATCAGCCCGCGTGCAACACCACCAAGCTCGCGGCCTTGCTCGCGACGCAATACTCCAGCCATAGAACGCACATGTATATTGTGCAAGACGAGCAGGCCCGTTTACGAATTTGTTCAACGAAGGATCACGGCGAATTGCTGGCATGAACCGGCGACTTGTGCGGGATGCATGCAAGGCTGGCTTAGACAGAGCGTGGATATCAATGGCTGGGAGGGTTGTTCGTGCCCCGAGTGTGGAGAGAGGATGGCAAGCGAGGATGTTGCTGCTTTTGCAGAAGTTTCGCCGCTATGAAACAAGAGACTGGTTTTTCTTTTGTTGATCAAGACAGGAATTTTTGACAAGTCGTCACTTTGTTCTTTTGTTGTATTACTCAAATCTACCGGCATTCATAAGAGCCGCATTTACTCGATAAACAATAATAAAGACAATAGCATTGCCTTGTTGGGCGAAATGCCACCCCCCACAACCATACTTTCTATCCACATCTTATGTTTTCATCAGCTCAGCCAGCACGATCGGGCCGATACGTTTGCAACGTCGCAGTCACGCCTCTATTTGACCTTTCGCCACCTTCACAATCGGTCTTTGAAGAATAAAGCATGATGGGGGGCTTGTACAAGTCGGTCTTGAAGTTTATTTCGGGATGAACGGCGCTTCAAGGTATTGCCTGTTACACGTCGGGAGCATGGTTCAAAAGGGGAGACATCACTTATGCTGGAAGACATCCCCAGGGCTGAACCCAGGACAGAAATTGTAACAAAGCATGAATGACGTAACAGGGTTCATAAATTTCGTTCAACATCGACAAAGCATACATACAAGGGTAGAAAAGAAGTAAAGTGGCTTTCACAGCCCGTCCGCGCCAGGACACAACGCCCACAAACAAAGAAACCACGCACAAACTACAACGCTTACTGGATAGTAGCAATAGCAGCTTTCCAGGCAGGATCGCGTGTAGGATCAGAAGGAGTATTGACGCAGGCGCTCAAAAACTGGTGCCAGCCATCCAGGGTGCCAGCCGCAAGGCCAGCTCGAACACCAGCACTGCAAACATTGCTCACGAACCAAGCAGCGCTACCAAAGCTCTTCTCATCGTCGCCGTTGACAAGATCGAGAATAGCGACTTTGCCAGCATCTCCGCCTGCGGCTTTGGCCTGTGCGACTGCGGCTGGACCTGCGACACTGGTGGCGTATTGCTCGACGTAATCTGGCATAGCCATCACTAAAAAGGAGAACACGTTAATCTATGAACTTTCACAAAATTATACAAATGGGGGTTGACTTACTCCTTGTGCCCTGGCCGGGGCGACCTGGGAAGTGGTTCTTCTTGTACTTGAAATCACCGCTCTCGAAGATCTCGTAGGCAATGATGGCAGCTTTTTCGCCCTTTGAAGTAATCTTGTAGGTGGAAAATGCCTTGTTCAGCGCGGTTGCAGCTTGAGATGCGGTGGCGCATTCATCGGGGAAGCTTGCGCCGCTGCACGATGCGGTTGCGGGTGCGATGGCGATGAGGTTGTCTGCAGTCAACGAGCCCGTGACTTCGGCGTTTGGGGTCTCGTCACAGTCTGGAACAGGTGCAGCGAAAGCGCAGAGGGCGAAGGCGCCGGCGAAGAGAATGTTCTTGGTGAAACCCATGATGTTGATGTGGGGAATGGTGTTGGTGGATTTGGTAATTTGTAGAAGCTGAAATATAGTATCAAGCTATGTTTGCAACAGTGTAGAAGTAATGCTGGGAAGAAGTTGATAGGTAGCTTTATTGAAGATACGAAGGTACACAGTGCTTTTTAATGAATGACTTGGTGAATGAGACTTGGTTCAGCCCAGCAGAATCAAGTGATCTAAATAAAGGGGATAAAGACCGTGAGGAGGCAGTGTAAAGCAGTGCAGGGAGAGGCTAAAATATAGGCGTGCGCACATTGATGCATTCCTCTGGGTGGCCTGGCCATCAGCATTTCTAGTAAGGAGTAGTCGGAAGATCCAAGGAACGTGAGTTGGCCTGATCCAGATCTAACAAACGTCCACTACCAATCATCGCGCCGCGAGGTGATGAAGCCCGCACGTGAACTCGCGTTCAGCGGATATGATTGGCTGTGTGCAGTTCAGCTCTGAAACGTGAAACATGGGCAGAACAAGCTTTGCCAATACCGTCGGTCAGGAGTTAGAATTGCTTCTGCCATTGCTATGATAAGATTAAGTGGTGGTTTCGCGACATCCGACATCCATCAAAGAGCTGGATGACGGTGGGTTGAGTGGCGATGCGCTCTTGGTAGACACATGCTGGTGGAGATGACAGATCTCCAAGTGAGAGACAGACGAACAATGCGACAGGGGATAATGCGCCACGCTTACACAGCACGCAAGGGAAATTGTACCTGCGCCTCTCCAGCGCTTCAGCAGTTCAGCTCGGCGCTTGAGCTAAATTTACAGGTGCGGAAGCTGAAGTCCCTCGAGCCGCCTTTTACGTATCACCAGCGGCTCGTTGCATCTTATTCCCGCGTAACGCCGGCCTCGCCTTTCCAGATTTGCAATCGGGTTGACTGTTGACATCATGGTGTTGATCCGAGGAGGCGCCATTATCCATTTTACCCCACCTGATTACTTGCCGTGCTGTGTCTGCCCCTCATTGCGTTCTGTTACAACGATTGAAATCTCCATCAATTGAACATCATATCTATCCAAACAACTCATCATAAACACTTCAATATGTCTGCCGTTGTAGAAAGCAAGTTTGACCCCAAGTAAGCCTCTCTGGTCCAGTCGGGATAAATATAGCAAGCTAATTGAGCTCGAAGGGATATGGAATTCCGCCGCCTGGGACCTGCTGGTCTCAAGGTCTCGGTCTTCTCCCTTGGTGGCTGGTTGACATATGGAGGAACTCAGAAGGGTTCAATTGTCAAGGACTGCATGCAGGAAGCCTGGAACCACGGCATCAACTTCTTCGACACTGCCGAGATCTATGCTGCGGGAGAGTGCGAGATTGAGATGGGCAAGGCCTTCAAGGAGTTGCAATGGCCTCGTGATGAGTATGTCTTGACGACGAAGGTAAGGCGATGCTTGACACGTGATATTTGGCGTTGTCTGGGATTGACCATCCGCAGGTATTCTTCGGCACAAAGAGAAAGGAACCAAACACTAGGTAAGCTTAGAATCTTGTTTAGTAGTCCCCGACTAACACATGTGTAGGGGATTGTCCAAGAAGCACATTGTTGAGGGGTTGAAGAGCTCCTTGGCGCGCCTTGACCACTCATATGTCGACGTCGTTTTTGCCCACCGCTTCGACCCCGAGTAAGTAAAGCATGCACTATCAGATCAATTGCACGTACTAATGATTCTCAGGGTTGGCATGAAGGAAATCGTCGAGGCCTTCACACAGACTATCAACATGAACTTGGCCTACTACTGGGGTACCTCCGAATGGTCCGCAGAGCAAATCCAAGAAGCAATCGACGTTGCAGAGAAGTACAATCTCATTGCACCCATTGTAGAGCAGCCTCAGTACAATGCCTTCCATCGTGAGAGGTTTGAGAAGGAGTATGCCCCACTTTACAAAAAATACCAATATGGCACTAGTAAGTCACGCTTTTTTTCCCTTCACCCCAACCACCAGCACTACCACTATAATGATGCTGACTAAGGCAAGCCACGTGGTCTCCTTTGGCGTCAGGTGTATTAACAGGCAAGTACAATGATGGTATCCCTGAGGATAGTCGATATGCGACCAATCCTGAGTTTTTTAAGAACTCAGTTGAGGCACTGAAGAGCGAGGAGGGACAGGCCAAGATCAAGAAGGTCAAGGAGCTTACCAAGATTGCTGAGAAGCTTGGGGCTACTACAACACAGCTGGCGCTGGCCTGGACTGCTAAGAACCCTAATGTCAGCACCGTCATCCTGGGTGCGACCAAGGTCGAGCAGGTCAAGGACAACTGTGGCGCCATCAAGCTGCTTCCGAAGCTGACACCAGAAGTCATGGAAGAAATTGAGAAGATCCTTGACAACAAGCCGTAAGGCTGGTACTAGGAGTTGAGGGTGAAAGGGGCTTTAACTAGCAATTTATTGGATGCTTACCGGTATGTAACTAGTGTAGCCGAGAAAGTATGTCGGAGTACGCGCCCGACCTAAGTTAAGTGTGGGGGCGAAATCAACCAGAGTTCTCAGCGACGAGAGGTCAACTGCCAAAACCTGGAAGCTTGAGGTTCTTTGAAGAAGTGAGGGCTATGCGGCGACGATAGTATTTAACTAGTTCGTGAACATGGTAGAGTCGATGGGCTCAGGGCGCGACAACGTAGAAATGTGAGGTATGTTAGCCCTTCCTATCAATATCTGATAAGAACGAATGAATCTTGAGGAAAAGAAGGTTAGTCATTCCTATCACGACCCTAGTCCTGAGCCTTGTGATTATTCTTCATATGTGCTGCAAGACTGAAGACATCTCGAATTCCGGGTTTTCTGGCTTGAAGATATTATGTAATATTGCGCGACAGCAGTTAACCACAAGGTAGCAGTCGGCACGGAGTTTGCTATTCCGCATAATAATGCGCGAAGAAGGTACGTCTACAAAGCGACGAAGCGGCACCAGCCCTAGACAGTAAGCAGTGACTGTCTACTTACGCTCAGAATATTGGTGCAAAGACAATCAAATTTTAGAATTTACCTATAGAGCGAATAGGAAGTTCACATGTCTCAGCTGCCACCTCGTCCTGGTTTTCGGCAACCGCCACTGCACTCTCATCCTTTTCTTCGTATTCATCATCATCTTCTTCTTCGTCGTCTATGTCGTCGTCGTTGTCATTCATCGCGGCATATAATGCATCGAGATCTTCTTCTTTGTACTTCTTCAACTCGTCCAGCTCGCCGCGTAAGCCTTCCAGTATCTCGAGCGCATGGACATCATCCCTTTTCTTTGCATCCCAGAAACACGTCTTGTATGATGATTGTGCTATAAGCCTCCAAGTATCGGCTTCGTCCCAGTCGTCGAGAGCGCTAGTAAGGAGTATGCAGTTTCTGGTGACGTAGTAAGGGGGGAGAGAGACATTCCTTTTCAGGTCAGCACCAGCAGAAAGATCGGAGCACCTGGATGACATGAAATACTTGACGGCGTGGGTAAGCACCGAATAGACGTGCCTAGCGACTACAGTCGTCTTTGTACACTGGTATGTCAAGTATTTAATGTCACCCAGGCAGGGGACAGCCCGGTACTTACGTCATGTTATATTTCGTCAACTCAATACATTTCTCTATATCACCGTCGTCGAAGTGTTTGGCCGCTTTGTCGAAGTCCGCTTGGTAGAGCCGTTCCGGTGAATGTGTGTCTGCCATTGTCGCGGGTTTGCGTGCTGGATTCGGGAGCGATGTTGCTTCCCTACTTAACGGCTGGTCTGGCGTATGGCTTGTGGTGTGTAATGTGTGGTGTAGAGTGTGGTGTTGTGGGTTGAGGAATTGGGCTCGACTTTGCGGGCCAAGGCAGAATGTTTGCTGCAACAACAGCTATTTTCGCCACAGCAAACGCAGCGTAGCCATTTTTAAAGCAATGAACACACCGCTTAGCAGCTGCAGTTCCTACACTCCTGTACTTTCTGCGCACTTCGAGCACACGACTGTTTCTACACTCCAGTGCTTTCTGCGCACTTCCATCTACCTAGGTAGGTCAGCTCGATGACATGAGATACTCGATACGTTAGCTTACACATGTAGCTGTAGGAGTCAGAGACGCCTATAGTATCGGGTATGCCGGTGTTTACCCACGCTGTAGCTGTCAAGCATCCTACATCACTCACTCTTTTCTCATCTGTTTGGACTCCAACACTTTCCTCCGCTGTCAGCAGCGCCCCAGGCAGCATTTCAGGCCGAAGGTGCAGCAATCGTGTGCCTCCTGCTGCTACTCCACCTATTCAACCTCCCGGCAATGACAGGACACAATTAGCTATCTCCTATCTCTGTCACACCACATTTCGGATACTGAGATGGCAAAGTATACCAACACAGTCCTGCAACTGGGAACTTGGGTCGGAGCAGAGATCGGTACAGCTGCCGACACAACATCGACTACCGTTCTCAACACCGTTGCTCGGCTCAACCCTTTCGTTCAGGCTATGACCAACGCTATCACTCGGCATGGCATGGACTCATACAGCCGTATCGAAGACCTTGCCAACGAGTCGCTCCAAGCTTGGCAGGCACTTGATGCAAACATCTAGACGCCATGCTCTTCAGAAGAGATTACCGCTTTCTGTGCTGAGCTCGATAAAAATGGCAACTTCACGTAAGTACACCACACCCTTACATATGAACGTCCAACCTTTGCTAACAATGGATAGGTACATTCGGGCTGAAGCGGCTTTTATTATGAAACTGTAGGACATCGCAGGCTATGGGCGGGGGATGTCAGGCCGGGGAGATGATGACTTCACGGATACGATACAAGCTTGGGATATCTTGATGTGTGCATCGATTCAACCTCCACTACATTGAGACGTAACAATAGGACTCTTACCTCCAATACTGTAATCACGTGCTGTTGTGAGTCCTCAGGAGGCCAGGGGAAGGGCATCAGAGCCAAGAAGTCAGTGGCGCTATCAAGCTGCTTCTGACTTGACACGGGAAGTCAGTGGGAGATTGAGCAGAGCCTCAAAGACAAGCCCTAAACGTTTGTGACACAAGTGACGTGTAGGCGACAAAATTTTGCTGGAGTCCAGGCCGTGTGAGAACAGTATGGTGTCGAGGCAGAACGGGGTAGGTAGTAGAATGATCCTATAATGAAGTGTGTCGGGGTTCATGATGTGCATGGACAATGTCGTAAGAGATCGACGGGAAACATGTTGCCGGATGTGAGCCGGATTGCTAGCGATTGGCTGCCCCACAAACTATGCACTCTAAACTATTTACTGACCATGGGTTTGGGGGGAAGGGGCCTGCGGTTAGTTACCGGTGAACTGTCTATGCGGACATGGCGAGGACCTAGCCTGGAGACATTTTCCCGGATTGTCCGGGTAAGCCAAGGTTGAAAGTTTGGCCTCAACAAGTTCGGCCTTGGTCTCCAACTCGCTGTGATGGGTATTTGCAAATGGTGATGTTTTGTTGCATGCCAGTGATTTCTTTTTGCGCATGGTGCTGGGATGTTACTTGTTGCGGTCCCGCGCCACTGTACGAAACGGGTGGCGGTCAGCTCCAGACCTCGGGACTCTAGACCGTGGATGGCAGAGCCGCAGACATGAATCCGCTAAACATCAGGGGAGGCAAAGACGCACTGGGCTTGACAGATGCAAAAGCTACTCGATGCTGTGCATTGACCCTTTTTGCGTCTCCGTAAGGTGCTAACTTAGGCCCGGATCACAGCCAGATTCCAAATCGCTATCTGGGGCTGTGGTGGCGTCGACATCCAGCCCAGATGGGATCGACTGGTTAGCGCATTGTCGCGGCCTGGAAGCTACTAGGTAAACTCTCTGGAGCTTCACACCTGTAAGTGTAAGAGTCTCCAAGTGCCCTTCTGACGAGCCCGCACTCCCGTCCGCTGTACTACAACCGGATCTGCGACGCCAAGAGCACCATCGCGTCTCAACTGCCTCAGCCCTCACTCGCCGACGGTAGCTCCCACCTTTCAGCCATCACCGTCACGCGTGTGCCCGAGGTATTAGACTTGAGTAGGACTCGGAGCCCGACCAAAAGCCTCAGGTGCTCCGACTTGAAGCCCTCTTCCGCCAAGAGCCGCGCTGCTGTGGCCATCTAATCGACGTCTTTGACGACCAACAACACCGACTCTGTACGTTTCAGATGTGCACCGGGGTCGTTGGACGTTGACTGACAGGCCTCCAGGTACCGCTTCAAACCTCTCCGCAAAACCGAGTGCCGAAGAGAACGGTTCGAGCGTGCGTGTACGCGTTGATCCATGCAGCTCACATAGCATGGCTACCACGATCAAAACCGACCCCTCCATTGGGGACACGAATTACCAAAGCGGTAGTGGTAAGTGTAAGTTTTCTTGGCGTCGTCCAGTGCTTTAATATCTCCGTACTTTGAAGTTGATTCTGTTTTGTCTCCGCTTCGCGACTCCTGTATTCTGTACTTGGCACGCCCGGACTCGCTGCGTTATTGGCCTACCCCCGTTCATGCTCTTTTTCTCTCTGCCCCACGTTGAATCGTACTGCAGAGACAAAACCAGTCTCGTCAAGGCAGCATCATTCAACTTCAGCATGAACGGTGGCACACGTGCCTCGCGGCTCGTATGCATGCCGGACGTGGATTACGAGGCATGAACGACCTGGAGTTTGCGAACTATACCTAGCTTGCCTGAATCGCATCGAGGCTCTGGGAACAGTACATATACATGTCCTGGCTACTTTCTTTTGCTGTCCAAGCTCGTCACGCTCGCTCATCACACACACTTTCCGAGGTCGCATCTACATAATTTTCTTTTGTTTTTCTTCATCTACGCACTACGCATAATCTTCCAATACCATGGCGCACCACAACCGCTTCGTTTCCTGGCCTGAGACCCACGTGCTGACCATGGCGCCCACCTACCCTCCACCCGGCGCGGTCAACGAGTATCCTTCTCCTGCTGCCTCCCGCCGCCCCTCGGAATGCTTTTCTGAGATGAGCATGGACAGCAGCAGGAGAGGTAGCCTCGCTGGCTTTGCGTCGGATATGGAGAGTGCAGGGCAATGGCAATCATTAGGCAGCGATACCAAGAGTCCTCTAGCCCAATTTGGTTTCTTCAAGAGCCTGACGGACAAGAAGACTACGAGAGGTTTGTCAAGTATGACGCGGATATGATGGCAAGACTGACAAGAACAAGATGGTCAACCACCCAAGAGAAGGGGTCCCAAGCCTGATAGTAAGCCCGCCTTGACTAGGCGACAAGAGCTGAACCGTCAGGCACAGAGGTAACAATGAGCACAGATATGCGTAACTTCAGGCACTAACTCGTTGATAAGAACACATCGTGAAAGGAAGGAGCTGTACATCAAGGCCCTCGAACAAGAGGTTATCCGCCTAAAGGACACATTCGCTACTACATCGAGGGAACGCGACGCCTTTGCCGAAGAGAACCGGAGACTACGAGAACTGCTCATGGCGCATGGCATCTCTTTCGAACACATGACGTCTCCAACGAACGGAATGGGCCAGGTCGGCAGCTCCACGTATGGAAGTTCCAACGGCAGCATTTCAGGCTACGGGCCAGGGTCAGCATCAACCGGTTATACATCACCACCAACCAACGGATCGGCCTCCCACGATGGCATGGGCGGCCAGGGTATGACTCTTCAGCAGCAAGCCCAACAACCGAACCATCACCAGCACAACGGACTGGACTATGACCAAATTGGCATTGACTTCGTTCTAACGTACGACCGATCGCCCTATCTTTCTCCTCCACCCCAGCAGTAAATGCGCTTACGTTTCTACGTCATTTTCTCCGTCTTCTTCTTCGTCATCTTTCGACTTCTGTATGCGCTCATCTTATCACACATTACAAGCTCTGTTCTGACGACTGCGTCTGACAGACTCGAGCGACCCTGCATGGACCACATGCAATTCCTTATGGTACGTGCCCACGAAGCCGACGACAACATCAGCGGCCATGCGCTCATGGCGACGGCACCCCCTGATGCGCACATCACGAACTGCCCAGAGGAGAAGTACCCCCATCAGATGCCGGACGTCAAGATGCCGGACTTGATGAAACTGCTGGACCTCAGCAACCGTCTACCCCTTGATGGGGAGATTACGCCCATTATGGCCTGGGCGAAAATTATCCAAAACGAAAACTTTCGCACCCTGTCGAAAGAGGACATTGAGCTCATGAAAGGAGAGCTTCTCGCCAAAGTCCGATGTTACGGGTATGTTGAAGCCAAGACAAGTTTACAAGAAGACATTAATGGCTAACTGTTTTTGGCAGCTTTGGTGCAGTCCTTGAAGAGTTCGAAGTCAGCGACGCTCTGATGACTGTCCTTGCTGGCAAGTTCTCAAACGGTGCCACACCCTTGGCTTAATGTTTATTTCGAATGACGACGTACTTTCCTATGTTCTTGATAATTAGTAATCTTCGCTTCCCTTTTTGATATGAAAAAAATAAGCATTTTCTTCAGCTGCAGCTCGTAATTGACGTGCGTGAGTGACCTGCATGCAGCATGCGCCGCCGTGGCGGTTTCATGGATCATCGACCCAGGGTCCAGCGTCTGCCCCGCGCTCAGGGTCTCGCGTCTATTGCTATCGTCCTGACTCCCATGCATTCCCTTCATAGTGAAACCACGAGCGCTGCACGCCGTCTTTAGCCTGTATAAGCCTGCATCAAGCTGCATTGGCTTCTGCTGCATTGCGCTGTATATTTTCTCTTCTCTCAACTCATTGCGTCGCGAACCTACAAAGCTATCTCTCCTGTGTTTCCCCCCCGATTGAGCTGCAACCATGACCGAACTCAGTGTCTACGACAATGACCCGACCATTTATCTCTTCACCTCGCTGACTGCTGGGTCCTCGCACATCATCACTGCTACCTCGCGAATTGAGACAATCCTGCGGGCGAACAAGATTCCGTTCAAGGGCGTTGATACCGCGACAGATGAGCTAGCAAAGAAGTTGTTCCAGCGGAGAGCCAGTGGGAAGAAGCTTCCGTTGATAGTCAAGGAGGGATATGTCTTGGGTGTAGGTTCAATGGCGGCGCGTGTTTGGCGCATCAGACTAACACACAAGCCAGGGCATCACTGAAATTGAAGAATGGAACGAGTACGATGAGATTAGAGAAGCGCTGGGAGTCACCTCAGCTTTCACCCCATTCCCCGCGAAACCTGGGCCACCCATGGTATCCGCACCGTCATCGATCATTCCCGCAAGCGCAGCTGCGAAGAAGGAGAATGTCGTGATCCCGAGCCCGGAGACGAACCTCGCGCTTCGCCAACTGGGCGCTGAAGCAGCGAAGAAGGCGGCGAGCTTGAAGCCTACACCGACTAGTATCAAGACGACAAACCCGCTGTTGAGCGAGAAGACAAATACCCCAACCTCCGCGACCAGTGGCATTCTCTCGCCAAAGTCAGTCCCGCTTCCTGTGACACCAGGCGTCGCAAACTTGGAGAGCCCGGTCAAAGAGACGCCGAGTAGTATCCTCTCGCCAAAATCGGTACCGCTTCCAGATACGCCGACAGTCGCAGCCGCGAAGAGCCCGATGAAAGAGACCCCCAGTGGAATCCTCTCGCCGAAATCAGTCCCTCTCCCACAGACACCGACGACAGCCAAAGAAGCGGCCAAAGATACGAAGCCTGCGACCGCGAAAGCCGACGCCAAGCCCGCCGCAACCAAAGACACAAAAGCAAAGGATGTAAAGGCCAAGGCTGCGACGACGAGGACTACAACAGCAAAGGCTACAACAGTGAAGGCTACGACGGCAAAAGCTACGACGGCAAAAGCTACGACGGCAAAAGCTACGACGACAAAAGATGTAAAGGCGAAGACCGCGTCCTCGTCAGCGTCAGGGTCCAAAGACGCAAAGCCGAAAACTACCACCACCTCCACCAGAAAACCTGCCGCAGGAGGTCTCTTCGGTCTCGGCAAACCCGCTGCAAAACCAAGGGCGAAAGCGACGACTGTCAAGGATACAAAGAGCAAGGAGGCCGTCAAGGCTAAGGATGTCAAGACCACCAGGCCGACAGCCCGGTCGGGCATCCCCAAACCTACAGATGCGAAGAAAACGACAAAGACGCCTGTTGGTGGAGCAAAGAAGGCTGCGGTTGCTGCAGGTGCCGTGGGTGCCGCGGGCGCTGCAGCTGCGGTAGCCGCTACAACGGAGAAGAAAGACGAAGAAGACAAAAAGGATGAAGAAGAAAGCCCAGAAGAAGAGTCCGAGGGAGAGAAGAGCGAAGGAGGCGAGGCTTCTAAACCAGCAGAGGCGGAAGCGAGTGACGCAGCAGACAAGACTGCTACAACAGAAGAGAGCAGCGAAGAAGACGACGAAGAAGAGGAGTCCTCAGAAGAGGACGAGGATGAAGAACCTAAGCCAGCAGCCCCAGCAGCAGACCCCTCAAGCAAAGCCGAAGAGGACGAAGAAGAAGAGGAAAGCTCAGAAGAGGACGACGACGAAGAGGAAGATGACGACGAAGAAGATGAAGAAGAAAGCTCAGACGAAGACGAAGACAAAGAAGAGGAAAAAACACAAGCCCAACCCGCCAAAGACGCGAGTAAAGCTGGTGTAAGTGTCAAGGATTAAACAGACACTTATCCATTCCATCCATTGAAAACTTGTACTTTTGGTCTTGCTTGTAAACTTTCTGGTGTAACCACTCTTTTAATACTGGTTTTATCGTCTTCGGGGTTGGGGTTCGGATCGGTAAAGGGGAACGGGAGAACGGAAACTAGAATGTAGTATAGTATAGTAGCCGTTTTGGTTTGTTCAATATGTAGTATGCTTATTGAATGGGGATCCTTTCACCATACTGTACTGTACTAGTCCCAACGTGACTTGATTGAAGTTGTAAAAGACAAGGTTCAAGTCTAATATTGCGTGTCAAGGTAGAATCGTACTACCGGCTACCTAATTATCCTAGAAGAAGAAGAAGAAGAAGCGAAAAGAAACGTAATCTATGTTTGGAAAGAACCCCCAGCCTACCCTGTGGTCTCAATGAAGAAGCGAAGAAGCGAAGAAAATAAAAAAACGCCTACGCTGAATGCTATGCTATACACCACTGTACTTTGACCGAAAACATCTAAACACCCCATCCATGCAACCTCATACCACAACTCATAACCAACTTTTCTTTCCTGTATACCAAAACGTCATTGAACAACTGCCGTCTAGTTCATCAAGCCGCAACATCCAAACCCGCCTTCTTCAAGCCATCCAAGTACAACTCCTTGACATCTCCTTTTCCCATGTCTTTATCTGACTTCTCCTCCGGACTCTTGAGTTGCTGCATCATCATCAACTCAACAGCTTCTATACCGGCTTCCTCGGCTTTGCTCAAAGCGGTGGTATCTTTCTTCTTGCCCTTGCCTTTATCTTCGCCTTCTTCTCCCTGCACCATCTTATCTAGCTCAAGCTTACTCACGCCAAGAGCGTAGATCTGCTCTTCGACGGTGTCCTTGGTTACAAGTCGTACAACTTCCACCTCGCGCGTTTGACCGACGCGGTGAGCACGGTTCTCGGCTTGGATGTCGTCTTGTGGGTTGAACGACGAGTCGAAGATGATGACTTTGTTAGCACAGGCGAGGTTGATACCTGCACCACCGCTCTTTGTGCTGATCATGAAGAGCTGGATTGATTCGTCTTGGTAGAAAACGTCCATCAAAGACTGGCGCTCTTGGATTGGAGTGGAGCCGTCCATGCGCATGAAATTGATGTCGTGGTCGTCAAAGACCCAGCCGAGGATATCCATGACGGACGTGAATTGCGAGAAGACGAGGGCGCGATCGCCGTTTTCCTTGTATTTCTTCAGTAGCGCAAGGAGTTTGGCGACCTTGCCGGAGTCCATCCATTCGTGGTTTTGGAGCTCGAATTTCTTGAGGGCGCGATACTTGGAAGCAAGCTGGTGACATTGGTAGTCTTGGTAGAGCTCTAGCTCTTCGTAGATGATGTCCGGGTTGCTTTCGGCAAAGGTCTCTTCCTTTAGACAGGCTTTGGCCATCTTCCGAATCTTATCGTTGTCGTAACGGTGACGAAAGAGTAGAGGATGAATAGCTGCTTGACGAAGCTTCATCATAACGTTGGCGTGATCCTTGACGGGAATGCCAGCGGCTCGGTCCTCGAGAATCTTGCGCTGCTTGGCTAGTTGCTCGTTGTACAGCGTCCTCTGGGTATCGGTGAGGTCGCAGTACTCAACGCGTGAAGTCTTCTTCGGGAGATGCTTGAGCACCTGTGCCTTCTTTCGTCGGAGAATAAACGGCATCAACATCGTACGAGCACGCTGGATACGCTGCGCAGACAGTAAAGAGCTATGCGAGTCGCTCTCCATAGTCTTGGCCTTGTGTTTGAACAAAATCTGCAACATCTCCTGAACTTCCTCTTGCTGATCTCCGTAGAAGACCTTGGGCATCAAGAAACCAAGGATCGACATGAGCTCTTGAAGACTGTTCTGCAGCGGCGTACCAGTCAACAAGATCCTACAGGGAGTAGGGATCTTCATCAAGCTCTGGTATCGGATCGTGTTGCCATTCTTCAGCATATGGCCTTCGTCAAAGGATGCAAATCTCAGG